AGTAACAGCACCGACTTACGTTGACAAAGTGTTATCCACTAGCACGTACATATCCCGGTCGTGGATCTCGGTAATAGTTCGTCTCCAGTCCTCAATCGTGCCGTAATGCATGTCGAGGAGGGTGGTATCAACGGGGGAGTAGCCATCGTAAGCCCAAGGAAGGTTCATCAAGTACGTGCCGGCGAAATATATAGCCTAAAAGGATCAGCTATGTAGTTCATCCAAATCAGCCTAACTCACCTTGAAGCCCATGCCCTGAATATAATCCAACGTGTCAATTAAGCCATCTAGATCGCCACCATGACGCATCTGGTTCGAGTTCAAAACATGCTCAAAGGAAGTCCCGTTGATGTCATCATTTGTCGGGTCCCCGTTGGATATGCGATCCAGGAATATGGTATAGATAGGGAATCGCCAGTTGTCTGGTGACGGATGATACTCATGGTCCGGCCATGCTCCCCAATAATCGATTGGACCTTCGGCGGATTTATTCTCGTTAAGATTGTATTCAGCGAGCGACTCGGTGTATGGCCAGCATAACGCATGGACACTCAGAAACGACAGTATGAGAAATGCTGAGCGTTGCATTTCTGTTGGTATATCAGGCCGGAACGCTAGGCAGCGGAATTTGCGCGATCCAACCCTTTCGGAACTGCAAAGAAAACAATTCCTCTATGCGCTGAGCAAACGGGAGCTGTAGTTGAAGAAGAGCAAACGAACGAGCTTCAAAAGACACCAAGGATTTTACAACACAGGATGTGAGACTCTTATCAGCCAGACAGGTGTATGGATCGCTGTACTTTCACTACTACCGACCCACTCTGGGCCCAGATATCACTGTATCAATCCGTCCACAGGCAGGGTTTTTCCCGCGGTGGGGTGGCGGTGTTTCTCAGTGGCTCGGATTAGCAATATGCGTCTCCGATCCTGGTTAGTCCGGTGTGTGTCTCAGACAGACCCAACAGAGTCCTCAACGCTGCCGGGTGATCGGGTCCAGCCGAGAGTGTAAGCCTCAAATTCGTTCGCCATGATAAGCAAACATGCAAATCGAAGTCGATCCCTGTTTGATTACATTGTTCTGTGTCTGTGTGCATGAGATCCGATCAACCAATTTCCCAACACATATCAACATAAGGGAACTGCCACGGTGCTGTGTGGATGAGGGAAGGTTTTCTGTCTGCTTACAGTACAGGTATGCGAACATCTATTTTTAACAATCTTATCTTATCTCTGGTATCTTACAGAAGCTTGACCGATTGAAACCCGCTATGTAGCTCTTTTTATATGTAGTTTTCTTTCCACGATTGTGCTTCAAATTGTGAATGAATTCCAGATTTCTTCGTAGCTAAATTTGGCTATGCCAGAATATACATTTCAGGTGGAATACTGTATTGCTTTCTGTTTTGAATGCGTGGAGCTAGTGATCCACCGTGAAAAGAGTTTTCACACGGATTTTTGCTGGACGCTTGATGAAGTGGAAGGAGAACACGTAAATATGTGTTGTATTCACTTACTGAGAATCAGACTCAAAGCCTATACAGTACATCTAGATATTCCATTTGAGCGATTGTGATACTCCGTACAAGTACAAGAATTGCGACATTGAAAATAGATCAATCAATGTGGAACATGTCTGAATCTAAAGAAAGAAAAAAATAAAAACTCGCTGTAGTGGAACCGAAGGAGCGAATGACATCATATCGTCAAGTATGTTTCACTATATGTAGCAGGCAACAAATATTAATTCCCTTGAAACCAGCAAATTAAAACTGCTTAGAAGTCTAGAAAACTTGCTAATAGTTTGTTCTTACAGGAACAGCGTCGAGTGATTTTTTGCCGGTCAATGCTTAGCGTGTGATTTGATACGGTTGGTTGCTTTGACCCAGGGTGGCAATCTGTGCATTGCTGACCAGGCATTGATATCGTGGTTGCTGCTTTCCCTGACTTGTATTGCCAGAAGTCCTGCCATCCTGTCTAATTTCTACTGCGAAGGCTGTCCAAGTTCCGATAAGGACCCGACCAGTGAGTGCTTGGCCCCTCAAAAATAAGTTCCTCTCAATGTTTGGCACATGGTCCCTAATCGACGGACCCCTATATAGAAGATCTAGAAGCTCTAGAGGGATACACGAGCTCGTGGTAGGGAGGTGGAAATATATTCTAGAAAGAACGTAGGGCAGAACTTGGACGTAAGTTTGGCCCATTGCTTCATGGTCAAGTGCGTATTCGACCGAGCCAAAATCCATCGCACACCTTCCCCACATCATCACTCTTACAGCAGAGGTAAAGGGCATCACATGAGAGAACTTTATTTATCACCGCCTGCTGCTGCATTATGCACAGTTTTGGACGAGCAGAAGAGGGGAGAAGGATGAACTCGACCTATCAATAACCGCTCAGACATGCATGGCGTACTCTAATAGTTCGTATTACCGGACCCGGAGATATTTATTCATCCGCCTAATCCTAAAGATCTCATTATTCTTCGTCGTTGAACTGTTAACGCGAAGGGGGAGATACGCCGCCAACTGCTGCGAAACTATATAGGCATATCAAATCCGTATTGAACCTTTAAAAGCATTAAGATACACTGTACCAGCTTCGTTCAAATAGCTGCAAGCACGTGGGATGTCATCATATTCCTTGGCTAGTGATTATAGCTATAATGCCACGATGTATAGAGCACGCTAGATGTCCTCTTAGTGCTGCGTAATACATGCTAGTTCAGCGGTCGGATCTTCAAGCTAAATCAATCAATCTAGTATTGTGTTACAAAGATTGCAGAAGGTATGTGCACAACGCATTTGGAGATATGGCAACACGCTTCATGGTGGTTTGCATGAAAGCCATCAAATTATGCTAGGCTTAACGGTTCGTTTCCGCCTCGTGGCTCTTGATATTCCAAACTTTCTACGAATTTGTGCAGTATATGCGTAATATATTAGGCGGTATCCGTACTCCACCGTCCACTGGGAATATCACGCACGCCGATAAAGCAACTAGGCGAGTCGAACTAAATCTGCCATGGCCGAAGACCGGGAATCAAATTGCAAACACTATTATAGACTCTCGTGGTGATATCATATTAATAGATGGCCATTACCTACGGTTCTGTTGGAACCCAGTGTCCAATCTGCATACATGTGATTCATCCACTTGCCCCAACTACAACTTATCTTATTGGAGGTATTCACGTGCTCGGACTCAAAAACTCATCGAGGCCTACGAAACTCTTCGGGGCGAGCCCAAACTAAACCAGCTACTATATGGTTCTTTCGCAAATCCCTTTAAAGTTCTAATCTCGTTGTATCTGTGTTCACCGTACTCCTCTCCATTAGAGCCCACAGGTGAGTGATCCATGACTAAAGATAAGTCTCGCCATTTTATCCTCAGGTTCTTGCCCCCTACTTATCATTCTTGAGATTTACCGGTAAAACCTGTAAAAACAGTAAGTGTCCCCGGGATGCGCGAAAACCTATCTCCTACCGGACAGCAGCACAGTATCGAATGCTACGCGTGAATTGAACACCAATCTCGCTAGTGAGCCACTTTAGCGGGGCGCGAGACAATGCGAACTGATATCCCCACTTATGTGGCTACTGCCGGTGGTTATGCGGGTTGAGGCTGCCAAGAGACGATTGCTATTAGTATACCAATTCCCAGCGATCATAAATTCGAAGGTGCATGAACATGATGGTCTCGATCTAGCTCCAATTCTAAGATTAGATAGACTTGGAGTACATTTTGAAGATTGGACAGTTTACCTCGTTGACTCCATCTCATTCAAAGTTTGTATATCTGTGCAACATATCTGAGGGACAATGGCATGGTAGACCCGCCGCGTTATGAACAATTTTGGCAAAGTAAATAAAGTGTCCTGCAAGAGGTATAACTGTATCCTAGTTCATGCGGTAAAGGCCAATGAGTTTGAGACCCTGCACAAGTAGCGGAATTACCAATCACATGCTAGCGTGAAGTTGAAGAGACATTGAAATAATAATTTCCAAGCACCAAATATGTAACTTTGCTCGTTCAGCGTATGTCACTATCCTTTGGACAGTCCCAGACGAGTCAGAAATAAATGGCATTTGCACCACTTCCCCGTCTGCAGTCCGATTTCAAACAGATGGCCTCAAGTCACTAGATTCACTAGATCGTTGGTGCTTAATATATTTGTACTGGATGGGTGCGCACTAATGTTAAGGGCAGAGGACGAGCACTAGGCAAAGCTTTATTTGGAAGTTAGATGTTGTCAGTTTCGGAGCTTGCCTCTATTTGACTTTATGCTTGTCGACCTCCCTTTCGTGTAGGTCGAGCTTCCTTCATGTTCATTTGCTCAGAAGCGTAGTTTGTTCATTATGTGAATAATCTGGTCATTCCGTGTCTTATTGGCCTAGAAAATGGATTTGTGGTTTACAGTGTCGGAAGTTTACCGAAGTGGGATTAGTACAGCCGAAGGCGGACTATTAATGCGAGTAGATCAATCAAATCAATCAGATAACTCCCATCAATCAGAGGAGTAAGTCCTCCAAGCTTAATCCTTGATCCCTCGAGACTACTTGTCAGCACTAATTGGTAGTGGCGATGAAGCATTTTCGCCTTGTCCATTTTTATTAGGCACATCTATCGGGCTTTGTATCCAATAAACACAAAACGCCGATGATCAAGACCACCAATGCCCAGGAAGGGTTCTGGAGTCGATGTCCACTCAGTTAACCAATTTCTCTCTAGCTCTTCTCTTTAGTCAAGCCATTTTAAGCTTTTCTGACTATATTATGGGCGATAAAATCTCTTTTCGGGGTTTGTCACTCTATAGAAGCAATACAGCGAGGGTATACGTACACGAAGGCATCTCCAGGATCCGTTTGCAAATCGGCATTCCCCTCTTCGGCTGATTCCAAGCTCTAGTATATTTTTTTGGGCACTTGCACCCATCTGTGTCTCCATTTTCTAGGCCCATGGTCAGTTATATCCAACGTCGGGCTGTCTTGAGAGTCGACACCATGGCTGTCAGAAAGCGATTCATCAACCCTTCTGCGCGCAGGGAATCCCCCAATCAATCAGCGGCTACTCACCGTGGCATTGAGGCTTCTCCCAACTCAAACCTTTTCTTGGACAAAACACAGGAGACGGTCCGACCTCGACAGATGAGGAAATTCTCGATGAGAAGGCGTAGTCTGGTACACAAAAGGCTTAGGCAAGCTCCCAATCATGGACGAGAAAACCCTGGTTGCACCCTACATTCTATAGGCCCACTCTGCGGTCAATTTATTACACATTTCCATGGCTAATCGCCTCGTAAGCGTCTAGGTCGTGAACTTCTTCGAGAACTTCAGCTCTGGATCTCCCAGTTCTCTATCACGATTAATCTACAGCGGTTTCGCGCTGCATTCTCTGACTGGTCTGGCATCTGTGATTGCTTCGTTGATCTCCGCTCTTGTTAAGTTCCCTGACGCGAAGCACGTGGATATCTGGGGTCAACTCAGGCTTATGGGGTAGGGGTTGGATTCCTGACACTCGGTCATGATGGCTGCCTGCAAAAGCGTCTAGGCCTATTGTGCTGCGCAGGTATTCTATCAAACAGTTTTCAGTATGATTGATTTTTTATGGCCATCTTCATTGCGGATACCACTAGTTTCTCTCTCTTCCTGCTGGCATTCAACCTGTACTCTTACCAGACTGAAGAGTGGTGGCCTCCGACTATCTTTTTCTTTGTCGTTAGCTTTGTCTCATGATCGCTTTCACGTTTTGGGAGAGATATTCTGTGCCAGTGGAGTTCATGCCCTGGGAGCAGATTCGAAACAGAACTGTCTTTTCTTCACCTTCTCCATGTTTGTATCATTGTACCTGGCATGGTATATCTGGGATAGCTTCTTTTATTCTCTCCTGCAGTTTATGTTCAATCAGACTGTCACGGAAGTGACGTACATATCGAACAACTATACTACGGGCTCGTGCTTCTGGTGTCTAATCATTGGCGCTATCCTTCGCTACAATGGCCGCTTGGAATGGTGGGCCATATGTTTGGCGTTCCTCTGACCATTTTGGGAGTTGGATCGATGACCAAGTCCCGTCAACCTGAATCGAACATTGGCTATACTGTGATGTGTCAGGTCTTTGTCGTATTAGGTGGTGTTATCTGTTAGCAGATTACTGTTATGGTTGTCTCCGCTTAGAGGAATATACCCGCTATCCTGGCTACCGAGGGTCTGGTTACCACCATTGGCAGCGCCTTTGGGGTTACTGTTTCTGTCGCCATGTGGACAGGTATTTTCCCTGTCAAACTGCTGGCACTCCTCCCTACATCCACCCGGTAGACTTTGCAAGCACTTATGGCTCCCTTTTCGTTTAACAGTTTTACGCTAGGGAACAACAACCCGTGATGCTATCGACCATGTATATGGTGATACTCAACGTCTCATGCTCATTACTGCAACCTGCGTTTATCTTATCATATGAGCATCTTGTTTCATCTGGGAGGGTCTTGAACGTGAAGAAGATGAAACAGCAGGTCCATGGCATTTACCCGTGAACCGCCAAGTGCGCCTAGTTTAGCGAAGCAATAAGAGGCAACATATGATGCACATCTAGAATACCTCGTTTCTCGCGTTGTATTAGTACGCAGCGATGTACCGTATTCTGTTTAGAAAATATGCAGACCGTGCGTGATAATACTCCTATGATATACAGTAAACTCGGGGCTCATCTATTCGTTTTGCAGTGAAGTAATGCCGGGTTGCATAGGAATTATATTAAGCACGCGCATCACTTTTTATTGACAGTCCTTAACTGGGTAGCATAGCGTACCCCTGGTCTAACGGACGAATTACCGCGTTGTTCGTCATATCGGGGATCCTAATACTCGGCTTTGTTGCTGTACAGATATGGCTCTCTCTCATGTTATTCGTACAGTTTCTCAGTGTTGTCGTCTTCATCTCTGTCGGCTCGTCGTCATTTCAAAGCTACCATAGAAAATATCTACCTGGTGACCGTGGCATCGACCAGACCCAAGTGACGGCTACAGACCTCGCACCACCACAGCAAAAGCCTCCACTGCGCCACTGAACACGCCTAGGTCTCAGGCACCGCAAACGCTTATTTTCACTACTTCTACAGACAAACCTCTTTGTAATAATTCTCGCGCAAGTCACATTCCACTATAGAATAGGACCCATTTCCGGTCACATGATCACGCTAATTCCCAGTTGGGTTAGTAATGTCACATGCCAATTTCTATTATGTCAGCATTATCTTGTCAGATGCATTTGAACCAATAATAGTGCTTAGGATGGGGTAACACTCGGGCCACATTACCTGGTTATAGGGAATTTTCGGGAAATCGTAGGGGAACTTCACTGAAGGATTTCACTGTAAAGATGGACGCGCTATTGGCAGGTTCGTTTGTACTTTGCGGGTGTACGTATATCTCTAGTGAAACATGATATTTGATGGAGTTGTCCCTGATGATCGAAAATTTTCTGTTATTTAGGTCACGATACCCTCGAACCAACGCTCAATTTCTTTGTGCATTGAGCCTCCAGTCCATACCTGCTGTCGATTACAACGCGCACCCAAAGATATGTTCGAGAGCCTTGGCTTGCATCACGCTCAGATAACCTAGTGGAGCTGAAGATTCTGTACTCCATCAATGTTGCGAAATAGCTTGGTTTCAACATTTGCTTCACAGAAGTGCAACGATAGACGTTTAACGTATTTCACAAGCGAGCTGGCCACCCCAAACCACCATAGTAAATACGATATATTCTACACTGATATCTCAACAACCACGTTTTTATTTTATTTTATTATTTGCCGATAGCTGTTGATAAGGCTTTTCAACACTATATATTAATTTTGACGAAATCTGAAACCTACATTGTTACGGTATCGAAAATTACGTTGGCTAGCAGCTAGAAATATAAATATCTGATTATATCTCAATTATTAAGTTATAGAAATTCTTTAAACCCCTGTTAGAGACTAAATACCACCTAAAAAGCATTAGTATTTAAGGAAAAGTCCCTATAACCTACCGTTGTTGTGATACTATGTTGTAATTTATCGCATTTACTATGGTGTTTTGGGGTGGCCAGCTCGCTTGGCTGGCCAGCTCGCCTGTGAAATACAGTGACTGCTCATATATTTTAACACCCCATTTAGACCCACCTATTTACCGTCTTCTCATATAAATTACACCGCCTAGTCAGATCGCGCTAGCTAGTCTTAGTACGTCGCGTTTTCTTAGTCTATTTCTCGCGTTTTTTGACTTATTACCCCTATTCATTAAGCCTGCTCTCTGTTATAAGCGTTTCAAAACATGCCTTCACGCTCAGAACTCACACCAGCCCTCCGTGAAAGGATCTGTGAGCTTCATTCAGCTGCTCATTGGGGTTATAAGCGTATTCATAAGAGATACCCGTGGATTTCTCTCTCGACTATACGCTATACTATTAAAAAAGAGCATGAAAGACGTGACGGTGTCTCGAAGCCTCGTTCCGGCCGGCCAAGCAAGCTTAATGAGGCTGATAAAGTACGTCTCGTTGATGCTATTCGAGAGAACCCCCGGATTACGCATGAAGACCTTCTTACTAAGGTGTCTTATAAAGTCAAAACGAACTCAATTCGACGCCTTTTGAATGCTGAAAACCTTCGGAAACGGTGATACAGCTAGCGACCTTATTTGACCGAGGAGCATGCCGTTAAACGGCTTCAATAGGCTTGTCGTTTCAACACTTTACGCACGAAGATTAGGCTCGCGTCTTTTGGTCCGATAAATATACGGTGGAGCGCGGAATCGGAGTCCGTCGAGAATAGACTTTTACTCGGCCAAAAGACCAGCCAAAACTCGGACAAGTTCAAGGCCTTCCACAACGGGGAAAGCAGGTTAAGCAGATGTTTTGGGCTGCTTTCTCGGGCGCTACCCGTCGAACTGGCTTAATTCCGCTATTCGGAGATCCGGAATCAGAGCGTGGCGGTGTAAACAGCATCGTTATTCGGATCTATACCTCCGAATCCTACCTATCTTAATATCGAATGAAGGGTCGATTTTTCAGCATGATAATGCGCCAACGCATACTGCCCACGTCGTCCGGGACGCTTTACGGGACTTAGGGATTGAGGTTATAGAGACTGGCCGCCGCATTCGCCTAATTTGAACCCAATTGAGAACCTCTGGGCGTTGATGAAAGCCGAGATCTATAAGCTTCGGCCTGATCTTATTGATATAAAGAATAATGAGCATACTAAGGCTATTTTAGTTGCTACAGCACAGATTGCATGGGATCAGCTAGACCTAGAGCACCTAAAGCATCTCTCTGAAACGATGCCGCATCGGGTGCAAGCCATTATTGATAGCCAGGGATGGTATACAAAGTATTAGATAAATGGCATGAGGGTTTAAAACCGGCAGAAAGTTACGTAATTAGGTGTGGGTCTAAAAGGGGGTGTTAAAATATATGAGCAGTCACTGTACGTTATCTGCTGAGACCTACTGTTAGAGCAAGAGCGGCTCAGCCATGAGTGTCGATCATTCAGCCTAAGAGATTGCTTCGCCCGCGCTACCTTCCCATATAAGTCCCTTCGACTGCTGACATATAAATGATCGGCATTTCAGGGGAAGCAAGAAGTCAGCTGTTCCAGAGCATCAATAACAAACGCTCTATGTAACCTCCACATTGCATCAAAACGAAACATGCTGGCCCCTGGATTGCACCGGTTTAATGTTCGCAGACTCCTCCTGACTAAAATACTTTTGGTTTATAAAGAAAAACAAAAGGAAAAAGTTCTTTATTCAAATAGGAAAATAAAAAGCTATCTAACAGGAAGAGAGGCGGCGATTAACCACTATCACATGTCGACATAAGATTCAAATATAAGGAAAAAGAAAGGAAATAATAATAATGTGAGTATCAAGACACTCTATAATCCATCAATGATCGCATGGTCCCTACCTGCTCTCCGTCGCCAGGATGGAACTGAAGCAGATAGCACGGGTGTATATGGGACTCTTATCGACTCAAACAATTAATCAGAGGCGTGCTTTCCCTCACTCTCTCCACTGCTCAGAGCCATCTCGGCCTTCTCGGCTTCAGATGCGAACTGTTGATCGGGAACGGCCAGGCCGACCTCGATCTGCATCTGAGCGATCTGGTCGACAGTAAGCTTGGGCATCTCGTTCGCGACCTGGTAGGGCCACTTCTTCTCAACGTGAGCCTTGGCGAAGATAATGTCAATCTCCTCCAGATCACGGCCGGCAGTCTCGGCGTAGAAGAACCAGGCGAATGGAACGGCGACGAAGTTGACTAGGGCGAAGAAAAGGTAGATACCCCAACCACTCTGGTCGGAGAACACGGGAGTAAACATGACGACCGCGAAGTTGCAAATCCAGTTGGTGCAAGTGGAGGCAGCGGCGGCCATGGTACGAGTGCGGAGAGGGTTGATCTCGGGAGGGTAGATCCAAGGCAAAGGCAGCGTGGTAAACGCGAAGAAGCAGATAAAAAGGAAGATACCAACGACGGCACCCTTAGCGTTCTGCTCGTTGTCCTGGATCAGGCAGCCCATGGTGATGATGAAACTGAGACCCTGGCCCATGAAACCGATTAAGAAGAGGTTGCGACGACCAACCCTCTCGACCATGAAGAAAGAGGGAATGGTGGCTAGGGCGTAGACGGTGGCGAAAACACCTCCTAGAATTAAAGAGAGACGGTGCTTCATGTGAAGGTTCTGCTCGAAGAGGAGAGTCGAGTAGTAGATAGCAGCGTTACAGCCAGTGAACTGCTGGAAGAACTGACCAGAGCAACCAATCATCATGCGCTGGAATTCCTGAGTCTTGCCGAACTTGAAGAGCTCTCTCCAGCTGGCCTTGTTACCCTCGGAGGCCTTAAGATCGGCTTTCATCAAGTTGAAATCGGTGAGCACATCCTCGGCATCGATGGCACTATCGTTTAGCTGGGCCAAGACCTCCAATGCCTCCTTGTCGTGTCCTCGCATGACAAACCAGCGAGGGGACTCTGGGAGCATCATAGCGCCACCACTGACTAAAATGGCGAACAAGATCTGGAATGCGACGGGGAACCTCCATTGGACGGAGCTGTCGACGTACGAGAGACCGAAGTCAATCCAATAGGCAACAAATGTACCGACGGCGATAATGGCGCCCTCGAAGCAAACGAGGAAACCACGGTTATGAGCACGAGAACATTCGGACTGCCACACGGGGATCGTGGCCGTGTCCATGCCGTTTCCAAGACCTGAAATGACACGTCCGATGACGAACTGACCTAGGCCCCATTGGGGGCCGAAAGCAGCAGTGGAAATGACAGTACCGATAATCATGAGAACACCTCCGGACACCAAGAGGGGAGTGCGGCCAATCTTTTCGCCCCAGATGAGGGTGAAGATGGCACCGAAGAAACAACCGAGTTCGTAACAAGCGGTGACAGCACCACGGAGGACAGAGACATGAGCAGAGTAGGCCTTATCGTTGGGGTCGGGAATAGCGAGAGGAGGGAACTCCTTTGTGAACTGGTCACCAGAGATAATACCAGACATCAAACCCTGGTCATAACCGAATAGGGAGAATCCAATAACGGAAGTGAAGGTGATGGCCAGATGGAGCTTCTTGCCCCGCAAGCCTGAGGTTGTTGTCCACATATTGGGTGTTCCTTGTACCTCAACCTAGTAGAAAAGGGAGGAAGGACCGAAACATACAGAAAAAGAAGGAGACCTGTCAATCCTGGGGGGGGGGGGTGTCTCACCTTTTTGTATTTGAACGAATAATTAGGGGCCCCACGAGATGCTTAACGCCAAGCAGAGGAAGTTTGGAGATGACGTCGGCGGGTTAGGCGCTATACAACGTAGTAGGCAAGTCGGGCGAGCCGAGAGGGCTAAGCACAGCTAAGACCCAACCGCCGAGAGGGCCAAGAGGGCTTAGCGGAGCTTTTCGGTTTTGGCCGCCACCAACGTAACATCCCGCATGCGGACAACCATGGGCAGAGTCAGGACAGGAGATTCTGAATTTGATTTTGAATGGAACATCACTATGTTCCCCTGGCCAGGGTGACTCTGGGTGCCTTGATGCCTGTCAAGTGATTTTCACCTGGGGATGAATGTAGAGGGGAGAAAAGGATCAACATGTCGCTTGCCCTAACCGGAACCACATGCAACCACCACAGACACGGGGAATTACGGGGAGAGCTGGTGGAGTCAGGGTCTGAGTTTTTTCTTTCTCCAGTCGCTATTTGTTCGACGCAGAAAACCCCGTGAAAACTTTTTCCGCTTCGGTTCGGGGCCGGGGCCGCATATTGGCCAACTACAACCAACTACAATACACTAAATCTCGTTTCAGTTACCTCGCTTCGTTTCAGTTACCTATTTGCCTTTGGCCCCGAACCCCATGTCCGATGCCGACGGCCGGGGGCTGACTGGGGCTGGCCTCGGGTTGATTTGGTTGACCAGGGGCCGTGAGTTGAGTCACAAGGCGCCAAGGCCCAATCAAGCAAAATATAAGACATGCCAAGGTACCTTAAGCCCCACCAAGGCTACAAAAAAGAACTCACTTGAGAAGGAAGTGATGAGGAGGCGTCGACGGAGGGGGCGTTAGAGGCGTTCAGCCATCCCCGGAAGCCTTTCTTTTCCCGCTACGCCACTAGAACTCTCACACGCGGTATGTATTATCCACGGGTCGAATCAATGCCACTGATGGTTAATGTATGGTCGAGTTTGATTGTCTGTGGGGTTCCCCATAGGCGAAATAAATAAGGTCGGTAAATTAAAAATTGAATAAAAAAATTATACACAAAATGAGAGGCCTCCTACGAAAGGACCAACCCTCGGCAGGGTTGCGGGGAGGTATATCGAGACCTAGGGAGGCTCGAGTACATTTGTGACGCCCAGTTCGATTTCAAAGTACCGACAAGTCAACATTTTAAACAAAAAGACTACACAGATACAAAGAAAATTCCATGCCTTTACGTAGGCCTACTTCTCATTTACACATTAAAATCCCCGACCCGTCTCAGAATTTCTGCGGAAAAGCATCGTTCCGCGTGTAAGGCCCGGCCGAACCCACATGGCTCTTGAACATCCACATCTCTCTGCTCCAAATTCGGAGAGGATCAACGGGCTGATATTTCCCGACACTTAAGGCCCCAATTTATGCGACGTCTGTGGTCCCGAACCGACCGTTCTGTAGGTTCCCCCTCTATGGTAATCTTGCGCTTGCCGCCTTCGATTCCGACGTTGAAAGAGGCTGAAATGCCTTATGCCCTCAATGATGACGCGCAGGCCCTTGGCTCGCATACCTATCCCTAGAAGCCGCACTTGGCCCTCATATTTGCATTGAACTTGCCTTCAAGTCATAGTGCGATGAGCGTGATGGGGCTGAGCTAGGCGGATCTTAGTTTGATCTTCCTACATGTAGGAGGTAAACAATCTTCTCCCTTAGACAACATGGGTACTCGTAAAATAACGTGATGCCAGTTTGCAAAGCCAGTATAGTACGGAGTAGAGTCGCCTGCAGGTGGTGGCTACGGTCTGTGTGTTGGGCGTGAGTTGCGAGATCTTCAGTTTGAGCATTGTGCATTGTAAATGCTAGCAACTCTGCACTCTGACTGTGCTACAGGGCACTTCAAAATATCTTGAATTTTCACGTATATGTTTGAGATGGCTCACATCAGTCGCAAACGATATTATCTTACTTTAACCGATCAAGGGGCACCACCACAGCAATCCTTGGCTGGCACCTCGAAATCCTCAACAAAGACCTCGACCACGCTGGCAATAAAGACAGTAAGTACAGTCGAATGTTTCCATCATAGCAGAGCTCGTAAATGGCGCGCGATAATTTTAATGATCTTTAAGAGTTTGAGTATTGTACTTCGTATTCAAGGTGAGTAGGATGTGCAACGGTGTCTTTGCAAAAGTTAATACACAGACTATAGATCGAGCCTGACTCAATGCAATGATCTCTTATAAGTTGGCGAGCATAAGCAATTATGATGTCCAACGCCACAATGAGCCAGGTCACGTGAAAATATGTTTGTTGCCTGAGGCATTAAGACTGTGTCACGATTTGTCCTGTATTCACCCAATTGGAGATGTAAATGACTCTGTATTTCCATTACCCCTATTTCTCACTAACGTAATTCACAAGCGAGCCGCCACCCCAAGCGAGCCGCCACCCTACCTAAAAACGCGTCGAAAATTAGCATTTAATTTATTCAACCACCTACCATGCCACCAATTCGTACCCAATCGCCCCGAAATCGTACAGAGCAAGAGGGTAGGATCTTATTAGCTATCCAGGCTATTAAGAACAAAGAAATAAGCTCTGTTGCTCACGCTGCTCGGACTTTTGAAGTGCCGCGTTCAACTCTACGCGACCGCCTCTCTGGCTGTACAGAACGTGCTACTGTACGCGCAAATTCACATAAATTGACCGAAATTGAGGAGGAAACACTTCAAAAATGGATTATCTCAATGGATTTACGTGGAGCAGCCCCTCGGCCGTCTACCGTACGAGAAATAGCAGATCTACTACTCGCGGCGCGTGGATCTACCTCCCCTCTTTCGGTCGGCGATAATTGGGTTACAAACTTCGTAAAAAGGCACCTAATCCTATCATCTCGGTTCTCAAAACGATACAATTTCGAGCGTGCGAAGTGTGAAGATCCAAAGATAATTAGAGATTGGTTTTCGCTTGTCTAAAAGACTATACTTCAATATGGTATTGACCCCGACGACATCTATAACTTTGACGAGACCGGTTTTGCTATGGGCTTAATCGCAACCGCGAAGGTTATTACGAGAAGGGAATATTACGGTCGGCGATCGGTTTTACAGCCCGGAAACCGCGCGTGGGTGACTACAATTAAATGTATAAATGCGTCGGGGTGGGCGCTTCCTCCTTGTATCATTTTTAAGGGCAAAGTCTTTATCGAATCTTGGTTCGACGGCCTTCCGGACGATTAGAGACTTGAGGTTAGTCCTAACGGATGGACCTCCGACGAAATTGGACTTCGGTGGCTTCAAAAGCTCTTTATTCCGTCTACTTCTTCGCGTACGAAGGGGAAGTATAGACTTTTGATACTCGACGGCCACGGAAGTTATTTAACCCCGAAATTCGACGAAATTTACGAGAAAAACGATATTATCGCAATTTGTATGCCTCCGCACTCGTCTCACCTTTTATAGCCTCTTGATATCGGCTGTTTTGCGGTGTTAAAGCGTGGTTACGCTCGGCTTATCGAATCGAAAACGCGTGCTAGAATCAACCACATTGATAAGCTAGACTTCCTCGAAGCCTACCCGTCCGCGCGAATTGAGGCATTTAAATCGGAGACTATTAAGAATAGCTTTACCGCCGCCGGTTTAGTGCCTTATAGTCCGGATCGAGTGATCTCGAAGCTTAATATTCGCCTTCGAACCCCGACACCCCCCGGAGCTAGGGAAGCGAGTAGGATCCAAAAACGCCTTCAAACTACGTACAATTACAAAAGCAAGCTTCCTTAATTAAAGCTTTGCTAAAAGCGCGTTCAAAAAGCCCACTAAGCCCGCTTAACTCCGCGATAAATCAGGTTTTAAAAGCCTATCAAATCACAATACAATCGGCAGCTATTCTCGAGAAAGAAGTAGGCGAATTACGCGCTGCAAACGAGACGAAGAAGCGAAAAAGGACTCGGTCTAAAAAGCAAATAGCTTCCGAAGAAGGTCTGTCAGTTTTAGAGGCCTCTACCTTAGTAGCGCAGCCAGAGCAAGCGGTTTTAGCACAAACCCCCGTGAGGCAGAATCGGCTCCGGCACCTTCACAGCCACGTAAGAGAGCCTTACCAAAGTGCAGTATATGTGGAATTCAGGGTCATAAATTGACTACATGTCCTAATAGAACTAGTTTTTAGCTTATTGAATTTAATGGCGTTTTGGTTGAGAAAAATGCATTAAAAATAAATAGATACAGGTAGGGTGGCGGCTCGCTTGGGGTGGCGGCTCGCTTGTGAATTACGTTATTTATGGGTCCATTCTAGTTACATAAGCTATGCCGACGGATCATCTATCGACCGGTTTCATGCAGTATTCGTAAGGTAATTGCGACAGACTGCAATCAGGCAACACCTCGAAAGTTTAACCGTTCGACTTGATAATGACCAGTGCGTCTTCAAATTCCTGAATTTAATCACCCAGTTATTGTAAATTGCCACCAAATTTGGCCTGTAAACCCTCTTGCCGTAGTAGGCGAATTGTTAGCTCGGCTACCCTCAATACGGCGCATAGTTAGAGAAGCATCCAAAGAATACTTGGATTTAGTCAGTATTTGTTTCTGAGGGAAGTCTCATCAGACAGAACGAGATAACAAATAAGCCTCTAGAAGAGCTGCCGGCATGGATAGGCAGCGTTTGAGGCTCTTGTTTCACCGATGTGCTTTCATGGGCTGATTAGCAAACGGAGGCATCTATAATGTATCCTATGAGCTAAATCAAGTTTTTGAGAGCTTTTAAACCCGAACCGGTCTTGTGAAGAGAAGGTTGGTAGTGACCTAATGTTTATCTAGTTTCTGAGACAATCTCGGATTTTTCCCACCAATGCTGTAGAGCTGCTGACGCCAATCTAGAAGACAATGAGCTGTCTCTCGATTCTCTGGTACGGCAAGCGAGTGTAGACTGATAGCTGAGAGATCCGTCGCGCAACAGTGGCAATTTAAAGAAAAAATAGCCCAGGAGTTTTGCACTGTTTGCAGCCGAAGTTCTGAATTCTGTTGTGATAAAGCATTCTGAGTCGAGTCAAATCCAAGAGACGTAGTATTTGCTACTCTCCTAAAATATCTGCAGCGGATAGCCAGCCCTGGAAGCCGCGCATGCTGACGTTAGATCTTCTATTTCGGTCGGCTAGCACTGCTTTGGCTACAACAAGTGTGGAGTGTCGCCCAGTGCCAAGAAGAAACAGCTTTCTAGGTGAAAAGCATCTAAACCATGTCTCGGACCCTGCCGTGCCATACACGTTCCAATTGGCTATGTGTTGAGAAAAATAGCCGAATCGCATAGTTAGCGTGCTTACTTGCATGTTTCTACTCCACAGTGAGAGCGAGGTTGCAATTCTCATTTATTCGTCAAGTTCTAGCTTCCTCTCAATAGATGTATAAATTTTGTACGGAATCCACGCAAAAATGGCAACCAGCTTGCTCAATAATTTTTACTATTCTCACTGCACAATCTTATCCATAGACAATATGGCAACCCGTGTTCTGGTGATGGCCCTTCTGACAGTTTCTGTATATGCCTCGCCTTCGAAACTTCGTCCTCGCTCTATCACTCCACCTGAAGGGTGTCCTATTCCTACGTGGCAGGTCAATGAGTTCCAGTGGTACAACGGCTCACACAGCCTGGACTGCATCCATAATCAGGTCGACATCAACACCAAGGGTTGCCTCTGTGGACATGGCTGGTGTGAACCTGATCCGGCCACTTGCAATGGAACCATGGTGAATGTGTGCTGGACCGGAATGCCAAACTATGAGCCCTGGGGGTACGGTCCGCTGGAAACGCTGGATATCGACTTTGCAGACGGCCTCAATTGTCACGACGAGTACATTGGATATCGCATTCATGACATCGGTAATGGCGCAAGTAATTGCGGCTATGCAGATCGCGGTGCTGGGCGGATTGTGGCCTTCTACGGATCATCCAATCTGGAATCTTCAACCGGTCATATCGATTATACTCTCGGAGATGGACATGCGCTGAAGTGTGACAATGGAAGTAGCATCACCTACTCTGGCAGTACGGATTTCCAAATCAGTTGCACGCATGACGCCTTCTTCAACGCCACTTGCACAGCACCAGTGTTTGAAATCCCAGTCCTGAATTACAAATGGGTCGTGTGATGTTGTAAATTCAACCGAACCCAGTTTTATCAAAATCCAAAAACCTGAGAGCCTCATAGTGGCGATGATATACGTGGCTGCATGGGAAAGACTACCAAAATGTATCTATCAAGTGCTATTATGTTGGTCTGATCCTGAATAAATGAATTTGGCAGAATTAAACGAACATTCAATCCGCCTATGTTAATAGCTAGCGAAAGCTGAGACATCTGCTAAGTGTGTTGTAAGTGTCCACCGAAGATGATGACGCGGGCATCCAATTCCTCCGGCCACCCTGTGTTTCTGCTGCCCCACGGCGCATAGGCCTAAATAATAAGTGCTGGCGACATAACTTAACGCTTGAAGATCCTGAGCTCAATCATTCTCAGAATCAGGTAGGACACAGCAGCGAACGCAAACCCTAGCTCGAAGCCAACGTCGCCTCCAGTAGGGGCTAAGCCCGCTTGCTTGGCGATCGGGCCAACCCACCAGGACTGACTCATTCCAGTCACCATTCCGACGATTCCGCAGCAGAATGCAAGCAAGGCAGCGATTCCAGGTGGCAGTTTGTCACGATTGTCGTAGTCCTCGGGTTGATAACCGGAAAATCCTCGCCTGAATACGAAATGCTCAGTCAACGCAATCCCCTCGTAAATCGCCAGCCAATAGCCGATGAAGTGCATGAAGTTTTCTAATACGGCTTCAAAGTTGCTATAGCCGGGGATTGCAATGGCAATATAGACCCCAGTGGCAAAGACAGTCCAGACAAACCGGGGAACATGGCGAGTCCATCGTCCCATGACCATCAAAGTCAATGAGACCGAATAGATATTCGGACAATTGTTAGCGACAATAGAAAGCGCAAGAACCACAACACAGAATTTTCCAAATCCTCCAACCCGTGGGAATAGAACAGCGCCGAGCAGGCCCCCGACCCCAGCCTCATCATATCCCTGTTGGTATGCATTATCTCCGGCATTAAGAGCGGTACTTGTGACTATTGCAGCGCCGAGCAGTTCCGTGAAAAGCAAGGTCGGGAGAATACCCAGCCAGGTGGCGAGAAAGACCTTACGCCGAGGACGATTGCTTGGCTGATAGACCGTGTAGTCTGCTGCGAAACTTGTATACCCGGTGCCGAAGCCGAAGACAGTGGATCCATAAGAGAGAACTGATCCCAATTCTGCACGACCGACGCCCATTGGTATGTTGATAAAATCTCCGGAATGAGCAAATACACCAAGAACAACCAGGAAAACAATAAATGTCGGAATCCAGCTCCAGTATTCATACGCATGCACCACCCGATATCCGAAGAAGACAACAAGCTGGGTGCAGAATGCGATTATCAATATTCCGGCGTACCCAGGGACGCTGGGATTCACAGCATTGATCAGTTGCGCTCCGACGATGATGTTCGCAGCTGCCCAGCCGATGCATGCTAGAACATTGAATATGGCGACTATCAAGGTAATCGACTTGTTAGTTTAGTAAGATGAACACGATTTGAGACTCACTCAGCTTCACGCCCCACCAGCCGAACCAGAATCGCGATAAAACCATCTGTCGCAGCCCAAAAGCAGGACCAAATGCGGAAAAAAAGCAGACAGTCATGACTGCGATCATGTTGAAGAATATTATCACCAATACTGAATCCACAAAGCCCATGGCAAACAGTGGTTTTCCCAGAACCCCAATGGTAAATGAAGGCACAACCATGTTGGCAGCAAGCCACTAGGAATATTCAACGGATTAGAGAGATCTCGCACGGTGCTTAGGATCAAAGTACCATGGAACCAATATTCCAATAAGAATTGTCGGTTCTTTCATCCTCCGGGACGCGTTCGATACCTCGTTGTTCAACGTTAATCTTGCCACCGAGTCGTTGAAGCTTGGCATAGAGAGAGTCGCCATATTCAAAGCTAGTGGCAGGGACAGCGCCCGTCTCATCTTCAAATAGTACTGGTGCCGCGGCCCCAGCACGTTTCTCGACGTCGGCATTCAGTATTCGACTCATGATATTCACACATGGAGGCGCCAGATTTCAGGAGACGAGCTTTTTAATAGTGATTTCCCCAGGAAAGTGGATTGATCCACACGGGGGTCTCCGATCCACTACCCCAGACGCTTTGTCCATCTCGGCGTGGGTTCTAGATAAATGTTACCCACAACAATAATCGGAGGCTGGGTTGTTCGATCGGGTCTTTTAATCTGGTAAAACATTGAATCGAGCGGTGTGCTCGTATAGCAGCCAAATTATGCCGAGGTAGGCCTGGAAGAACCTTCCACTCTAGTGTTCCGGTCGTCGTTAGGTCAATTCAAGGTTTGATACTATGCTAGTTCGGACTGGTACAGCCGGATCTCCACAGTCCGGCGTCACGGACAAGACGGAGACCCGGGAATGCGAGCGGGGTTGGATATTGGCACGGAGGATGCCGAGACTCAAAGCCAGTGTATCTGAAAAGTGAGGATTTGAGCTGAAAACTGTTTTCTGCGCAAGATTGACGGTGAATTCGGCTAGCGGCGTCGACCGCTAACGTATGAGATTTACAGGATGCATGGAGCAAATGTGATTGGGCGATTGCTTGAAAGAATGATTTAATAAGGTCAGATTCCCCAGGGATTCTTGAATCTTCTCAACAACACCTACGCGCCATGGCGAGCCCCATTGAACTACCTCTGGTGGACATCTCCAACTCGCATGATGTGGTCGCCGGGAAGAAACTGCTCGATGCGGCTGTGAAACATGGATTTCTGTATATCGATAGCAACAGCACGCTGCTCACCACGTCGGATGTTGACCAAATCTTTGACCTTGTACGCGAATACCCCTTGCGTCTACTACCGAGGTATCCACTGGTGTGACTGTGTATCTCACCTTTGCCAGTCACAGGAATTCTTTCAACTCTCTCCCGCCGAGAAAGCGCCTTATCGCAGAGGAAATGACGTCAGATCTGCCTTTCAGTCGCTAGGATTCACATAACTGACCCTTGTTTAGAATCGAGGTTGGGTTGGAATGCATGTAGAGACATTGGACCCTGAACATCACGATGTGAACCTGCCTCATTCCCTATAGCTTCCAGGCACTATGACTAACATTTCTTAGAGAGGAGATTTCAAAGAGTGAGTTCTCTTCCAGCATGCGACGAGAAATTATCTGATAGCCCCGTCGAGCGATGAATATTGGGGAATTCCAGGACGGAAACCTCCAACAGCCACTCCCCCGTGTTTAATCTCAAGAGAGTCGGAGATCGCTCGATTCACTGATCTCTGCAATACCATCTGCAGTCACATCTTGAGACTACTTGCCCTTGGGTTAGAGGTATATCTTACTCAGTCCTTCCCCTGCTCGGACAGACTGATTAATCCGATGTAGATCGACGAGGAGTTTTTTACCTCCCGCCATGATCAATCAAGGGGCACCACGGGGAACTCTCTTCGATGGCTCTATTACCCAGCTGCCGTCTCATCATATCGGCCAGGGAAAGACATCCGAGCGGGGGCTCATTCTGATTATGGAAGTATCACCTTGTTATTTCAACGTCCCGGGCAGCCAGGGCTTGAGATTCTCACTTCAAACAATGAATGGGCACCAGTTCCAGTATACCCTGATGGCCGAACAGACTTTCCATTTCCACCAATCCTCGTGAACATTGGCGACATGTTGAGCTATTGGACAGATGGCTTGCTCAAATCAACAGTCCATCGAGTCGTGTTTCCCAAACAAGACCAATCAGATCATACCTCCCAAGCGCACGATCGCTACAGTATCGCCTTCTTTTGTCAACCAGTGAGTGAAACAGAGCTCATTCCCGTACCAAGCGAAATCGTCTCTCTTCATCAGAAAGAAAACAGAAGTGACAAGGAGGCTGGGAGAGTGGTTGGCCATGGCGGAGGTGCCCATGGTTGGAAGGCCGGTCAGCCTTGTATAACAGCAGGACAGCATTTGCAGTCCCGTTTGGCGGCAACGTACGTATAGTAAAGGAGAACAGTGAATTTTTGCGTTGTTATGCTGTTCCACATTATCCTCATGATGTTTTTAATCAAAGTTCCTTCTATAAAGAGCAAGTGTATCTATGCTGGCAGTTCCGCCCTGGATAGTGGCTAATGCGGGCTATCCTCGTTCTGGTCAAAGTGCTCCCTGGCCCACGGGCTACGCAGGCGGATGGCTTTGCCCTTATAGAAGAAGATGAATGGGATTGGCACCAGAAGAATGGAAATAAATCCCAACAGGCTAGAAGCCCATTCGTAGTCCAACTTCTCATACATCTGGGTCGCAAACAAGGGGAATCCAGCACCAACAACGTTGCGCACCAAGATCACGCCCGCAAGAGCCGAGGCTGAATATGTCTGGTAGCTGTCGACTACGTAGTTCAAAATGCTGAGGATCACGATATAGATACCAGCTCCGAAAAATGAGGATGCAATGATTGGAACGATCCAATGGACTGACCGATAGCTTGTCCAGCCGAACCAGAACAAGCTAATAGGAATCAAGATTGCACCCAAGCGTGCCATCCACATGCGTGCCTCGGGAACACCTTTGCCTCCGTTCTCCGCGACACGGCGCAAGTAGTATCGCTCCTGAAGCGGATAGAAACAGAACGCAATCAGAGGGCCAATGGCCATTCCCAAGAAGGCCAGGCCCTGCTGACCGGTGTTGAACGGATGTCCTTTCGGCTCGCCGAAAACAAGGGGAATCGCTTCATTGAACAGATAGACCAGGCCGTATAAGAAGCCGTTGTAAATCGCAGAGAATAACGTGATCGGCTCCGAGAAAAGGAAACGGAACGGGCGCGTAAGTGTGATCGCAAATAGTTCGTGCAGACCCTTCCTGCTGCTCTCATGAAGGTCTGTAGTCGACTCTGCGGAGCGGAGGTTCTCCTTCTTCATTTGCTTGCGCGCACGCTTGGCCTTGTTCTCAAGCACGGTGGTGTGGCGTGTTTCAGGAATTGTGGTCAATAAAACAACCCAGACGCCACCAGTCATGGCCATCAACACCCAAAAGATCCATCGCCAGCCCAGGTTAAGCCCGATGTACCCAGTGATAACCAGTGCCATAGGGGGTCCAAAGGTACTGCTCAGCCCGTAGACGGCCATTGGGCCTCCGCTCTCGTTCCGCTCCCACAAGTCACTGATAGTGCCTCCAGTGTTTGTCAAAGGCGCACCTCCGGCACATCCAGCGATAAACCGACACACCAAAACGGTGCCAATGTTCGGGGCCAAAGCGAGAGGAAGTTGGAAGATGAATAAACAGAACCAAGACACCACATACACTGGTTGACGTCCAAAGTATTCCGAGAGTGGAGCGAGAAGCACAGGTCCGATGGCATAGCCTAGGACATAGAGAGACAGGCATAAAGTAGTGACTTCAGCTGAAACACCAAATTCCTCTTGTATACCAGTGGCGCCCGAAGAGATACCTCCCGCACACCATGTTCTAGATCAGGGATGTTAGATGGACATCGGAATGAACAAGGATTGCATGACGACGTACGTGAAAACGTTGAGCATGCTGACCACGATGGTGATATACCACTTGCGCCATTTCGGCCAGTTGCGAGGGTTGTCGAGGTCGTTCGAACCGTAGGCGATGATAATCGGTAGAGCATCATTGGGGTTACTGCGTGCTTTGGCCAGAGCTTGATCTTCAGACAAGACTAATGTTGAGTTTTCGGGGCGGGAGTCTGTGACCTTCTCCACATCATGGGGCTCAGGTCGCGTGTCTTCCTCCGAAGTCATAGTGCTAGATTCTGGGAGGGGAGAAAACGGGACTGAGATGCGCAAGGGATGCAGCATTTAAAGGGGGGAAAGATGGGGCTGCGAGCCGAAAGACCGAAGCTCTCCACCCTTCTCCATGCTAAGCCCAGTTACCGAGACAGGAAAAGGTTGCCACACCGTTCGGTTCGGCGCGCCGAAAAGAAGCATCATTGGCAAATGCTTGGCTATACTTGACTCCACGTGACTCCACTTGGACTATCTTTTGCCCTCTCGGTGTGGACATTAGTAATTATTGCCTTGTTTCTGTGTGGCAATCATTATGTGTATCTTAATCTCCACCTCTGTCCGGAGAGCTCTGTCCGGAGAGAACGAAAATATGCAGTCATGATGCCGAGTCGCAAATACGAGTATAAATCTTCAGCCTTTGGGATGGGACAATTAGAACCTGAGCCGTATCCTACACTTAGGTTACGCGTCATCGCTATTTTATCGCCTATATGGCCGGTAAAACAGAGAAACCTCCAGCTAAAACGCCCCAAGAGTGGATGTTCTCCGCATATCAGGCAGAGGCCCCAGGTGCGCAATTTTAGTTTCCAATTCTGCACCTGTACTGTACATATACAAAAATTGATAAGTTCTTAGTAGAATAGCCAGGGCAAAATCGATTGTCCACGAGGGACCAAGCTGACGTTTGTGAATCATCTAGTGCTCATTTACAATCTCAGCTCGATGGATTCTGTCCTTCCAAATAAATATATACATGCACCGATGTGTGACGTGCTGCGGCACATATGACATTTGTTCAATATCGCGTCTTCTATAATCCTAGGAAATCATGTGTGAATGGTTATATCTGCATTTCAAGACCTAAATGTCTGCTAATGCCAGAGAACATTCGAACTAAGCCTCCATTCATGGTCCGGAATATCATTCCTCCGGGACCGACGTCATCCCCCTTCGACTTGGACTTCGACATCACATCTTTCCTGCCCGGTCTGGAGAGTGACTTCATTTAGATGCAAGTCCATTTGCAATCCCATGCGATGTCACTTCAATACTTCAATATGGCTTCAATTAACCCTACAAGACACCGAGATAATAACGCAATCGGCGCGACCCGATGATCCTATACCCCAAGTCCAACGCCGATCGACAGGAACGTGTGCCGCTCGGTGCTAGATGATGTCATGTTGGTGTCTAGAGCCATAATATGGACGACCGATAACAGTCACGCCACCCACAACGACCCTACGAGGCTCGAGATCGTTGGAAATCGAAAACCCATGAGACAAGTCAACGATATCCAGATTATCCGCCAGCAGCTGAAGCGTGTCCCCGTTTCTCGGTGACAAGCACAAGCCCACTGTCAGGCCTAATCCCCTACTCTAGGCTTTATCGACGACGCCAATGCTCGCAAGCCAACCCCGACCCCATCCTAACCTACCGCTGAGTCGGGGTCGAGGTCGTCTTGGGAGCCCTCGCGTCGTCGATTTGAGCGGTAGTACTAGGAAATGGCCTCGATGATTCATTCGTTTCCGCCATTCACGCACGCCATGACGAGTGATTAGCGTCAATTGCTACTCAATTGAATTTTGTTCAGAATTCAGCAACCCAAGTACCGGCTCCGTATCTTGAAGATCATGAAGGCTCATACAATTGTACTAGCTGTCCAGGGAACCTTCCTAGTGTTTTGGATATCGACCATTTTCATCCTTGGTCATTCTCAGCCCAGGCGAAAGCATAGTAATATCACAATAGCATTCAAAATCATTGGAAGGGCCGATCCCCGCCACCCAATTCATGTTAGGATATACTAAAAAAACAAGGTAGAGTCAGCTTAGTAATATCAATCAGAAAGCCGACGATTAACGGACGGTATTTAGCACTGCCGATGCCTTTCCGTAATATTCAGAAATAGCAAATGGCCGACCTCCCAGCACCAGAATGGCTGGTTTTTCAAGAGCAATGATTGCATCAGCAAGAGCACCTGCAAATGGTAGAGAAAATAGTTTAAGGGTATCAAGTGGCATTAGGGGAAGAGATACTCTGGTTTGGAGATGGACCAGGGGTTGCTCGATCGCCTGATTCACCGTCACTGTCCCAATTAACACCAACTGCGATGATGACAATTCCTGATGCTTTGATAGCTTCAACAGCCTTTTATAATTAGCCACCGAATTATATAGCAAAATATGACAGCAAAGCTCTCTGCCTATCGCATCCCCTTCATCCACAATATTCCAGAAAAGCAGAAACTCGGCGTTCAGTGAATTGAGACTCAACCTTTTGGGCGTTTTTCCATGCCTGATACTCTAATCTGACGTAGTGGATTTGTCTAGGCTTGAAGGTGAAAGACGCAGCTCCTGGTGGGCTCATCGTTCCATTTATCTCCACATAGGACAAAGCAAAAACGTTGAAGAAATTTCTAGTACCTGCCGCATTGACAACAATATGCAAGCCGCTGTCTACATACAGCGTCACGGTTTGTTGGGATATACGGCGACCCCCAACCACCTGTCGACTGTATGATCGACAGGTACTTGAACTTCTCTTTCCCAAACCACACTGAAATTGTTGGGGGGCGATCACTCTGGTGGGTAGAGTCCCCAATCTAGACTTGGCGTCTCCAATGTTTGCTGTTTTACTTCGCTTGATCCTAGAGAGCATTATCAGAATGCGGCCCAACGTTATTCTCAGCAAACATGAGATGCATTTGCACCACTTGGATCATACAGTCAGTGGCCATAAGTATTCAAGCGAGAGTAATTCCAGGCTAGCTTAGGGATGGTAAGGTTCATTAACGTTATAAGCTTCTCTAGGAAGGTAGCCTTTTCTGTAGCCTTCACAAGTCTGACAGTGACACCATCTCCCTAAGTATCAGCGAGAGCAGCATCGTAAACGGATCGGGCGTGAGATCCCTAAGAATCAAGGGAGTAGTAAGTGTAAGAATAAATGTGAAAGATGCCCTTTCATTACGCTGACTTTTTGCTATGTGATGGCGAGAGAGAATGTTTGGACCGCGATCGGAGAAAAGGATATTTTTGAAACGGGGTATGATTTCTTCAGATATTAAAACCGCATCAACCTTGGGCGCTCTGATAATCTGCTCTCAATATTTCAACTGTGAGTGATGGTTAGCTTCTTTGGCAAGGTAACCAGAGTACTGCGTTGCATGATGCTCGATTTCTCTTCTCCGCATCTCTACAATGCATTGATTTGACTTGTATCGATCAACAGTTGCACTTTGTGGTCAAAGTGGGGCGCCAAATGGGGAACGTCACTAGGTACGATTAAATGAGCAAACTTCGAGGCACTAGACGATTACAAGTCGCTCGCAAAGCCTGAGGAGCACATTAAATGCCAAAAATGGGGCGGAACACCAAGATTTGTGAGAACTATTACGAACTGTTTCAAAATTTGTTTGAACTTGCGAACTCCATATAATTTTGACTCGTACTCAAGTCGAGTCTCGTGAACTGACAACCAATGCCTCGCCGTACAGGCTAACATCATAGCCGTTTCGTTCCAGATACTCCTTGAAGCGAGCATCCTCTGTTTCCAGCTCGCGAGACATATCCGGAATCAACAACCAGGCAATAAGGCCGCCAATCACTGTGAAGGCCGCTCCAATCAAAAACACCGCCTGTTGGCCCTTTTCAGTGGAACCAAACGAGTTCTGGATTGGGATGAAGACCTCAGTTCCAATGGAGGCTCCTGCCTTTCCAACTGCTGCGGCAAAGCCAAGGAAATGGCCACGCAGGGGTGTTGGGAAGGATTCAGAAGCGCAAAGAAATGTTGAGACACCGGGACCCATCTCTCCGAGGGCCTGGAAGATGCCGTACATCACCACGAATAAGGGAAATATACTCTGAATCTGATGCAGCGCACCTCCAATAATAAAGCCCCATACTGCCCAGAGCATGAATCCCAATGTCATAGTCTGCTTGCGGCCGATGCGATCCATGAGTAGCCCACCCAGCAAGCAACCGGGTAGATAGAAGCAATTGATGACTGTCTGATTATCGTTAATTAGCTTGAACAGAAATCAGCTTTGCACGCGGTCCACACTTACTCCGTATCCAATATTTTGCACCGTGGTGTTGTTAGGATTAAGTTGCTCAATGATTGTTGACGAGAACAAACCAAAGGGATAAGTCACGAAGTCGTAGCAGAACCAGGCCAAAGCTGTTTTTTTCCCGGGTAAGAGCCCATAACAATCTGAAGTTTGCTAATACTTACATGTTCCAAGCATAGGCTTCCAGTAACGACGCAATACCAGCATATATGGATACTGTGATTTGATGGCGTGTTTCCGATATTGCGTGGAGTTGACCATCCGAAAACGGAAGAAACAGATGGAAATCGGCAACTGTTTTGAAGTTAGGATGATCAGACTCCATTTCAAGAGTTCGAAAAACGTACTACAATGCCCAACCCGAAGGTGATTCGCCAGACGCTTTCTGAATCCTGCTGTTTATAACAAGCCAGCACAATCAGGGCGACCAGACCTGCCGCGACGAATCCCTGTTTCAGACTTTAGCAATGCTACTGGCTAGGGGTTGGCAATACAAACCAGGTCAACCGCAAAATCCGTCGTTGCAGCCACGAGAAAGCCGCGCCGTTTCCGGAGTTTAGCAGTTTCATCAGCAGCCTCGGTGGCACTGGTTGCACATACTGGATACTCTCCACCAGCTCCAAACCCAGCAATACCTCGTGCTACAATCATCATCCAAAACATACTTCAGATGGTGTCAGCAATCTCGGCCCTTCTGGTGTCTTTCCAGTCATAAACGAGAGGGGTCCTCTTACCCCAGCTGTGTGCTTCCGTGAGATGCGGTAGCCAAGACCACTCCTAGAATGAGGAAACCTGTAGCAGCAATGATACCAGTCCGACGGCCGATACGGTCGATCAAGACACCAAAAAAGAGCATCCCGAAAATCTCCCCGATTAGGTAGGAGTTAGAAAGGCGGGACTTGATGGTTGAAGACATGCCATTCAGGTAGCTGGAAACATTTATCAGTGAATTGGTCCAGATAGAAAACATCAAGCCTCCTCACAGCACCGAGAACAACGGTTCCATGTAGCCAACTAGAACAGGGTTAAAAGAAAATAATACAGAAGCAGGGGCAAAACCTACTGATTTGCGCATTGTATCCATCACTGAATAATGCTAGCCCCGACACAACCACGTTCAGTACACCTGAGCTCTTCCGCTTGGTTTCGCTTTGCTCGACGTCGTGGTCTTCCGAGTGAGACTCTTGCGCCTTTGAGTAATTCTTCACAGGGTGATTGGTAAATGTAGCCATAGAGTCGCTCATATTGCCAGAAGGAAGGACGGAGAGGAATAGAGAAAGACGAAGACCAGGGGCACTTATCTATATAGAAATATGCCATGAGTTGTGGTACATATTGCCAAAGTCCAATAGCAATCTGATATTGATGCACGGGAGGCTTCAGATGTTACGCCGGGATGAAGCACGAAATGTCAGGCTCCATAAATCCAAGCTCAAGTGCATACAGTAGCATTCCTGTACTTCACGCAGAAATCCACAACGGTAGGGCTCCGCCCCCACCACAGCTTGGCGCGCCACTCCCACGCTTGGACCTGAGCGCCAAGCCTATAGGAGCTTATCTTTTTCCCATGTGGCCTACTAAATCTGTCGGCCTCCGATCCGTCAGATTGAGACTTGCCTGTTTAGTCTTTATCTCGGTGTGAAGTGCGAGACCTCGCGTTCCCTGCGTGAACGTGCACTCAGTCCTGTATAAAACGTAGTCCAAGAGCCTCATTTGATTCTCGCCTCCGTTGTAATTAACGGAATTTACTTCCCTATTATGGAAAATCCTCACGATTCTCTCTCTGCGGAGCAACTCTCGGGTTTCTAGGAGCGTGATACTTGTTGATTCGACAGTTACTTACTCCTGGGGAATCGGAGTTGCTGCATCAATGGGCATAGGAGGTTTACGATCTTGCACCCCCGATACACCGTGGATGCCTTATGAAGAGGTCAATTCTGATGGTAAGCGGGTGCTCTCTCGTACGGAGAACTTTGCAAACTCCCATGCAGGATTCGACGGTTTCCTACGGGGTCAGCGTGCTATGAGTGTCCTGCAACAGCTCGCCGGGGAAGAAATGATCCTCTTCAAAGAGAAAATCAATCACAAGCTGGCCGGAAGTGGTAAGCGCTTTCATAATTCCACATTTAACTTCGATATCTGATATTATTTGCAGACGGATTTGACCATCATATAGATGCCATTGCTTACACCACGTCAAGAACATCAATCGTTTGACAATCCTGACTGCCGTCGACGGAATGAATTCAGCCAATGGAGGTCTGGAGGTTGTTGATGGATGTTATCGTATGGACATCCCTCTCGGTAGTGACTGGTGCATCGAACCCACCTGGGTGAAAATGAGCATCTGGACACCAGCCGAGCTTGAATCTGGTAGGAAACATTTCACCCAACCTTGGCCGTACTTATGCTGATAAAGACAGGCGATATTTTGATCTTTGGCTCATACCTGGCGCATAGAAGCGGTGCCAATACTAGCCCCAAGGACCGCCGAGCGATTTACGCAACATACAACTGCGCCGCCGAGGGAAGTCTGCATGATCAGTACTGTTTAGACCGTCAGAAGCTTTGGCCGGCAACTCACATGCAAAAAGAGGGAGAATCTTACGAAGAAGGCCGGGCTCGCTATGCTTTCGGTTCTCCCATGTTGACGGTGGACTCTAAGGCTATTCCTGCCTAGAGGTGTACTTTAGCTTCTCATTGTGAAATAGACAGCAGGCGATTCAAAGCATACTGCGTGGTCTGAATAAGTTTTATGTAAACGGAAAAGAAAAGCAAAAAGCAAAACTTATGGTGAAATGAAGAGACGTATAATCTTGCCTTCTTGCCGATCAAACCGGAGTTGGTGTGGGCCATCGGCAGGAGGTCCGCAGGTTGCAATCGCCATAGAAAGGGATATTAAGACTTCGGAGGACTTAGTGCATGGGTTAATGGATTGATGGAGGAGTTCTATCGCATATAAAATCCTTCCCAATCCCCACCTGAATTCTTTCCTCCTTTCTGTACTGATTCCAGTTTCTTCTTTGGTCACATACCTCTCTTGCCATGGCACAACAATTCCAACAGAAGGCAGACGCGCTTGTTGGGGCACTGGAGAAGTATGGCCAAGGTGACTACATCGGGGAATCCATTAGCCAACTTGAACATTGTCTGCAGGCAGCACATCAGGCACAAAAAGCTAGTGAGTGATGTTCCCGAGGCACCGAGAGATTGGGCTAACTCTCTTTTCAGGGGCCCGAGATGAGCTGGTAATTGCCGCTTTATTGCACGACATTGGTCAAATTATCCCCTTGGAAACAACCAAGGAGGTGCGCATGAACCTCCGCGGGAGCACGGAGAATGTCGGCCGGGTCGGCCACGAAGCTATTGGGGCTGCTTACCTCCGGTCGCTTGGATTCAGCGAGGCCGTGTGCCGATTAGTGAATAGCCATGTTGCAGCCAAGCGGTAGGTGTTTCTCTATATGCCTTTCTCTATATGCCTACTGTCAAACCCAGGCTCATTTTGCACAGATACCTCACTGCGGTTGACCGGGCGTACTATGACTCTTTGTCCTCGGCGTCTCAGAGATCGCTGGCGTTTCAGGGTGGTCCTTTCGAAAGCGGCGATCTGAGAAAATTTGAGGAAGATTCGTTGCGAGACGAGATGGTTTCTCTTCGACTGTGGGATGATGCGGCGAAACTAGAGGGGATTGAGGCCACGACGCCGCGTGCAACGGCCTATTTGGAGATGATAGTTGCGCATTTGGAAAAACAAGAGAACATGAAGAGTAAATAGGGTTATTCTGAAGATATTAAAGAGAAAGTAAGATATTCAGCAAATACATGATAGGAGAATTGGAGATGAGACGGGAATCTGCCGCACATCCCCTCTCCCTCTCCCTCTTCTTCTTCTTCTCCCTGCAATGCCGTCTACCGCTAGACTCAGAACCCAAACCGGATGCTTTCAATGTGAGACTAGAATCTAATAATTGCAGACTCATAGCTGAGACGAACAGGTCGAAACCGCCGCAAGAAATGTGACGAGACGCGACCGCGGTGTTTGGGCTGCACTCGGAATGACCTCGGGTGCAAGTGGCCGTCAGGGGAGCCTTCCGATAGAAGAAGAGGCATGCGACATCGCCAATCTCCCAAATCTCTGAATTCTGTGGATGTCTCTCTCGATTCAGAGCTGTCGCTGACATTAACGCCGCCTATTGCGATGCCATCTCCCTTTCAACATGAGGAGCACTCTTATCTTTACCGATACTTCGCTTCGACAGTTCTCTCGCGCCTCGTTCGTCAAAGTTCACTTTCACATTACTCAGACCAATCATACATGCTCCGCTTAGCACTGGAGTTTCCTCCCTTGATGGGCGCCATGATCTCTATCGCCGGTATGCAGTTAGCTCCGGCTCCCCGCTGGTCAATCTCTTGCGCAGTGCAAAGTTATGTCCACACGATCACTGGTCTACGAAGAATGCTCGAAAATGCTGAAGATATAGGATCTGATGATGCGCTCTTAGCGACTGTGATTTCGCTTTCGGTATTTGAGGCATGCTTCGTTCATTTCTGCATGTTTGCCATGACGGGCTTGGGTTGTTACTAACCAGAGAATAGACGTCGCGACTTGACTCATCACCAAACACCGCACCTCATATTACGGCGTCGGGCATAATTTTAGCTCAGCGCCGCCCTAGGATGGCCTGTCCCCAGACAGCGGTGTTTGACCGGATCTGCATTGAATCATTCGTATATCATGCATCTCTAATGATGTTGTTTGACCCATCGCTTGATGCGCTATCTAGCATCCGGCAGCAGCTGGATTTACCGCAACGTTTCTTGAATTTCGGGCAGGGTGATTCCGCAGCATGGGAATTTGGCATTTCTACGCAACCAATTCTTTACGCGCCCTACAAATTCTTCTTACTGATCGCCGATATCACAAAGCTTGCACGTATCTCTCGTGTATTAGATGATCCGGAAATTTCAACCTGGACAAAGATTCAGCAGGAACTGTGCCATTGGCCCCGGGTTCTTGACACGGAAGACGAACTACTGGCAGCGATATACGGTTTCTCGGTTCAGATTTTACTACTGAAATCAAATCCAAATATAACGTATGATGAGAAAAGTCGACAAGCAGAGTTTAATCTAGAAGCCGGGTTGGAGCATGTCCCCTTCCTTAATCTAGATCACCATTTCGCGAGCTATCTATTATGGCCACTGGCTATTTTGGGCTCCGCTTGCACTACTTTCGAGGAACAAAAAACGATTCAGACTTGCATTTCTTTAGTCTCCATCCAAAAGCCGGGCGGCCATGCAAGCTGGGTGCACAGGCGACTGAGAAAGATATGGTCCGTCGTCAACAAAACGAACGAGAAATACCCAGCGAAGCGCAGGCTTTTGGGGCTGCAGGCACTACTCGATGGGGACAAGGAAGATGATTAGGCTACATATTAAGTCCAAAGCCTTTCCGTCCGTGTTGTTGGAAAAGTAATGTTCATAGAACTATCACTATGAAAGACCAAACGGCCGTAACCATACATCTCCTTACTGGAAAGCCCGCTCAATCGCAGAAACCGCATGTGCCAGAATCTCGTCCTTCAATCGTCTGCCAATGACTTGAACATGACAGGGGGCACCTTCTATCATTTGAGGCTGGTCTATAAACTGTCAGCTGTGAGACACTTGCAACGAAGGGGTGTTTCCATACAAGGTGGCACATAATCAACTTCCCGGATAAATGCTTTGTCGGCAGCTTCGTTTGCACTGCCGATCGGAAGCACACACGCCGGATACTTGGAATTGTCAGTGAAAGATCGATAGACATGGATGTGACAACCTACGTCGACAAGATTTGCCAGTACTGTGTACATTGGCAACCCGTATGCGTCGTGTGCGACTGCGCAGCTCTGATACCCAGGACCTAGAATGACATCCAATTGATTTTCCACAAACAGCTCTCGCATTTGCGCCGTGATCTCATTCCTGGCGACGTTCAGCTCAAAAAGCTTGCGGAGATCCGGCTCAGGACCTGTCCCATCCAGATTATACGTGAAATGGAGGGAGGGGATTGGGGGTTCGCCGCCTCGCGCAATATGACCAAGAGGAGTCCGATCAGGATCCATTGAGAAGTATTCCCACGACACTTCACACGCTTTGGATACAAACGTCATCTTCTTGGTCAAGTCTACCACTCGGTGTCCGGCTGCAGTCAGGCTGTGCACTGCATCCGCCAACACACGCTTCATGGGAGGATGTATTGGACGTTCTGGATCCTCAGGCATGATTCCGATGGTGAGAATTGAGCTGGGCTTTGGCTCAGTCCAAGAGATTCCCAGAGCCCCGTCGTCGAGGTCTGCAGCATTGGAGTTGAACACAACACGCAAAAAGAGCTCTGCATCACGAGCAGAATGGCAAATGGGGCCTGCGGTCGGGGCAACACCAACCATTCCCGGCCGAGCTGCCGATGTCTGACCACCATATGGCACACGCCCAACAGTGGGCTTGAATCCCACAAGACCACAGCATAGTGCAGGGATCCGAATGGAGCCTGCGATGTCGGTACCAACTCCAAGGGGGGATCCGCGCAAAGCGACAAGGCAGCCTTCACCGCCGCTGCTACCACCTGCGGTGATGTCTTTGCCGTATGGATTGAGGACTCGACCAAACACATTATTGTGTGAGTCGGCCGTCATCATGGTCTGCGGGATATTGGTCTTGACATACAAGACAGCGCCAGCCGCGAGTAGAACCTCAACTAGAGCCGAATTCTTCGTAGATACGGGGCGGTCTAAGAAGGAGACGAAGCCCAAGGTCGTTGGTACCCCAGTCACGCTGAATGACTCCTTGATGCTGATGGGCAGGCCATGAAAAGGCCCGACGGTCTTTCCAGTCCTTTCCAGGTACTCATCCAACTCCTGTGCACGTTGCAGGGCAACATCAAAGAATGTCTCTGTCAGGCAGGAGGTCAACTGCTGTGCGATAGCAGCCCGCTTGGCAAAGGCGGTTGTCACCTCAAGAGAACTGTACTCCCTCGAAGCCAGTTTCCGGACGAGGTCAGTGGCATCATGATCCTCGGTGATAGTGATTTCACGCTCACTCAGTATTCCTGAGTTTCGGAGGATATCAAAGGGCGAGTGGCTTTTTTCAAGGATAGACTTGGGAATCTGCCATTCCTGGGGAATTTTGGCTGCAGCCTCGGACCGCTTGGCCTCGGCTTTCTGTTGCCAGTCAGGGATCTTCATTTGGAAGTTTGAAAGTGTGGGTGGAAAAGCGATGTAGTGAAGTGGTGAAGTAGTAAAAAGTAAAGAAGAACGAGCTTGACTTGAAGTGGAGGACGGATCAAACAAAGCGTGGATGTTGTGAGAGCCCTGGCCTTTTCCCCTTCACACTTGGGGGTTTATATAGACCTCTATCAGGCGGGGATATTACACCCCGCAACAAGATCTATGTCATTCGAATCCGAGAAAAGAATAAAATCGCATAATCGCGTTCTTATATGGTTTTGATAGGCTTGACTTCGTATAGTTCCACCGTGGGTCGCCCACCAATCACCGACTTTTGCGCGCTGTGCCAGTGGAGATCCGAGGTTACAAAAGCCTCATTGTGCCCTTGTGGACTCTTGTTATCCCCTTTCATTGGATCGCGACGAACTTCTCGACACATAGGTTTATATCCGACCTATCTCAATAATCACTGACTCTAATAGCCGGTTCTAGTATGCAAAATCTCACGATAAACGGCATATATTCTATACGCTATGCCGATGACCCTAATCAACCCTACTACCAGCTCACTGGCACTTCCATGCAACCTAACAACAAATATTCCCGGAACTTTTCTATTCCAGGAAGACCAGTTTTGAGAAATATTCAGCAGGTGTTGAGCATGTCAGTCAGCGCAACCTTTTCGGCAGAAGTGATAGTGAGCTTATAAACTGATTTCACCTTCACCCACATCTTAGCATACGTGCAGTGATAAGATGCTATTTTAAAGTCAGTGGCTCAGATAGAAATATTATGCAGGACTTCAGACGTACTGAGTGAAGGCTTCCAGACTTCCGGTCCATCATCACTCTTCTGGGAGTTCACGCTATCGGTGACTGCCAGAAGCTGGGGATTCACCAGGTCGTTTGCGAAGGCTGTACGATCTGCCGTGGTCCAACTAGATGCTCCAGACTATGAGTAGGTCTTAGTGTTCACTTCAGAAGTTGTAAGTGGGAGCTGAATTACCTTCCACGCATTTGACAGTGGCACGAGATGGTCGATATCGACATCGCTCGCTGCTGTCCAAGTTGCGCCGTCATACGGCGAATACCACGAGCCACTAGTGGCAGCACAGCTGGAGCTTGTCACCACGTTCACTCCATCACGCTTAAGTACACTCTCGCGTGTGGTACAGCTACTGGAGGCGTGAGATGCAGATATCAGAGCCACACGGAATGTATGTACTTACCCATTTGTAGTGATCCAGTGCGGGAATTTGTCGCGATCATAGCCGTCTTGTGATCCTTGAGCGGCAACGGTCAACCCCGCTAGCTCGCTCTTGGCCGTAGATGAAGAAGGGATTCCTGGCGGTGACGGCGCAGGCTCAGGGACTGGTACTGCTGTGCTCAGCAGCGGCTGAAGGGCAAAAGCCACAACCCAAACCGGGGAGATAATCATTGCGAAGTCTAGAAGACTTGATGGATGATTTTGAACTGGAATGCCTTTCACAATACAAGGCTGAATTGGAATGCGCAAGGGGATGAACAACCTAAGAATGTGCAATGATATCCGCAAGATCGCATGGGGATCCCCTGGCTCAACTTTATACACGCCCTCTCCCGTAGCCTTTTTCCCAAACCCCTCAGTCGAGAGCACAGCAGATAATCTGAACCGCGTTGAAACATCAGCGCAGTCCGAGTCTTGGCCCGGTGCTTGGCGTTGCACGTTGGGAGACCATTGGCCTATCACTGGACACTACACGGAATGTATCTGCGAAAAGACACACTGGGAGAGATACACTAGGCGCCCTCAAATCTCCTGCTGCATACCACCTGCGTCGGAGCCGAGTCCTAGGTGGTCAGATAAAGCAGGCTTTCTAAATAACAGGGGCTTTACAGGGAAATGATCGTCCAGCTGAAGATTGTCAACGGAACCTCGGCACTGAAATACAACAACTTGATGCACAGAGCGTTCTATGTAAATAATATGTACATCTAGTTCACAGCAAGCCCCGAGCAAATTGCCATGGGAGCAATACTTTCACGCCCAACGTCTTCGCTGCAGTCAACACCCATTCGGGCTCTCGCAAGAACTGACGAGCCATTAATACAGCATCAGCTTTGGGATCTTGACCGGTCAATATTTGTTCGTTTGCCTGTGCTTCTTCTTCCGCCCCCTGCACAATGTTACGGGCCGACTCTGCTTCGGTAATGAAACCGACGGCTCCAACCAAGGTCTTTTGATTAGCAGCACGAATCTCGCGACGTATTTGGCCAGCCAAATCAATCTGGTAATTCGTATGAGGTTCAATCCGTTGGTCTTTGTGGTTTCCGCCGGAGCTCACGTCCAAGAGGTCAACTCCCAGATCGGGCAGCATCTTAGCTAGCTTGATTGATGAGGGCATGTCCCAACTTCCAGTCTGTGTCGCGATAGGTTCTTTCTCCAACCAATCGGTGCCACTGATACGGAGGAGCAACGGCATCCCAGTAGGGATTACAGCACGAATTGCAGTGGTCACCTCCGCAACGATTCGGATGCGATTCTCAAAGCTGCCTCCATACTTGTCGGTTCGTCGGTTGGTAACGGGGCTCAGGAATTGGTGAATCAGGTAACCATGCGCACCATGAATTTCAATAACGTCTACACCGGCTTTAACAGCGAGTTCCGCGCTCCGAGCAAAGGCTTGAACCAGCTCCTCGATCTCGGCAGTAGACATCTCACGGGGGGCCCAGAATTGATCACCGGGCGCCCATATGTGCTCCTCACCACCGGAGGGGCCAACCACATTGGACGGCCAGCCTCCGACGCTTTCATCGGCTTTGATTCCACGCTGCTTAGCTTGAGATGCCAGCCAAGGGGAGACTGTGCTTGCTTTGCGGCCAGCATGAGCCAGCTGGATGCCAATTTTGGCACCTTGGCTGTGAGCGAAATCCACTATACGGCGAAGTCCCTTGAATTGCTCAGAGTCGGTCCCTTCCTGCCAGAGGCCAGAATCATTGGGCGATATACGGCCATTAGCTTGTACAGCTGTGGCTTCGATAATGATCAAGCCGACACCCTTGACAGCAAAATGCCCAAGGTGAGCAACATGGAAATCTGTCAGAGCGCCCACAGCGGGCGAAGATGGATCTGACTCTGCAGAGTATGTACACATAGGTGCCACAATCACACGGTTCTTGAGTGTCACATCTCGAATACGCAATGGGCGGAACAATGTCGGTATGTTGGGGTCTTCAGGGTTAAAGGCCCCTCCCGCATTGTTGGCGGGAGTGAAGTACGGAAGGCCCTGAGCCTTCACAATCGCCGGAGAACGAAATGCATGAGAACCCATAGTGTGAATACCGTCTTTTCCGATACTGACAATACTTGAGGGCAGGGGGAAAGTGACTTCTATAAATAAGGCCCAGATAATAATCGATGTGCTGACAAATTGGCACATTTCCCCACTATCAACAATGCCGGAGAGAATGCCGAACAGCCGGATGTCGGGATGAAAATCGAGTCGATGGCACGAATCCTATTGTGTAGGGCATTTGTGCCTTCTAGTAGCCAATGGTGGACAGGACAATTCAATCAGGCAGGGATAATCGAGAGCTCTTCCAATAAATGCGCAGTATCTCAGATAGCCGTCTCATCGTGCCGTTGTTGGTTGCTTCGGAAAAGGCCAGGATTTGAGCCATGAGGCACCCCCGATCTATAGGCTGCTGCAGGCTAATTCCTAGCACATAAAATGGCCAACAATAGTATTCGGCAAAGTAGTCGATATCTGGCTGCAGCTGCTGTACAGCGTCCATTCCTTCTTGAATTAGCTGGCCGATGGTTGAGTGAGCTCTCCTGTTGTTACTGCAGGCCATACGCTGGAGCAGGATCCGACAGCCCAAATGGTACAGTTGGGGTCCGATCACAGCGGTTTTGCTTTTCCGTACCATTTGATGCCAGGGTCCCAGGTCACACTCATCGAGGTTGTCCTCCATGCCGTCGTGCTCACAGGCATTTGGCGCTGCTGTTGGTTGATCCCACTGCGGTAGATCGTTTTCGAGTTTTTGAAAAATATCATGATCAATCTCTTTGCGAGAACTATCTTGATAGAGGCGATAAATAGTATATATGCACCGAAAGAGTTGAGGTGGAGCCCCAAGCACTGGGGAGTCTGGATAACACGGAAAGGGAGAGTTGAAATGCCGCCCAAGATTATCCTCCGCTAGTGCCAAGGCTAGATCAACCTCGCCTGGGTACGTGGTATGATACTGGAAGGGAAGGCTGGTGGCAACATGGAAGATAAAGGCTTCATAGACGAGACGGTGCATGGCTTGTTCGATCTCCGAGCTATCATGGTTTATTCTGCAATAACTAGACGCAAGCTGGATTAACTGAGCTGCACCAGTCAGATGGACTTCGACTCCTGCTGAGCCTCGTGGTCTAGATCTCTGTATTGCTAGGTGAGCGGCTGGTTACCCTCTTAGGGGACCGGAAAGTCTAGATTCACCTCATATATGCAAAGCATAAGCACTGTATGTATGGTTACCAGCCATTGGTTCTTAATGTTATCCCTCTCCAAGTCTTTCCGAAGCTCTTTGACAGCCTGGGTATAATGGAATTTTGCCAAATTTCGAAACCGAGGCGTTTTTGTAGGAATCTCCGCCCCGCAACACGCAAGGAGTGCGTGCATGCAAGCCGGTGTCTTCATGGCCATAGCCAACGACTCCCTGCTAAATAAATCAATGACGCGACAAGTAGCAGCGGGCCGAATAAGTTGCGGGAGAAATCGTGCCCTGAGGAAGTCGAACAGAAGAGAACTGCCAGGCATGATAGCAGAGGAATATCCAAAGGTAGCGAAGTATCTCTGCTCAGCACCGAGATCAATGGAGCCAGTTTGGGACAAAGACGATAATGCTTGCCATTGTGTAGAAGAGATCAAGTCAGAGACAGACAGCTGGGTTTTGGTGTCGGAGCGCGATTCAACCACATCCAGCCCAGTGTCAATATCAGCTATGTTCGAGACCCGCGGTGTCGCTTCTCCAGACTCGCGACCACATGAATTGCCAGAAACACAATGTCGCCGGTCGGACTGCCAGATGCATTCCAGCCTTTGCCTGGCGCAGTTGAGGCAGGTCCGCTGTGTTTCGTCGCATTTTTCTTTCGCTTACGACCTTGACAAAAATCAGCACGGTGTCTCCAGCGATAATATTTGATCGCATTGGTGTACAAGCTTGAAACCCTGTGGCTATGTTTAAGGTAGTCCAGGCAATTATCGACTCACAAGTTAGACAGCCACTCTTAGTGCGCAGATGAGCCGGTCGGCGGCGAGGGCGGCGATACGGCAGTAATGCATCTGATACCGCCGTAACCGATCCTTTTGATGCCGGCATTTCGATTGTTTTTTGAGTCTGTGTCTAAAGCCAAGAGAACATCTAAGCGTCGAAGAACAGCCAAGTAGGCATCACGTGTATCTATGTTTCCCTTTTAGGAAGGTACTGCCGGGACTGCCATATAACAAAACAACAGTTGATCTTATACTATGATTTTTGAGAGATATCGTGCTTCGCAGTTTTCTGCCTCAAAATTATAGCATTGAATCGTGATCTGAATGAGCTGACATATATATCCCGACCTTGAGCGTGGCAATTCTCAGTATGGACCGTCCCAATGATGATTTCCACTACGACAACCTATACAAACAGTCGCGATCTTTGCATAGCCTGGTCGAAAATAATTGACCCATTTCTGCCACTCCTTGGAATAAGGGGTAATGCTTTTCCTCAAAGGATGAATACAACCAGAGAATTGTCCCCGACATCGGGCTGCATAGCATCTGTTGAGATCCAAAATCCAAAAGTGTCCACAGCCGTATTGACTAGTGTGATCTAGGACGTCTAGCCCGCACATCTATAGTGTATTTAGCATCAATTTTTCTACTGCCAAACTGTCTGAATGTTTCACATACCTCGGATGGACATTCAATCTGAGTGGATCTAAGTTATACACACGTGGAGCAATTTCAATATTTCAATATATTCAATAAGACACGTAAATAAGGTGTAGGACCCAAGATCTTTATATTTAGCTCCATATCGTACGGAATGAGAGAAGCGCTTTGAAGAACGCCAATCAGATCCTTTGGTAGGAGAAGTTCATTGAATAATTTGTTTCATCAGAGTCAACTAGCCAGGTCTCGGAGCAAGAGTCTCGAGACATTCTATTCTCGCTTTCTTTCAAAGTTTAGAGAAAACAGTATAATAGAGAGACCAAAGGAAGATAGGCTGCACAGGGGCTGTTCAATATGTTTGAATCTCCGAAAATTTGGTATAATAGACGGACGACGCTCAGGTATACCCAGTGTAGATCTGATTCAAAGACATATATCCTTGAAACTTCCAGAGACACGAGTGTAAGTGTCTTAGACGTCGGTGGCACGAAGAACTATTAAGATCGCCCAGCCAATCGCGTCACTTTGTGCCGTATCATGTTCATCTTTGCACATCATCTCAATTTCTCCCTTCGACGTCAAGCTGAGCCTTTCTGATTTAAACTCCGTTATTCACTTACTATGGAATCCACAGTGTTCACAAATGGGCGCATCCTTCGTCCTGGCTCTGAGGGGTTCAGCCCCACTATGGTCGTCAAGCATGGCCATATTGTGCATGTTGGTTCCGGTGAAGACGAAGAGGTTCTCCAGGCCCGAAAAACAGGGCCAATACTCGATTTGGGCAATCGAGTTGTTCTCCCGGGTTTTATCGATGGGCATGTACACATTATGAACTTTGGAATGTCTCTGCAGAAACTGGATCTTTTGCCTTGCAAATCACTCCGTGATATTCGACAAACCATCGCTGTTTATGCCGATGCGCACAAATCTGATCCCCGCATCCTCTGCCGAGGTTGGGTTCAGTCGATCACAGAAGGCAAGGCCTTCGCCACTGAACTCGACGACTTAGATGCACGACCCGTCTACATCGAAGCATTAGACCTTCACTCGACCTGGTGCAATACTGCAGCTCTGAAAGAGCTCCAAGTGCAATCTATGAGCAACCCACCAGGGGGGAAGATCCATCGCCATGGAAATGGCCACGCTTCCGGATTGCTTGATGAAGGTGCCCAGTTCAATATTGTCTGGCCCTTTTTAAACCGCGTGGCCACTTTGGAGAAGAAGCTAGCTGCTATTGACGCGGCCTTTGCTGCACATATATCAGCTGGATATACTGGCTTAGTCGACATGGCGATGGATGAGAATGGCTGGGAGGCATTGAATATCTACCGGGATCGACATGGGGAGCTTCCATTACATGTGGCAGCGCACTGGCTGGTACCCTACTCAGAAGATCATACCGAAGTCTGCAGCCACATTGACCGTGCAATCTCTCTTCATCGTATATTCAATCGCTCGACGTCTCCCGCCTTTTGTATCAACGGAATAAAGCTCATTTGCGACGGAACGGTGGACGGCTGCACTGCAGGTCTACACCAGCCCTATGGCGGGCTTTCCGAGGTTGTTGATCCAATATGGCCTGCTGAGACCCTTGCGTCAGCGATTCACCGTGCTACTGACGCTGGCCTGCAATGTGCAATCCATGCCATTGGTGATCGAACAGTCCAACAAGCAATTGATTGTTTATCTCAAATCAGCAATCTTCCAATTCATCGTCATCGCATTGAGCATTTGGAGCTTACTACCCCGGAAGACGCAAACCGGCTTGGTGAACTTGGAATTATCGCCTCGGTTCAGCCTGTCCATCTAGACCCTGCTACATTTGGCGCATGGCCAGAGATGCTCGGTTCACAACGCTGCAAGCGGGCTTTCGCCTACCGCGACTTTGTGGATGGTGGTGCCGCCTTGGTCTTCGGAACTGATGCTCCAACCGCAAAGCATCTTGCATTGCCCAATCTTTACAACGCAACCACTCGACGGTCAGCCCTTGACCCTGACAGGGAGGATACTGTCAATATCGAGTATGCTGTGTCTCTCGCTACGGCGGTATCGGCAGCAACTACGGAGGCATCGGCAGCAACTACGGAGGCTGCCTTTGCATCCTTCGCTGATTCCTGGACAGGTTTATTAAGGCCAGGATTCCAAGCCAATTTTGTAGTCCTTGATATGGAAGGGTCTCCGGGGAGTCTTCTTGGAGCTCGTGTGTGTCAAACGTGGTACAAAGGGCAGAAGGTCTTTGATGCAGGGGACAACAAATGATCTGGTGGGCCCGTCTATTTGGATATCTTGAAGGGGGATTTTGAGATCCGAAGATATTCTGGTCCTACACTTTACACCTACGCTTCCAGAATGTGAGAGATGAGAAGCATGTACTGTCGTTATGTCCCTGTTTTTATCCTTTTTATTTTTTTATTTTTTTATTTTTTTTGTCTGCTACATAAGCGCTATACTTGAAAAACATCCGAACTCAAACTCTTGTTTCCTCAATGTGGATTGTGGTACTCACTCCCTTTCCATACTCTCCAATCTTTTCCATCTCCAGGTTCGTAGCTGTAGCAACATCGTCTCCATCAAACACCTTAGTCACTTCTTCCAGGGGCATATAGCGTGTCTCCACGTAGAAGTACCAGATGACCACAATTTCCGCAGCGAGGAAACAGCAGTAGAAAATATAATACCGCCAGTGGATGTTGTCGAGTGCAATTGGGTTGACATATTGATTGAAAAAGAGTGCAACGTACATGGCAAACTCCATGATGGTGTACCCCTTGGCCCGCATAGAATACGGAAGAATCTCTGTCGTATAACTCGCGATCAAGCCAGATCTAGATTGGTTAGAAATATCACTCGAGTTTTAACTTGTTGAACTCACTTCAGGTTGTAGAACAGATAGTAGATGAAAATCATCCCTAAAACGCCCGACCCCAGCCCCGAGCTGGTATGGGCATCATATCGTGCCGACAGGGCCGTCCATACCACAAAGGCAACCAGCATACCAGCTGAGCTGACTAGCATAATCGGCCGTCGTCCCCATTTGTCGACAAAGAAACTAAAGAATAAGTTGGTAGCAAGATTGAAAGAGGTCAACGCGCCGTTGATCAGCAGCTGCCGGTTGGCATCCTTGATTCCAATACTATCCATAATGAGATTCAAGTAATAGGAGACTAATCCATTCCCCGACCACTGGGCAAATAAGCCCATAGTAATAATGATCAATAGTCGCTTTCGATTACCAGGAGTTCGGAGAAAATCCACGTATGTACTGGAATGATCCGCATTCTTTTCCATTGCAATCGCAGTGGTGATTTCAGTGAACTCCAACTGAACAATTTCGTCGGTCGAGTCTCCATCAGCATGGTAGTATGCCAAGATCTCTAAGCCTTTTTCTGGTTGATCCTTGGAGACATAGTATCGCGGACTCTCAGGAATCCACCATACCACTGCCAGCATCATCAAAGTAAACAAACCTTGGATTAGACTGGGGGCTCTCCATGACCATTCACTCTATTCATGCATTAACCATGACATTTTCATTCTGTTTCAAAGCTAACTCACTTTGATTTTCAATGTTCCGTATGTTGTCCAGGCCGCGATGAAGGCCCCGGAATGGTAAGTAGCGCCAGCAATAGTGACGAGAATCGCCCTATCTTGTGCAGGAGCAATCTCGGTAATAAGTAACGGCGCGGTACAGATAACGATGATATCTCCAAATCCAAGTATGAATCGAGCGCCGACGAACATGGAAAAATTCATAGAGCCTGACTGCAACGCCACGCCCAGCAACATGAAGAACGAACCGATAACCAAGCAAATCTTTCGGCCAAAATGATCAAGCATATATGGCAGTATCAGAAGGCCAGCCAAGGCACCAACGCTCATTACGCAATTGAATAAACCCAAGGTTGGTCCTTTGGGATGGTCGAAATAGTCCTGCCAGTATGAGAGGGTTTGTAGGCCATTCCTATTCCCCCAAATTAGAAGTGTCACTATGTCTTATCACGCTTATAGACTTACATCATTGAGTTGTCAAATCCATTGGCTGTATTGGTGGCAATCAGAATCAAAATATAGAAATACAACACTCGCATGTTACGTTGTTTCCACCATTTCACCCGTGGGAATAGTCTCCCTGCCAAGTAGAAATGGCCTTTGGGGGGTTTTACGGCCTCATATCCTTGAGCCATGTTAAATGAGTGCGATCTCTGATAGACTTTGAGGAGCTGCAAGCCTGGTATGAATATATAGTGCCTCATGAGCTGGCTGCAGTTTCTTCTATATAGCCGGCCCAATCATCATTTGCTTTATTTTCCACAACAGACGAAGCGGTTTAGCCATACAACAATCTATATACAGCTTCACCCACTAATATTAGCCTAATAGGATGATCAATTGCGGGGTGATGGCTGCAAGTTGCTCTTGTGATATTGTCGGAGTCCCACGCCGTGTCCCAACCGGCTAAATCCTTGCGCCACATAAATTGACACGAGCAATCCTGCCACCTTTAAAGGGTTTCGGTCAAAGAAAAAGATTTGCTAGCTTCAACTATGACTTCTACCCCCCATAACCCAATTATTCCTGGTTTCGCTCCAGATCCATCAATCTGCCTAATTGATGGGACATACTTTTTGGTAAATTCCAGCTTCCACCTGTTCCCCGGCCTGCCCATCTACATCTCAGATGATCTGATATCATGGAAGCATATTGGTAATTCTTTTCTCTCTAAACCGTTGTTTTTGTTGGTTAACTTGTCATAGGAAATGCCATCAACAGACCATCGCAAGTATCACTAGCCCGAGCGACGACCTTTCTCTCACGATGGGACGACGGAACAACAATGGTAGCAACAGGAGGACTGTATGCACCAACTATCCGACATAGTCAGGGAATCACCTATATTATCTGCACAAATGTCATTCATGGCCCTTCCAATATATCAGGTGATGAGCGAAGTGAACAGTTCATCATCCACACATCAGACATTCGCTCAGGCAACTGGTCTGATCCTATTGTCTTTCCATTTCCTGGCATTGACCCATCTTTGCTTTTTGATGACGATGGCCGGATCTACGTTCAGTTATGCAAGACAGGGCCTCGATTTCAGATCTACAATTTGGAGATCGACATTGCAACCGGGAATATGATCAAGGAGCCCACACTTATATGGGAAGGATGGAAAAAAGGATACACAGAGGGTCCGCACATCTATAAGAAGGACGGCTGGTACTACCTGTTATGCGCCGAGGGAGGCACATTTTCATACCACATGTTGAGCATTGCACGATCAAGAAAGGTTTGGGGGCCATATGAGTCCTACGAGAACAATCCACTGTACACGGTCCACAATACCACTCGCTACGTTCAGAACACTGGACATGGAGATCTGTTCCAAGACAAGAGTGGACGCTGGTGGGTTGTGATGCTGGGAATCCGTAAAAGACAAGGTCGATCCATCATGGGTCGGGAGACTTTTCTTACAGCAGTGAATTGGCCGGACAATAGCTGGCCAACTATCAATCCTATTATAGCCGATAGTGATGTGGGGGCAACACCTAACGTGCCTCCGATCGGGCCTTTGTCTTCTGCTCCGTGGGTCTATTTGAGGGATGCAAAGCTCGATCGATACCAATTCCGAGGAAACATCATCATGCTGCAAGCAAGCTCGGTAGAACTTACTAGTCCAGAAGAATCGGTTACCTTTGTTGGCCAGCGACAACGAAAGCTCAACGCTAGCGCGTCGGTCACCCTACACAGGCCACAAAGCTGTACACAGGTTCGAGCAGGTCTGGTTCTATACAAAGATGAGCATCGTTTTTTGTCTATGGAATACGACTTTGATAGCCAGCAGGTCGTTTTCAGTGGATTGAACAAAGCAAAGTCTTTGTCTCAAAAAGACACACAAAGTCTTCAGGTTCAAGATACCTTATCCTTCAGGATTGACTACACTGAAACATCTTTGGGATTTTCCTTTCGTCAGGCTGAAATGCCCTGGAGTTCTTTTTGCACGGTTGATACGGCCCTCTTAACAGATTATGACTTCACTGGTCCTGTCATTGGAGTATTCGCTCTTGGAAATGGCAATGAGGTGGAATTCAGCGACTTTGAAATTGATGTTTAGATTCCAGTACATAATATTTCTGGTACAAGATAGGCTATTTCAATATATGAAACAGGTATCATATTCATATGCTCCCAGGCTTGAGGCTCTGTAAGTCTTCTGAAGTCCAATCTGTGATCAGCATATGACCAGGCTCATGGGCAAAGACCAGGCCATCAATCTTGCTACTCGCTGCCTCCACTGCCATCTGAGGCGTCACTCCACATGCCTAAGACGAAGTCAGATGAGTGCATCGGTGGTACCACGTTACTGAGACCTTACCCAAAACACAGGAACCTCGCCCTCTTCAAACCTCTGCGCCTCACCAAAGTCCGGTTTACCCACATCACTGATACCGAGTTGCTTTGCACCGTCCCATCCCCAGGCTACAGGCTCGCCGTGCGTGGACCGATACAACCGTGTGATCTCTCTGACTCTCTCGATCTGTTCCGGTCGATACGGTCGCATAGATACAATGTAATTGCCACCAGTGAAGACTCCTGCTGGCAGCAATGGGATGTTGGACCGATACATGGCAACAATTGTTCCAGTTTTCTGGTGACGCGGTGGTAAGCCAGCCGCTGTCAGGGCATCTTCAAAGGAGAACGAACACCCGATTAAGAAGCCAACATGGTCATCTGTCCACGCATCAAGTAAGTCACAGCGACTGTCAATGTGTTTGCCGCTTGAATATACTCGATACCGGGGAAAGTCGGTCCGAATGTCGAAATCTTTCGACTTAATACATTGAGATGGCCGAATGCTCTTTGGGTCGCCAGGAACAGCTGTCACTCCCAGCAGTGGGCAGGGAACCGGGTTGCGCAGACACAAGTCGTGAAAATCGGTGGCATACTTCGCAGGAAGCACCAACAGATTGGCCTGTAAGTAACCCGGAGCAACACCGGCGGTATTGGTCAAACGGTTTCGACGACACAACAGTCGTGCCTCTTGAGAGTCAGAAATTATACTCCCCATGATGAAAATCGCACTGTGAAAGTCTCCAGAAACCCTCAACCTTGTCTCCTTCATACCTCCACCTCGTTAGATAGCTCGGTTATAGCCTCGGGGTCCACTTGCCGATGGTCTGGGGAAAGTCGGGGTTTATTCTCCACTCGTCAAAGCAGTAAAATACTCTTCTCTTATCGATGACCTTCCTGAAACAGTTAGGATCTGTGAAATTGGCCTGCGCAAGTGGGAATTTGCCTCCTTTCCGGTGATCAGTTACCTGAACGTGCATCTTATCAGGGCTTCGTCGGCCCGATGACCCACACCCTGAGGGAAGAGATAGGAATCACTCCGCTTATACATGGAGTAACGTTATTGTTTAAACAACTAAGTTACTTCTATGCATGAGGTCCTCTATTCTGGTCAATCCTCACATACGAGTACTCGCATCTCATGTCGCCCGACCACAACATCCCTTTGGAGCAGAAGACCTCCATCCAAAAAGACAATGCCCCTGACTTAGCAGGCGACACTGCTGATGGCGAGGCATGCGATGTGGTTCTCGATCCAAAGAAAGAAACCAAACTACTGGCCAAGCTGGATGCGGCCTTTGTGCCCGTCATCATGTTGACCTATTTGTCTTGCTTTCTAGATAGATCCAATATCGGTAAATATTGATCCCGCTCGGATGATTCTGGAGCTAATGAACTTCAAGGCAATGTGAAGGTTGCCCATATGCCCGAAGATATCAACGCCTCGGACAGCCAGTTTTCAACGGCCGTGTCCATCTTCTACGTGACCTACGTTGTTTTCGAGGCCCCGTGGGCAGTCTTAATGAAGAAACTGACGCCTCGGAACATCCTGACGGCGCTTTGTATTGTTTGGTCTTTGACTACAATTTTCACGGGTTTTATTGAGTCGGTAGGCTCGCTCTATGCGACTCGCCTCATCCTGGGTGCTTGTGAAGCGGGACTATTCCCCTGTCTCAATCTCTACTTGACCATGGTCTATCGCCGAGAAGAACAGGCTAAGCGTGTGTCTTACTTAATGAGTTGTGCTGCCATTTCAGGCGCCGTGGGTGGACTTTTGGCCTATGGGCTCTTACACATGGATGGCATCGGAGGCAAAGCTGGATGGAGGTATGTGCTTATTTGCCCTTCATGCAAACTTTGCTGGGACTAACGCAGGTTTAAGATGGGTCTATATCATTGAAGGTCTTTTCAGTGCCTTGTGCGCTATTCTCATCTGGTTTGGCCTGCCCAACAACCCTGCTGAGGCCTACTTCCTCAACGAGGAGGAGAGGTGGATGATGCGTGTGCGCAACGAGCAACGCCGCAAATATATGGGAAGTGATCAGTTCAGCTGGGAAGAGATGCGCATCGCCTTGAGTGATCCGAAGCTCTTCTTCAGCGGTGTCATCCAGTTCTGTCAAGATATCCTGCTGTACGGATTCAGTACTTTTCTACCAACCATCTTGGGAGGAATGGGCTACAACTCTCTGATGAGCAATGTCCTGACCGTCCCAGTATACATCTGGGCCGCAATGATCTTTGTTGCAATCGCCTTCTGCTCCGATAGATATTCAAAATTTGCTTCAGTGAGTACTCCCCTAACTCGCAATGCAGCATCTGCTAACTCTTCGCAGTACATCTTCACAGCCAACATCTTCGGCATCATCGGCTATATCCTGCTCCTTACCGTCAAGAACACCGCCGTTCAATACTTCGCGACCTTTCTCATTGGAATTACCACCTACACAGCAGTTGGCCTTAACGTGGCTTGGCTGAATGTAAACATCGCCCCTCAGTATCGCCGTGCTTTGGAGATCGGCCTACAACAAACAATGGGCAACTGTGCCGGTATTGTCGCCGGCCAAGTCTATCGCAGCTCGCCATATGTGTTGGGAAATGCATTCTCCTTGGGATCGCTAGTTGTCTCACAGTTCGCCGTGACCGGATACGGACTGTACTTGAGACGGGAGAATAAGATGAAAGAACAAATACTCTGCGGTGAAAAAGAGGACAGTCGACGAGTACAGACAGGCGATGGAGCTGTAGACTTCAAATATCATTACTAGTCTGGTGGCAAGGGACAGTCTCCCAGCGATGACGCACAAGACTTCTCATCTATATATAATTGACCGCCAATTCATTCAGAGTGCTTTGCACTTCTATCAAGTGATTCTCAGGCTTCTTCTGCTTTCTGATCTGATCTCCCTAAACGTATCTCGACAAGCGAAGCCACATACTCCGATCCTTGAACAACAACAATGGGTCTGTGTTTCTCCTTTCCACGGCGCCGGCTCCACCCAGCCATGGGCATGGGAGGTATGGGTGGCATGGGCATGGGCATGCCCCCTCCTCGTCGATATCACGGAGGTGGAATGGGAGGAATGGGTGGCATGGAAGGTGGCAGGTACGGGGGACATGGGGGATGGGGTGGTGGCCCGCCGGGCGGTTATGGCTATGCCTCGGGGTTCGGGGGTCGCCGGCACGGAGGCCCAGGGTTTGGAGGGCCCGGGTTCGGCGGTCCCTCGGGGCGCTTTGGGCATGGGGGACGATTTGGTGGAGGCCGGCGATGCTGAGCGATGTGTTCTTCGTTCTCGGCGATACATCTTTCATAACATATTTTCGTGTGACCAAGTCTTCACCATGACTCTGAAGCCAAATCATGTATTTTTTTGCGGTCGGCGATGCCAATGTTCGATCGAGGCACTTTGGGCACTTTGCATGCATTTCTCTCACTCCCACCCAACATTCGTTTCCGAGAGTCCTTTTATGAATATTCCTAATATGCTACATAATCAGAAACAATCCTTCATCACACTTGACAACTCTTCGCCGTAGTCAAACACGAATCCACCGTTAGCCGTCGGCTGGTAAGGGCCTCCATCTGGCACAGGACCAGTTCCCATTCCCATGATCTGATCCTCAAGATTTCCCACGGCTTCGAACCATTCCATAAGCTCCTGTGTCATCTGTGCACCGTCTAATGGAGTCTGGCTATGTGTGCTCACGGTCGGAGCCTGAGCGGGTGAAGCGTTCGCATTGTAGGAATCATTCGCTTCTACGCCAGCATGAACATCCAGTCGCTGCTTTTGCGCGCCCAGTCCCAGTTGAGGGCCAAGCTTGCGAAGACTCCGAATCGAATTCCACAGTCGGCGGGAGATGTATGATTGGGCTGAGAATCCCTTGACCAGCTCCAAGGCCCAGAAGAACTCCTCCTTACACGAACCACTGAATTGGGTTGGAGCCTGGGCCACTGCGAGGAAAAGGACTGCAAGGGCTGAGACTAGGAACCAGTTGAACGCGACTTGTTGCAGCTGGTAGATATCAGAGGTTTCATTTAGGCGAGTGATGAAGCGAATTGTGTCTTTGGCAATGTCCACCACGGTCTCAGACTCAGCCGGATACCGCACAATATGTGCTGCAGTATGAAGAACAGGGCGATGAATGAGCATCCGTAGCTGGTTAGCACGAAGATAAAGCAAGGCACGGAGTCGCCGCAGGCTTCGTGAACCATTAGTGGCAGACGCAGATTCCGCGGAGCTTGGATGATCCAGTCGCAGTGAGGCGGGGATAGCATGCATCCAGCTCAGAACTTGCCAGTCCAGATAGTTCATTTCATCTTTTTTGATCTCGTTGGTATTGTTGAAAGCCGAAATAAACTTCCACACTTTGGCTGCAATGCGGCTATATCGAATCATGACGCGCAGGTAGGGAGTCTTCTCGGCGGGCTCTGGGAGCCATGGGTCGATATCTGTATCTTCCAGAGAGAATGGCATACCGGTTCCAAAGCTCCAACGCATGTCCAGAATGTAGATAGACCAAAAGAGACGGAGGACGCGTTCCTTTCCAGCGGCCATAATAGCTGGCTGGTTAAGTGTCTCACGTCTGTGAAGACCTTTCTCTAGACACATGCGCTCGACGATACCAATAGTGCGCCATGCTAATGTTTCCTCGTCCATCTGAAAATATAATATTGACTACCACCGTTAGCTTACTGAAAACTCCGGTTGATTGGAAATGACAAACCACAAGAGTCAAGAAGATGATATTCTTGATCTCAGGCGGACCCCAGACACAATTGTCTTGGACTTCTCGCACACTATCAAAGAATGCAATAGCCTGCTCACTGCGACCACTAGCCTCTGCTGTCAAAGCACAAGCAAACACAAGGCGGAGAATATGAACATCTTCACGATCCACTCCATTTTTCCCATCGGGGTGAAGAGCCGTACTAAGGGCGGGATCCATTGGGCCGTACAGTAGATGCACCTGGTTCAAAAGCTCCGCGAGCTCCAACACTGGATACATGATACCCATTTCCTCCTCGTAGACTCTGCAAAGACGCAGCGCCTCCGTCTTAGGTAGTGTCCAGAGGGGATCCAGCACCTGGTGCGTGACGAGTTCCCTGGCTGGTGCTGATGGAGACGCCACCGGTGAGGGTTCCTGTGTCATATCAGCTTCATCAAGAGCCTCAGCACGTTCAACAATCCCGCGCTGCTGCAAACTGGACTTGGCCAGGTCAAAGCTGAATGCCGAAGTTGTCGGGCCTTGAAATGTCGTCTCTCTGGCAGTAGATACACGCCGGAGAGACCTTTGGGTAGGCGCAAGTCCATAACTGCTTGCGGGAACGCCTCCAATAGGAGAATGTTCGTTGCTGGCTATCGACCGAACACTAGCAGACAACAAAGTAATCTGGTCTTGCATGGCTTTCATTTGATCAAAAAGGCGCTCGAAATTTCTGTGGAGGTTAGTTACTGTCACTTCTCACAACCTCACGTGGGCATACTCTTGTTCATTCGGACTGTCTCTCTGGGGATTCTCGACGTAAATGCATCCAATGTTCTGGCGTCCACAGCGCTGACATGGCGCCTCCCCATTGCATTTAATCTTGCGACGTTTGCATTCATTGCTTTGAGACTGTTAGTTGGTGGTTGTCAATTGCCATCTCCAAACTCACCAGGCTCTAGCAATGTACTTGCGGCGTTTCTTCCGCGGGCCGCCATCGTCTACTGAAGGAGGTTTGTCCCAGTCTAATTCAGACATATTGAAGTTCGAAGAAGAGATGCGAACAGTTGCAAGAGGAGAAAGTGTGGAGGTGGCAGATGCGGGGGATTCCGTCCTCGGGCTCCACAGACTCAAGAATGTACCAAACCAAAGTTGAACGATTAGTGAATGGTTTAGAGTAGACTGCGTAGTAGAAAGGGATGGACAATGTAGCGTGGTTATCCGGCAATTATTCATTCTGTACAAGATGGTATGTGTAGTAGCTTTGGCTTGGTCTTTTACGGAATTACAATCTATATTTGCATTTCCTTGGCGTCGTTACTATTTTGGAAGTATATACAAGGCCTCGCCCAGAGGAAAAGGAACATTTCAAGCGACACCCTCTCATAGATCTTTGGTGCGCTCATCACTCTCTGCAATCCACTGCTCTAGCTTCGTAGGGTCGCGTGCGCTGAAGCCAACCTTGAATGGCTTGGGCTCGGTCGTCAGTGCAGTAGCAATGGCATTGCACTCGATGGCGTTCAAGATCGGCAAATCAGCAGCCTCCTTCGCCGGATGCATCTTGAAAGCAGTGATCAGACGGATAAAGGCAGTAAACAGCTCACGGTTGGCGAGATGGGAACCCGCACACATACGGGAGCCTGCGCCATATGCGTAGTGTGGAGTGCCCGAGCCCTCGTTGAGCTCAAGATAGCGCTCAGGAATAAATTTGTGAGCATCCTTGAAGTGGTCCTCGTCATAATCAGCAGCCCAGGCGTTCTAAGGAAGTTAGTACTATTGCAACAAAACACGAAGAAGTAGACAAACCATGAAGAAAGTAGTTCCAGCGGGGATAGCAGCGCCGTTCCACTGGATATCCTTGGTGCTCACTCGTGGCAGGCAGATAGGGATGACAGTCCAAAATCGGAGAATTTCCTTGACCAGAGCAGTCACGTAAGGGACCTTCTCCTCGATCAGACACTTCTCCCAAGCGTCACCGTCGGGGTAGACCTCCATGATCTCATCGTAGGCCTTTTTCTGAATCCGTTGACCGTCTTCGGATGCGAGATAGGCGATTCCCATAATCAAATTGCCCGGAACTGTATCGAGGCCAGCCGACACCATAGTCAAACAGATCGATTTCACCTCAGCTGGACAGCAAATTAGTATAAATCCAAATGCACCACATCTCAGATCGTAGTATATAACTCACCATCATTTAGCTTAGCTTCGGGGTCCTTGAGAATGTTACCAGTAATGCAGGGCTTGTCGGTACCCTTTGAAATACGGTCCTTGAGCATGTCAAGCAAATAGGTCAAGTACTTGTCACGACGAGCACGGAAGTTTTGAGCCTCATTGTTCATCTTAGGGAAGATTCGCAACAAGGGGATGTAATCCTGCCAGTTGTTCGACGTACTGCGGAAGTTGGACACGCCACGCTCCACCTCCACAATCTCGTGCAGCAACTCGTCATCCACATTACCCTCAATGCGAAATCCGTAGTTGAGAGTCAGACTGGTATTGAGGGCAAACCGTTGGAAGTATGCAGTGGGGTTCACATCGATTGTGCCATTCTTGCTATCCCGGTACAATTCCTTGATACTAGAGTTGGATTCGAGGTCAATGATCGGCATGTATGACTGCGTCGCCGGTCGGTTGAGCGCAGTGGCCGCAGCCTTGCGGCGGCGCTTGCAAGACTCATCCCATGGAGAAGTACCAATGGTAAAACCCTGCGAGCTCGACACAACGCTGTGGAAGGTGTGGAAAGTGGGACGAGAGACCAACGCCGACTGGTCCTTGATCCACAGCTGGCGAACCGAGTCGAAGCTGTTGGCGAAGACAATACGCTAATGCACGAATTAGTTGCGCCCCACGCATGACAGCGAAGCACCCACCTTGTTTCCCATGCGCACTTGGAAGACGGGGCCGAACTTCTTGGCCCATTTCCCAGCCACTGTCGCATGCTGGTTTCCCAGCTGTAGGAGGTTGCCAAAGATGGGCACACCAGGAATCTCCGGAAGGCCCTTGATCTTGGGGATATCGGTACGGTTGAAATAGCGAATAAGGAAGTACACCACCGTAATGACGGCGACCGCCAGTGTTTGGACCGTCATGTTGAAGAGAATAGTGAAGTAGTAGAGTTTCAGGTCAAGTGTGCGCGATGCAACTCTTATAACCCCTCAAAGGGCGACCGGTTACACGACGGCATATTTCCGAGCTTGTAGCTCGGGTGGCTATTACCGGAGAAGAAGTTCGGTGACGTTGACTCGACCAGTGAGGATGCAGAGAATCAGCAAACAACAGCGCAGATGTCACTGCCGTCCGGGGGCCGAGATACTCCACTCGGCGGGAATGGCGGAAGGGCGATTCCGCCCCGCCTCGACCCACGCGCGGAATGTTGAGACTCATTTCCGTCGTGTCTCAGCTGGTTTGGGATATAGAAATGGGGTTCTGTCTGGATAGTTTGAAGTATAGGTATTTTTGAATTGTTCACTTTTGACTATTCCGCATGTGTAAGAGAGGATATGTACAAGGACAGTGGCTTCGCGATAGCTGGATTTGTCCGGTGACATTCTTCAAAATATCACAATATAGCTTCACAGCTCCATGCAACGGGACGTCTGACAACTTGACTGGCCCGGCAGGTGGCATCAGACAAACTAGATAACAGTGATAGTAACAGCTCCCATGTCCTAATCTTGGAACACCTCATGCACCCATCGTGCTAAACAGCCTTTCTCTTTGACTGGCGCAGGGGGATCTGAAGAACAACCCATCGAACGATTGATCTCCAGCTCCTCAACAATCTCATTCTCCGCGATGCCCCGTCGTCTCTTCCAATTGCGCTCGGTATTGGTGATATGCGCTTCACGCCACATACGGCCATAGAATTCCCGAGCCTCGTCTTTCGTTCTGACACGTAGAATATCGTACGTACTGGCTCTCGTCAGGGCCGCATCCCGATCGCGAGTCATCTGTCCCTCAACCACCTCCAAGTTGACTCCCATCGAGCGGAAGTGCCCACCCCACATACCATCTTCTGCTTGGGTCACGAAGATTGTAATTCGCTCAGGAGAGATAGGGTAAGCAAGGAGATACGCGAGCGCTTCAGCGTCCACGCCGCTTGGAAGAGGGCCAATAACGAAGTCATGATCACGCTGGATCGCGTCATTAATCTTGGTCACGTAGTGAGTGTGGAAGTAGGATTCATTGGGTCCAGTGTCGATTGGACCTGAGATGAAGGCGACCTGTCTGTCTTCCATTGTAGACAAAGAAACAATCACAGTCGAGAGAAGGTGAAATATGGGCCCAAACACTATACCGCATTAGGAAGCTCATCTTGGCCACTTGAGCTTAATTGTGTTCAAGTATTGTTGAATGGACCTGGTATAAGGCTGGTCTGAGCTTGGAAGTGTTCTTGTTTCTTGTCTCGGAGAGTCACGTCCCAGGGGACACACACATATATATTATATATATATGCGGACATATAACGTTAGTCCAAGAGGTTTGCGTCTTGATATCTACAAGATCACAAACCTGTCATACTGACTACATAGCAAAAGATATATTGTTTATACTCTGTACTCACTACCTAAACAACTAATATCTCGATAACTAGATAAATTAAATAGTTACAGACCTGATTATGCCTGACCCGTAAGGCGCAGAGATGAATGCCTCAACGCCAAGGTGTCGGCACGCGGTAACTCCGCGCAAATCTTTGGAGCTATCATCTACAACAGGCATGTCTTCTCAGCCTTTTCTTCCCCTGTCTTCTCCTTCAGACTCGCCTCCGCCCGTGTTGCGCCCGCGGCGCCCGAGCCTGGAGCTTGAGCGCGAAATCCTCTCCACTAGGGGCCAGCGCCTGGTGAACTTTTTGCCTACGCGCACGTCAAGCCTTGCTTTGCATGACCTCGATGACGATGTATCTGAAAGACGGCTACTCCTGCGACGTGGATCCATGTTGATTGGACACAGTAATCCTCGTTACGAATGGTAGTGTTCTTCGATTCTGTGACGCGATCAGTCCTAATTCGGCATAGGCAGCGCTACTACAGATCGCCCGAGTCTTTGAAGGATCTCCCCAAGAAGATGTTTGTCCCCGTGTACTATTATTGAACTGGTTACTGACCATTGAAGTCGGGAGTATTATGAGCGGACGAACTCTTTGATCTCCCAATATCTCTATATCGACCGCCTGCTGGATTCATCTCTCCCTCACAATCTGATCGAAGAATACAACGAGTGTCACCACTTTGATCCCGCGGGAAACGGAATCCATCAACCGCCTCCTTCAGACGGTAATGAAGTCGAGACAGCCAACCCCAAGACCGGAAGGATAAAGCGCACCCCACATAATCTGTATCGGATTCCCGATGAGACGACTCCTTTGGTCGTATCCGAAGACAACAGCCCGGAAGGCTCATTGCCTGATTTTGAATCACATGGAGGGATGTCGCCAGAGGCCGAGGAGCGCGTCATCAACTGGGCTATTCGCATCAATTTCGCCGCTAACGTTACTCTCCTCGGCTCCAAGATTGCCATTATGGCAATGACCAACTCCATGTCTATGCTGGCAGGTCTTGTTGACGGAGTATTGGATTTCCTCAGTACTGTCATTGTCTGGGTGACCACCAACATGATCCGACGACAAGATCGTAACCGATTTCCGATCACCCGGCGACGCCTGGAGCCTGTTAGTGTGCTCATCTTCTCGGTGATCATGGTGACCTCCTTCTTTCAAGTGGGACTGTCGTCTGTGAAGCAACTACTTGGAGATAATCGCACTGTCGTCGAGCTCTCAATTCCATCTCTTGTGCTGATGGCTGGCACCGTGATTGTCAAATTGCTCTGTTGGATCTGGTGTCGCTTGATCCCTAGTCCCAGTGTCCAGGTCCTAGCCCAGGACGCCATGACAGACGTCATCTTCAACAGCTTTAGTATTATCTTCCCGCTGAGTAAGTCTACTGTTCTCTTTATCCATGGATGCAACAAACGTCTAACGCAATTTCCACAGTTGGCACCTTTGCAGACCTCTGGTTCTTGGATCCCCTGGGTGGTCTGTTCCTCTCCATCTACATCATGTGGAATTGGGGCCAAACGGCCGGGGAATATATCGGACGGTTGACCGGCGCAGCTGCCTCGCCTGACGACCACAGCATACTGCTCTACATGACGATGCGGTTCTCCCGGGTAATCCTCAAGATTCAGGACCTGAAAGCGTACTATGCAAGCGACAAGCTCAATGTCGAGGTTGATCTTGTCGTGGACGACACCATGAGCTTGCGGGATAGCCATGACGTCGGCGAAAGCTTGCAGTACATCATTGAGAGTGTGCCGACTGTTGATCGTGCTTTTGTGCATCTGGACTATGACCCTTGGAACCTGCCTAGTCATATGAACCAGATGGATCGCTGACGTGGGTTTGACTGGCATGCGAAGCCAGTGTACATACGATGGTTCCTTATTACAGCACCGAGTTCATAGTTGTACATAGTTTACAAAATAGAGCACAATTTAATCACACATAAATCATTCATCTAGTTATACATATGAGCCATGATCAAATGAGAATCCTCACCGGCAAGACGACAGGACGCTAGACAACAAAAGGGTAAAAAGACAGTAAAGTAATGTACAACCGGTCACATGACGGGTTTCACACAGCACATCCTTAATCAAACAGGAACCTCTAACGAGGCGGCTGCGAAGGCGGTGGCAACGACCCCGGTGGTCCGCCTTGGGTTGAGCTATGGCTGTAAACGCGGTGATGTGTGGGGGTAGAAGCAGCCTCACCGAGGGAGCCCGGCGCTCCTGGCCGCTGATGAAGTGGCGGGACAGATCCCGACACAGATTGTGGGGGAGGGGCATAACCACCCATGGCACTTCCACCCATGGAGGGATGCATAGCAGATGGAGGAGTATACGAGCGTCCAAGGCTCGCCAGCGACGCCATTGATCGACTAGGCTGAGACTGAGGAGGTGGGGTGTTATGTCCATACTGTGAGGGACCACCGGGCAAGGTCACAGGAGTGGAGCGGTGTGACTGGGGCTGGTGCGACCCACTGACCATGGTTTGTACATGCTGTTGATAGCTATGCGACTGGACTGGGTTTGGCGTGGACGCGGCTGAGTACGATGATTGCGTTCCAGACTGGCGCGGATGAACACCATACAGACTAGCGGAAGACTGTGTAGGCGCCGGTGGTTCCTGTCGCGATCCATACGCCATAGAGGCACGTGGACCAGGTGATGTTGCTCGATAGGATGGGGGCTGAGAGGCCATCTCACGCGAGCCAGAGGCTCCAGGCGGCTGCGGCTGGGTAGAAGATGATTGAGAAAACACGTTAGGATAGGACGACCGCTGAGAGGCGGTTTGGGGTGGGGGAGTCGGGGCTGGCGATGGAGCCGAGAGATTGGTCAAAGGTACTGAAGACTGGCCAGGGGCTGAAGCATAAGATGCATAGGAACTCTGAGAAGCCAAAGGTGCCGCAGGACGGCTGCTCTGCTGCTGCGCCGGTGGCGGTTGGGCTTGAGGCTGCGGAGGCGTTTGTTGCGCCCGCGGGTCGAACCGGGCCATCCAGTCATTGTTTGCCGACGTGCCTGAGCCGCTCTGAGGGGGCCCATATCCAGGGTACTCCGTATATCCGCGAGAGGATTGCTGATACTGGCTTTGCTGGGCGAAGCTAGAGGGTTTCTGCGGCATACCGGACATGACGGTGTCTTCATGGCGGGACGATGGGGTAGTCTGGTAAACAGGTCTTCCTGCTGCACTTGAGGTTGAAGCTGCGGCGGACGGAGCCTGCTCACTGGCAAATCGTTTGCGCGGCTGAGGCTCCTCGGGCTCATCGTTAAGAATACTCATGATGTTGGACCGTTTGGCGGGCACTTGGCGAGATGCATCAGGAGCAGGAGTGACACTCGGGCGAGGTGCATCTTTGACTGGCGACAAACCCGGGCGAGGCGACTGGGATAGTCCTTGGCCTGCATACGAGTAATAGGGTCTAGGAGCAAAGGGATCACGGTGAACGGACGCAACGTCAAGTTCAGGTCTAGGCAGTTGAGTGGGCGAGCCAGGCTGGGTCAAGCTGGGGTGACGCGAGTGAGCCGAGGAAAGAAGAGACGGTGGCTGCTGCGCAGACATGTAGCCTTGTGTAGACAAAGGTTCCATCCGAGCCATATCAGGTGGCATTGAGCCAGGAGGATGGCGTGTGGAAAGAGATAGATCCTGTGCACGGGACGTTGAATGAGGCAGGATCGAAGAGTCTCGTCTGTCCTCCGTGAAGTACCCAAGGCGTGGACCCTGCTGCAAACGATGAGCCTGGCCTGCGTTCTGTGCGCGGATTGCCCGAGTTGACTCTTCAATGAGAGTTGCAGTTGATGGCACTGGAGAAGCGGTGGAAGCTTGCGCAAGTGGTTGATAGCGAGCAGCATTGCGATCTTTCTCGGACGCTGGCCGCACATGCGGGGCCATGGGCTGTGGCGAGAGAGCAAGAGGCTTGGCCTTTGAGGAGAACCGGGATTCGTCCACTTCGGCCATGGGATCGCCATGAGGGGCGAGTGGGCGAGGAATGATAGAAGACGGAGTCGCCTCGTATCGTCGCTTGGGCGCAACACTCGGAATGGGAAGGGGCCCCGTAAGTTCACCGCGAACCTTCTTTTCCTCGGCCTCTGTGAGAATCAACTCGAAATCTTTGTGGCCACTGTCCAGGCGACGCTGGTAAAAGTTTTTGACCTGTAGTATTCGTGTTAGCTGGCCACAATACAAATATCAAGAAACGAATGATTTCATATCATACCATCACCGTAGTTTTAGTCTTCATCCAACCCGAGATACCTTCGAAGTCACGGCCAAAGTGTGCTAGCAAGGCAGGGAAATCACGCTGCTCTGGCACAGACCAATAGCTTGTCGGTTGCATGGACCCGTAGCCCGTCTCAGCCTGCTTGACTGCCATAGGAGGGTCGATTTCGGTAGACTCAAAGACATAGACGCCATCTTTTGCGCGTCCGCGTCCTGCCCTACCTCGCGGCATTGCTGGAAGTTGTTCTTGAACCATACGTTCTCCTCCTCTGGCCTCTAGCCCCCATGGAATGTTGTCTGGAATCATTTCCATCTCGGTTCCAGGAAGAGGCGGGGGTAAGGTGTCCTGTGTGGCCAGGATCTGACCTTTCTGATCGGGTTGCATGGTCTTCGCGCGCCGGGCGCCGCGACTACCGCCTCCACCACGCCCACGTCGAGCAGGCGGTCTTTCGACTGGTTCAATATCCCGGCCAGCCTGGGCACGACGGCCGGGTGGTCCGCCCTCCACTTCGCCAGAGTCACCAAATGTGGGAGCCGCAGCACGGCGTGGACGACCAGTGTCAGTGACAGGGGGAGGTGCTTCCTCACCGTCAAAGTCAGGCTTAACGACGCTCAAGTCAGCAATCAGGGCGTTGGATTTGGGCCGTGGGGCGCCCTTTCGAGGTCCTCCCTTGCGTTTACTCCAGCGTTTGTTGAGCTTAGCCTTGTACTTAATCTCTTCCTTGGTGAGGTAATAGTGAATGATACACTGCTGAAAAGTGCGCCCAGGTAGGGATTCCGCGATTTTGCCCCATTTCTTGGGATATGCCATGAAGGCGTCTGTGAAAGTAATGTGCTCCTCCGGAGTAAAATCGTTGGGAGGTGGCAGGAATCCGAAAACATCCATGGCCCGGTTACACTCAATGATATTGTTGACGTCTTTGTAGACGCAGGCTTTCTCCTCATGCGGCTCGAGCATGTCTGGGATGATTGCCTCACGTCCCAAATCAGGCCGAGCAGTAGCCATTTTAGTTCGTCGGCGTTCGAGCTCTTCTTGAGCCGAGATCTCAGAGGCTTTCAGCGCGTTGAGGAAATCGAGCTCGCTGTTTCCTTTGTAGCGTCGTCCTTCACGGCCTTCCGGATTGGGTGCTGGGGTGGTTGGTACTGTAGAGACCGGTGGCGAGGCTGGCGCCGGGGTATCAGATTTCTTGTCCTTCAGACGGTCTAGCTCCCAGATGGCCAACCGCCAAGACTTGTAGTAAGACATGTACTCCTCTCGAAGAATTGCATTCTTCTTGAAAACTTCTTGCTGTGACTTGGAAAGTTCGTCAAGGAAGGTGTCCTTGAGGCGGTTCTGGATGTCAATATTATCATGGTATACTTCCAAATCCGAAAGAGGAGTGGGAGGGCCAGAGTGTAAGAAGGGAAGACTGTCGATGGTAACTTCATCACTGGGTACCACAGGGGGGATGATAGTTTCAACAACTGGCTCCGGTTCACGCTCCAGTTCAGGTTCGGGTTCACGCTCAGTCGGCGTTGGGGCGAAGGAGACCACCCGTTCACTGCTGAGAGGATTGGCTGTCACTTCATCCTCCACTGATGGCACGGGTTCCACGGATTGCTGTACTGGTTTTTCCACTGCTTCTTCTGCGGGCTGTTCCACTGACATTTCGTTGGCCAACATGCCAAGTAACTGGATTTTCAGCAGAAGAGATACAATCGTCGGGTCTTCCAGAGGAGAAGGAGGCAGTTCGGCTCGGAGTGATACCATGTCCCTTTCGAAAATTCGTTTCCTTTCTTCGAGATATTCCTGGGTGAAGACATTCTCGCTATCTTCCTCGTCACTAGAACGTCCAAAATCCGGCAACATGGCAGGCTCCTCTTCATTGCCGCCTTTCTCAGAGTGTCTGCTCAATTCAACGTCTTCCACATTGGAATCCAACGGAGGGCTAAGGCGAATCGGGAGTTTCATTGAATCAGAAGCCGGAGACCTGGCTTTCTCATCTTCACGAGGAACAATTTCACCACTCTCTGGCTCATCTGCAACGGGAGACGGGGGTCTTCGGACGTTTCGAGTGTCTTTAACAACAGAAGTAACAGCCTGACCATGATCGATAGGTTCCTGCTTCGGAGGCGCACTAGAAACAGATGGTGTCCGGGGGTAGCCAGGATGCATCCATGGCTTGCTGCCTTTTCCTCCGCGTGGTGATGGGGCCTGCCGTTGCAGTGCTCTAGGTCCAGTGGGGATAATGGAGGAGGGCACTCGAGGTGACACGGATGGTTCGCGGGATGCTGCGCGCGAAACCGGTAGCGGATGTCGTGTGGACGTGGGAGATGAGGTCTGAGAATTCGATCTGCGAACCCCGAAAGCCTCGTTTGGCGCAGAGACTGAGTTCGGCTTGGACATCGCGGCTGGGGCAGTGGGTGGTGACAAGTCGGAGATACCTGTAGATGGTTTGGGCGCACGTGCAGGTCCTCCCTGCGGATTTGTGGGTTCCAACGGTATTTCAGGACGATTGCGAGGTTCAGAGAGAGCTGAGGTATCGCCTCTTTCCGCCTTGGGGCCGGTTGGGGGTTGAACCATCGGCCGTTGTACTTCATTCCGGTCCTTCCATGTTGGTTGAGAGGTAATTGGGGCCGTTCGCTGTTCTGCGGGTTCTTTATCGGCAGCTGGGCTTGGGATAGGAGCTGACACGGAGCCAAAGGCGGGCACCTGAGGAGCAGCTGGAGGCGGGGAGGATCGAACAACAAGTGGGGGCTCCTTGGGAGCCTCTGGGCGAGCTAGGATCACTTCAGTCCGCTCGGTCTCTCGTACCGGCTCTGGTGCCGGAGCAGTTGACATGATCGAGGCTTTCCTGCTTGGGTCCACCGGGGGCTCGAGGGGTCGATCCACTGGAGCTGGGCCACTAGTCGATGCTGCATGGGGATGTGAGGAGGTAGTCGAACCGCTGGCTGCACGGCTTTCTGCACGGCTCGGCGGACGGTCACGTTTCCAGAAGTCGACTGGGCGATCTCGGTCCTCGCGATCAGGGCGCCGGGGTTCCCAATCTTCTCGACGATCAAAGCGGTCTCGACGGTCCAAGTCACGATCCAAGTCTCGGTCCCGGTCTCTTGGTCGCGGGGGTTCCCGGTCACGATCTCGGTCCATCATGCGATCCCGATCCAAGGCACGATCACGGTCCAAATCTCGGTCTCGGTCACGATCCATCATTCGATCGGGACGTCCACGCCAGGTTTCGCGAGATCGGCTTCGTCGGCGGAAGAGATCGCGGTCGTCATTAAGGAAGGGCGGGCGGCCTCGACCGCGTCCACCTTCCCAGTCTCCACGGCCGCGCCCTCGCATGCCTCCTCGATTGATATGACCGCCATTGGTGGGTGGGCCATCGGGGCCTCCTGAAGATGCGGACAAGATGCTATCTCGAGAATTGCGACGGATCCGACCTAGATCAAAGTCGCGTCCTGGGGGATCTCTGATATCACGAAAGTCGCGCGTCGGGGACCTCGAGCGTCCTCGGCCAAAGCCAATGCGATTGTCTCGGGGGTCAAAGTCACGGTCACGGCGACCCCAGTCACGGTCCATATCCCGGCGAAACGGTGGGCCGTCGCGGGTGTCTCGAAAATCACGGTCCCGGTCTCGTGGATCTCTGTCTCGATCACGGAAATCACCACGGCCATAACCCCTACCACGGCCTCCAAAGTGGCCCCGAGGCGAGTCGACCAAGGCGCGAGGGCCACGGGGCGGGTCTCTAAACGGGGCAGGGCCATCGTCAGGACCACGAGGGCCAACCGGTGGACGACCGAAGCGCTGCGGAGAACGATCACGGGAATTAAACCCGGACGATGGAGGGAATCGATTTGACATTATCGCGTCATGCTATGTGCTGTAAATTGATTAGCGCCTCCAACACCAAGTACAGCACAGCTGGTTAATGGAATGCAGAATCCATTCACATACTGGAGAAGGACGAGGGACTGCACGTGACAGACACGGACCAGGCGTTGGATTAGGTAATAATACCCGATCAGGCAAGGCGTATCTCCAAGTTTGGGGGAAATGGACTCGGATCAAAGCACGGCACCCTTTGTTGATGACAGTTGGAGATCAGAACCCGAAAGCCGGGGGTGGTTGATGAGGTTGAAGGAACGTGCAGGATCCTAGGTATGAAACACGTTCACCGAGAATCCTCCGAAGCTCCTTGCAGGTATGGGAAGCAGACAGAGGGATTATTGAAGGAAAGGACGTGAGACTTTCAAGGGGTGGCACTAAAGCGCAGCGGGACTAGTGCGGTGGGTTCGGGGGTGTTGGCGCCTCCCAAACTCTATCGCGATCTTCAATTCTTCAATGTGGGAGAAAAATAGGAAAATAGAAGATAGAGATGGGATATTAGTTCGATCTGATACGGATATTAAGCCTACGGGACTAACACCCCTGTTAGAGGGTGTTACAGTCATTGATACCCTGAAACAACCGAAATCGTGGAATCTGTCACCTCCCGCGACTTTAGTGCTTTGGTGCCGTGCGGCCTTACTGCCTTGTGGCCTGAGGCATGTAGGTCTAGGCCCCTTGATGCCTCAGGCCGCAATCGATGCTTCCCCGCCGAAAAAAAAGATCGGAGTTGCCCCTCCTGTTGATCATTTAAGACTTGCATTGATATCTTTACTGCATTGACTGCATTTATCTTTTCTTTTATCTTTCATTTTCTTTTCACTACTCTCCTTTCTTGCCATCGCCATGACTTCCCAGGCCTCAGCGGTCCCTGCCTCGGTGACGGAGTCCGTTCTCCAGAGTTCGCAACCCGTTCCGGAAGGGTCTCATGAAGTGAGCGGCGTGGATTTCGACAAGTTCCAGGGCCGGGATATTACAGTAGCAGAGATGGTGGACAACCTAGCCTATACAGGGTTCCAGGGCAGTGCTGTTGCCGAGGCCGCCCGCATCATCAACGAGATGGTAAGCCTTGAACTTGAATCGAAGTCCTTAATTTTAGAATCTTACGGCCTGTCCTTTTTAGCGCGCCTTCCGTGACCCCGAAACCGGAGATAAAACCACCATCTTCCTCGGTTTTACTTCGAATTTGATCTCATCCGGTCTTCGTGATACCCTGCGCTATCTCGTGAAACACAAGCATGTGTCGGCAATTGTGACCACTGCGGGTGGTGTTGAGGAGGATCTGATCAAATGTCTCGCACCCACGTATCTCGGATCATTCACCACCCCAGGTGCTGGTCTCCGTGCCAAGGGTCTCAACCGCATCGGCAACCTGCTCGTTCCCAACAACAACTATTGTGCCTTCGAGGACTGGGTGGTTCCTATTCTGGACAAGATGCTGGAGGAGCAGGAGGCGGCCAAGGTCAAGGCGCGTGAAACGGGCGACGAGGAAGACGAGCTTCACTGGACGCCAAGCCGCATCACCGAGCGGCTAGGCCGAGAGATCAACCACGAAGATTCGGTTCTCTACTGGGCGGCCCGGAACGGAATCCCCGTGTTCTGTCCCGCCCTGACGGATGGATCCTTGGGTGATATGCTTTACTTCCACACCTTCAAGTCCTCTCCACAGCGACTCCGGGTGGATATCGTGGATGATGTCCGCCGCATTAACACTATGGCGGTGCGGGCGATGCGCGCTGGCATGATTATTCTAGGTGGCGGCGTGGTCAAGCACCACATTGCCAATGCATGCCTGATGCGTAACGGAGCTGAACATGCAGTATATGTGAACACCGCGCAGGAGTTCGACGGTAGCGATGCGGGCGCACGGCCGGATGAAGCGGTGAGCTGGGGCAAGATCAAGGCAGATGCCAAATCGGTCAAGGTCAGTAATTCCAAATGTTTGCATGCGTGGAGGCTAATTATCCACTAGGTATACGCCGAGGCTACTGCAGTATTCCCCATGATTGTGGCCGCTTCGTTCGCTCGTGCGGAATCCCAGAACTGAACGCAAGGCTATCGAGTCCTATGCGGTACCACTGGTGCCAAGCCATCGGGATACTGCGAGCTACAGTTCAGGAGGATTTGCTCCCAAGGGCCAATCACTGCTAATTATTCCAGTCGACAAGCGTTGATCAATCATGGCTCTCTGATCGCGCAATTGTTTCAGTCCTGACCCAGTCTGACGGCCCCCAATTCCTGTCATTCTATAAGCATACAGGAATGCCGATTGTCGGACCTGAGTGGCGTTCTCCACCAGTGGCAAAGGGAGAGAATTCGGACTTGATATGCCGAGTTGCCACACTATTTAAGGTTGGCTGCCCTGAGTGGAGATTTCTCGGATCGGCTGCCGATCAGGAGGCACACAGAGAACAAGAGACGCAGGAAACGAGACAAGATACAAGAGACGCAAGAACCAAAAGAAGAGCACCAAGAGAAGCAATTAGCATACCAATAATATAATATAGCGTGAAAATCCAACCTCATTTGCCTGAATCCGAAGTATAGGAGCCCAAGGCAGAGAGACCCACCGCCCCCGAGTCCCCCCGGACTCTCTTATCTTTTCCCCAACTTTTTTCTTCTTTTTTCCTTCTCTTTGTCTTTCCCTCTCTCCCTCTCTTCTCTCTTTGTCTCTGTCTCTGTCTTCGGTTTCTGCATTCTTTCTGTTTGCTTTCTCTCGCTCTCGCTCTCCAATCTCTACATATCTCGCGTGGTCCGATAACGGCTTATCGCCAGTCTTTACACTATATACAACCATACAGCCCGTTGGAGTCTCTTGATTTTTGAACCTTGTGAGACCGGATCTCATCTTCGACTACCCTTTGATTAGTGTGTCATTTTGCTGTTTTTGTGTGTCTGGCTTAGAACCCATCCCTTGGAAGTATTGGGATCCCGATTCGACGGCCATGGACCCTCTACCCAATTTGGTGACCAATTCACAGCTATCGGTCCCCGAGACCGAAGCTGGGAGCAACCTAATGGCGGCCAATGCTCCAGACAATACTCCAGAGATAGAGTCGCCCAATTTTCCCTCTAATGCAAACCCGCTCGCCTCGTCCGAATCAACGTCTCCAACTTCTCAGCCTCCGTCAATCCAGCCTTCAGAAGAGATCGAACATGCATATTGGGCTGAATACGAGGAGGACACAACGACTCCAGATGAGGAGGAGATGAAGGAGATTGAAGGGGGTGACTCGGACTACAGTGCTGGGGATCGTATGTTTGAAATCCTGATGAAAGCTACAAGTCACTAACCATAAACAGACGGATACTGGGAAAACAACTTCTTCCGGGAACTCGGAGACCCCGAGTATATTCCCGCAGAGAAGGCTCGCCTGACGTGGACGTTCAAGGGTGTTCGAGGTACACCCGAAAACCCCAATCGCGCCAAAACCATTCGTTCCCCCGCAGCCTTTGTTGGCGGATATTGGTGGCGAATCAAGTTCTATCCTCGAGGGAACAATGTAAATGCCTTGAGCGTTTACCTCGAGTGCTCCACCACAATGCCTACTCCGGACGATACACTTCCAGAGACAGAATTCTCCGTCCGGCGAGCCGCACCCGATGCCTCTCTCGACGACAGCACTCCAGAAGTCCATCTGAAATCGGCAGCAACCGATGATGCGGCGGCCTGGCTCGAAGATTATAAATCCCAGTATCCTGCCGCTGGGAACGCCGCTCAAAGCAGTCATGATGGATCCTCGGGCCCTTGGCGAGTACCCGCACAAGTTGGAGTCATTGTATACAATCCGCAAGAGCCCCGGACAGGATGGATGCAGTCATCTTGTCATCAATTCAACCCTCACAACCTAGACTGGGGGTGGACTTACTTCCACGGACCATGGGATCAAATCCACTCCCGCCGTCGCGGTCAACACCGTGCCCTCCTGAACAACGATACGCTCGCTTTCGACGCTTATATTCGGGTGGTCAACGACCCTACCAAGTCTCTTTGGTGGCATCCAAGTGACTCCGAACCCACTTGGGATAGCATGGCCTTGACTGGCTATCGTCCTCTGGGTGATTCAGTCATCAATCACAGCCCAGAGGTAGCTGGGCTAGCTTCATGGCTACACATTGGCCCATTTAGCAAGATCATTCAGGGTGTCGATGTCCTTGAACACCTTACTAATGCCGATGCCAGGCCTAAGCCTCTTTGCAATGCTCTCCAAAAGCTTCTCTGGCAGCTGCGCCGCCGGACACTTTCTCCAAGCTACGTCGATACCGATGCTGTCACAACCACTCTCCGGAATTTGCACGAGTTTTCAAATGACGTGTCTGAATTCTGGGAGCGCCTACGCCGCTCCCTGGAGCTCGAGCTAAAAGGAACGGAGGCTGGTAAGGAGTTTGCTCGATTGTTTGACAGTCCGATCGTGAGCACCATGACGTCTGAAACCGTGAACATGTTGCCCACAGACTTCAACTCCCGCCTTTACATGCCAATTGACCAAGCTAAATCATCTGGCGAAGCTGTCAAGGGATACCTGAGTACCAAGCCCGGGCGTTGGTCGCTCCCGCCAGTTCTCCATGTGGAGTTTGGACGCCATACTTTGGACAAGGCCAAGCGTTGGCAGCTGCGGTATGACAAGGTGGACATGGATGAGGAGTTAGACTTGGCCCCATGGGTGGTTGATGGCCAGGGCAGTCAGTATGTCCTCTATGGCTACGTTGTCCACCGCGGCCGCCGTACCTCGGGCAAGTTTTTCAGCATTCTTCGCCCAGCAGGCCCGGGTACCCCATGGCTTGCTTTCGATGACGGCAGCGACAACCGTGTAGAGTGCTTGACTCAAAAGACTGCCATGGGCCCCCATCTTGGTCTCGAATCTTCTCAATCCGTCGACCACAAGAAGGGGCACGATGTACCCGTCGTTGCCATGTATGTCCGTGGCGACATGATTTCGGAGCTGTTGCCTGGCCCTCAGGGCCCTTGGGAGGCGTCCGAAGCCTTGAAGCGGTACTACGAAACTGGCGTGTATCAGGCTGGGGACAAGCCTGCCGAAGATGTCCAGGTTGAGGTTTATTCGCTACCAGAGTATGATCAGTTGACGAGCCTGTTTGACACCTACGATCTCATGGCGCAAGCTAAGGCGATAAAGAGTGTCATGTATATGACTCTGCCCCGTTCATCACGGCTGGTAGACCTGCGCAAGAAGATCGCGCTATGGAAATCTGCAAGCTCTGAGCCAATTGGCCCTGAACGGGTCCGTTTCTGGCAGATAGGGGACTCCTCAGCCCCATCTGGATCATCGCTGGTATTTGATAGTACTGCCAATTTGGATGTTCCACTGGATTCTTCACTGAGCACCATCCGTTTCTGGATGCAAATCATCTCAGAGGGTAAGTGGAGGCAGATTATTCATTTTAATATTATCGCCATCCAGCTAACAGTTGTTTTAGAGGACGCTCAATTCTTCGCAATCCCAGACCCTCCTACAGTTGCCACTGCAGATGACAAGGCCGATGATAGCATTCTTGGAGTCTCAATACCTGGAACCTCCGCTAATGTGTCGTCTGTAGCAGAAGGTGATGCCATTGCTAGCTCATCAGGAAACTCCCGCCGGCAGCCAGATATCACCTCTGAACCTGTGCCCTCCGATGAATCACCTCTGTTGGCCACTCCGTCCCAGGAGAATGATGCTATTTCAGCTGAGAGGGCAGAGCATGAAGTGGTACTCGCTGTGGCTACTGCTCACGACCAAGAAGCCGCGGTTGCTGGTTCGGCCACTTCAACAATCGAAACCACCGATTATTCTCCCACTTCAGCCTCTGCAGCCGAACAACGCTCGATAGAATCTGCGCCTCAGGCATCAACTGTCCCTGAAGTTAAGGTGCCTGTTGGTCATGCATACTACTTCATTCAATTGTTCGATGCGGACAAACAGGTCCTTCGCACTGTAGGCTCGTTCTTCTCAAAGCTCGATTCAAATGTCAAAGCATCGATCAGGCGCCATTTAAAGAGAAGTATTCGTCAAGATTTCCTCATGTGGAAGCGAGTTGATGGCGCCAATGTCACCACGGTCTCGCCAGCGGACACGTTTGAAGATGTGGTGGTTCCCCACGGAGCCTGCTTCATCATCGGAGACAAGTTGGCTAAAGACAAGTGAGTATAAATTCTATGAGTACCACAAGTATATCAATTCTAATGCAAAATACAGGCGCTCTCAACTTGCTTTTGCGGGATCGTTCACTAGTCCTGACCGTCTAGTTCATTACTTGTGGGCAGACTCTCGCAGTCATCCCATCCAGGGCTTCACCGGAAGCAAGACCATCGAAGCCACCTTCACGAACGACTACTATAGTGGTGACTTCCTCAAGGGGTACCACCATGGTAAGGGCACGCACATCTCCAGCACCGGCATGGTCTATAGAGGGGACTTCGTTTTCGGTCGACGTCACGGACAAGGAAAGCTTGACTATCCCACTGGCGACTCCTACGACGGTGACTGGGTCGAGGATGTCTGCCACGGGCAAGGCACCTATATCGAAAAAACAACCGGCAACAAGTATGTGGGTGGCTTCAAGGACGGCAAGCGCCATGGCAAGGGTATCAGTTACTGGGAAGTGGCCGATGCAGAGTTGGATCTATGCCAGATCTGCTACACCGAAGAAATGGACGCGGTCTTCGCTGATTGTGGCCATTTCTGCTCCTGTGTGACTTGCGCGAACCTCGTCAGTCTCTGCCCGATGTGTCGCAAAGATGTCAAAAAGGTGATCAAGATTTATCGTGCATAGAGTATCTGCTTGTCACGGAGTATAAAGGGACAGTTGCGTTTCGGTTTGAATTTTTTTCCATGAAGAACACATTTACGTTCATTGATATTTTTAGCGAGCTGTGATTTAGATGGGCAGCAGTGATTTCATTCTGTTCCCTCATTTTGGTTATATACGCATTGCCACCTATTTGTGGTTATAGATCGTTGATAGATTCAGCACAATCATTACAGATGTTTACATTTACATTGCACTTGCTTCCTTTTTGAAACACAGTTTGATCTTGATTGAACAAAAGGTATATCCAATGCGCCGGGCCCCGCCCTAATACATGATGCTTTTTGACTTGCCCGAAGAAAACTATACACACACAGAGAAATAGACGATCAGCTCATTGATCATTTGCTAGCCTTCTTGGCCTTCTTATCCTTCTTCTCGCCTTTTTCCTTGGCCTCGGTCTTCTTGTCTTCCTTGCCCTTGACCACAGTCTTCTTCTCGCCCTTTCCTTCATTAGTAGATTTCTTGGAGGCAGCAGTCTTGTTTTCTTCCTCCTTGGTTGGGGGAACCAACTCGCTAGTCTTGGGTGCGGCCTCTGACTTGCTCTTCTTAGGCTTGTTCAGGACTCCCTTGGGGTTAAGACCCTTGCGACGGATACGGTTACGCTCAGCACGAGCAATACGCTCAGTGTCCTCGGGATCCTCGAAAGAAGCGAAGGCACCGCCCTCGAAGTCGGCAGCGTCGCCATTCTCATCGACAATTGGGGTCTTGTCATACACCTCGTCGTCGTCTGTGGACGCGGCTGAGGAAGCACTGCGAGCAGACTTGGAGCCAGACTTTGCGGGCGCGGAGGAGGTAGAATCATCTGTCTTGGAAACTGGAGTCACGGCGGTCTTCTTAAGCTTGCAGACGTAGAAACCGTCGACGTTCTCGCGGTGGGGGAAATAGCGGCGAGTGAGTGCCATCTTGGCATCGAACTTCTTGCCCATGTAGCTGAGGAAACCGGGGCTACCGAAGTCCCCAAGACCAGTGTCGACGATCTTGACGTTGGGGCGCTTGCGCAGGACGTACTGCACAACAGCCTCGTTCTCTTCCACTGTGACACTGCAAGTGGAGTAGACAATGTATCCACCGGTCTTAGAAGCGTGGTCGACGGAGTCAATGGCGGCCAGAAGAAGCTGACGTTGCATGTGAGGGATGGCAAGGAAATCGCGCTCGTTCTTAGAGGTCTTGACGCCAGGGTCCTTGGAAATAACACCGGTACCGGTGCAAGGAGCATCGAGCAGAACACGATCGAAACCACCCAGAGCCTTGGGGAAGGCAGTCCGGGCATCCATGTGCGTCACGACGGTGTTCTTGCAGCCGAGACGGTGAATGTTACCAATCAAACCCTTGGCACGGGGCTTACTGGCATCGTTTGCGATGACACAGCCAGTGTTGCGCATCAGAGCGGACATGTATGTTGTCTTACCACCGGGCGCAGAGGCCATATCGAGAACTCGCTCGTTAGGCTGAGGAGCGAGAGCCATGACGGGGAGGAAAGATGAAGCAGCCTGGAGAATGTAGTGACCGGCCAGGTACTCGGGCGTGGCACCCAGAGGGACGGGAGACTCGAAGACCTGCAGACCGACCTTGGACCACTTGCCAACGGGCTCGAGGACAACACCACGGTTAATAAGGGCCTGGGCGAGGGAGCGACGGTTGGTTCGTAGAGTGTTGGTACGAATAACGACGGGGCGAGGAGTCTCGTTGGCTTCGAAGAAGGCAAAGGCCTCCATGGGTGTGAATAGGTTGAACAGCTTCTCGGCGAGGAACCGAGTGTAACCGTAGTACGTGCAGATATCGTTGAGGAGAAGATCGATGTAGTCGGCACGCGACTTGCCAGCCTGGCCGAGAGTCTTCAGGTCGCCCATGATGCGAATGGTATCGGTAATGCGCTGGCGAAGTAATTGTAGGTCAGGTGCGAGTCCCTGCTGGTTTTGGTCGGCGAACACATCGGGACCGGCGATGTTAGTCTGCAAAGCGGCCTCCTGCAATTCAGCCTCGGCCTCCTCTTCCTCTGCCTGCTGCTCAAGATCCAATTTCCGGGACAGACCCTCGATGTTGGCGGCGGTCAATCTCTCCTCGGCATCAGACATGTCCTCGTCGTCAGAGAACATGGCTTCGCGGGTATGGCCCTCATCGTCGGAGTCGATAACGGAGTTGTCATCGTCATCTTCCAGATCGGAGAGACCCTCAACCCGGTCGTCGCTATCCATTGAACCTTCACTGACTCCATCAAGGTCACCAAATTCCTCATCGTCGAGATCCTCCATATCCTCGTCATCAGACATGGGCACAGGAACAGGCTTAGGCTTGGTCGATTGCTTCTTCTTATCGGCCTTGACAGGCTTGGTAGGTGCGACATTGGCGGCGGCGTTGACCTTCTTCTTCTTTGGGGCATCCTTCTTCGTCACAGGCTCATCGGCGTCGGATCTCCGACGCTTCGCCGATGCAGCCTTCGGAGGCGCCTCAGCACTGCCAGACTTGCGCTTCTTGAGCATTGTGATTTTCGACTCGTCCAGCGGGGCCGGAGGGCCCTGCTTCTTCATACGGCGACCGACACCCATTGTGAAAGATTGGTGTGTATGGAAATGTTTGGGGTGTCTGCGTCTTGGGAGCTGCGATTTCTTCCCGTCATTTTTTTTTCTTCGAGCGGTGAGTGGCGGCAGTAAGAAAAAAGACAGAAGGCGGTGTGAGATAGATGTTTCAGCCTGGAGAATTAGGTGTCGACACAGATTGAACAGCTGCGGAACTGCGAAGAACAACATCCACTTCTCCAGCTTCCCCATATTTGGTTCTTCTTCTTGTTTTTCATTTTGAGAATCTCAGCTACTCTCCATACATCACTCGCCATGTCGGAACTGACATTTACCAAGTCCTTCTTGTCCACACTGGACTCCCGACCTATCAAGCTCCGCGCTGACCATGTATTCGATCCGGAGCAGGTTGGACTTCGGGTTCCTGTAAGTCTTGATTGCGATACTTCACTCAATATCATCTACGGAACAACTTCATTCTAATGCCTTTATGTAACTACAGTACACTCTCCCCCGCCTCTCAGCCCCGCACCCCCCAATGCCCAAGAAAGTGAAGTCCGCGCAGGCACCAGGCTCCTCGAAATCGATCAATGTCTGTATGAAGTCTGCTCGCAATCCCGCTCTCGAATTCACCATCTCCAACGCCCCTATCTCAACCACCTCGATCCAAGATCTCCGGGATGCCGTGCAAGCGCGCATCACCGATGCCCAGGGCGGACAAGTCCCGTTAGACAAGATTAAGATCCTGTACAAGCGCAAGCCAGTGACCGGAACAGGAAAGACCCTGGCGGAGGTATTAGCAGACGAGCCTGCAGTTTTGGCAGGTGGCAAGGCAGTCGAGATTGGAGTGATGATTATTGGCGGTGCCCAAGTAATCGACTCTGCAGTGGCCCAGCCGGAGGTGGAGGAGAAGCGGAATGAATCGCCGCCTAAGGCTGCTGTTGGCCCCAGTGGCGAGGAGGTTCTGCGGACGGATGCTTTCTGGGATGATCTAGAGGGTTACCTGGAGCAGCGATTGAAGGACGGAGAAGAGGCGAAGCGGCTGAGGTCGCTTTTCAAGGATGCATGGAGCTCGGCGAAATAAGATCACATATGCATGAAAGCACGAACTTGAAATAATGCCAATATCAAATGATACCTCCTTTTGCTACAGTTGTGTTCCATCACGGAGAACTCTAACATCTGTCATTTTTCTACAATCTAACCAAAGGGAATAATATTCAATCCATCCGGGTACGATTTCAAAATGTTATACACATACAAGTCGATCTGTCGTTGTCCAAGGCACAGGCTAGACACCAAGCAGAACGGAAATCCCCGTACACCATAAACAACACAAAAATCCAGATCAAATCAAAAGCTTATCAAGTTGCAGTTGGGACTCAAGCAAGAACTCATCACAGAAGCAAAGAAAACAGCACTAAAATCAAGATCTGTTCCAATCCGCATAGGAGCTGAACATGTACCGAAGCAGTAACTTTATAGTGGAACTAAACATTGACATACGCCAGGGAATCACTGTGAAATGGCATGCTATCGTCGAAGTATAAAGTACATATTTCGAAGAAGAGAAAAATCACGTAGAAAAGTATCATGTGCCATGCAGCTCGGAACACCGTCGTATAGGCTCGAACTGGTCCGGCCAATCGCTTATCTGGGTCATGGGATCATATAGCAAACGACGAGAGGAAGGTGAGGAAATACACAAAGGAGAAGAATCATACACAGGATTCACCTCATCGTTTGAATTATCGAGAGAACACCTTGACCACGCCGTCTCCGCCACCGCTGACAACCCAACGGCTGTCACGGCTCCAGACCACGGCGCATACACCTTCACCACGCATCAGTCGGTGGCTTGTCAGCTCCTGGGTACAGCTGCGCTTCTCAAGGTTCCAGAAGCGCAGGCTTGCGTCATGGCCAGCTGAAACGAGTTCGCGTCCATCGGGGGACAATGACATCGCCGCAATTGCTGCAGGATGGGCCAGCATGGTATATGTGCATTGACCTACATCATGAAGAGTCAGCATATTGTTGAGGTAAACTGGGCGTTGATACTCACCACTGTTGGCATCGAAGAACCGGATGTATCGATCCTCGTAACCACTGATGATCACGCCCTCAATGCTACTGGATCCAGTAGCACCGTGGACTACCTCTTCCTCGCCCATTGTCCGGTTAGGGTCCAAGCTAGCGGTTCCATCGAAGCCGATGGTGGTGGTGACGACAGAGTTCACACCAGTAGAAGGCGTGCCATCGTACGTCTCGAGACTCGCCATTCCCACGATTTCTTCGCCGGTCCGGGTGTCGTAGACAAGGATAGAGGCATCCGAGTATGAGACAACAAAGTTGACGCCTGCAAGAGACAGAGGGCTAATGCATGTTGAAGCGGGAGATTCGGCGCGGCAAATGTGATGAACAAGGGTGTAATGGAAGGGTGTGGTTGTAGCGACACTGGGCTGAGGAGAAGATGGGAAGTTGGAACCGGAGGATATGGAGTTCGCCCGACGGCTTCCACCTTGACGGCGGGATCCAGCCGGAGGTGATGAGATTTGAGGAGGAGCGCTGACAGCCCAGATCAGGATGCGACCATCCGCTGCACTGGAGGCTAGCAAGATCCGATCCGGTCCACCGTACTGGTTGCTTGAGTCACCAAAGACGGATCCCACGGTACCTGGGAGAACAGAAAGTCCCCAGACTGCCTCTTTGTGTCCGTCCAAAGTGGCTTTGGGGTCAACGCGCCCACGCTCCCACACGCGCACACTGGCGTCTTGGCCACCTGAAAACACCCATCCGTCGCCCAAAACACGGCCACCATTGGAGATATTTTGTGATGGGGAACAAGCAGCAAGCGAGGTTACTGCACCCTCATGTCCACGGTGAGTGAAGTAGCTGGTAATATCCAAGTCATTGCTGGAACCAGGGCCATGGGCTCCAAAGCCGCCATAGGTGGCTGGGATAATCCATCGCTTGATGGTTCCGTCGTCACTGCAAGTGCAAATCTCGGGTTCTGAAGGGCTACCGCCACCAGTAAAGATGACAGACCGAATTACATCTAAATGACCGCGTAAGGCAAAGCGGACCTTGAAGTTCGAATCCTGCTGCTGTCCAAAGGTCGCACCCGCTTCGCGAGCGTCGATTGCACCGTCGCTCTTTCGCCTTGATCCTGAGCTCTTCCTTCGGTGGGGGAGAGATCCGCTCTTAGACGCCTCGGGGCGTACAAAATTGGCATTGGGGAAGGCATCAGTATCAGGCCGGTGGGGCGGTATGGGCTCGCTAGCCGGCTCTGGCTCTGCGGGTTCATCGAAGTTCCAGCCATCCACATCCTCGGTCTTTTCCTCGTTCTGGTTCTGTGGATTCGCGTCTTCCTTCGCAACTACTTGAGGCCCCGACACCTCATATGCTTGGTTTTGGCGATCATCAACCAGGCCCTGTTCGTATGTGTGGTTCCGGTTGTCGATCGCCGGGATAGGAGCTTGTTGATGTTCTAGCTGGCGTCGATCCATGTTATCCCGGTTAAGATAGTGGTTCTGACCTCCAGCCATAGCATTGTCAGAGTAGTGGTTGGACACAGGCTGGTGGTTCTGTACAGCCATTTCGCGCGCCATAACATGATTCGTTTTTTGGCGTTGCTGTTGAATAAATGCCTCTTCCAGATTCTGTTGCGACAGCTGTTGATTGCCGTAGAGATTACTGGAAAGATCGGAGTCGTTGAGATCAAGGGGCGGGTGAGAAGAAGGAATGACATGGTACGCGATTTCGTGCGAAGCCTTGGACAAGAAGCCTCGAACCTTATCTAGGTCATCTTCTGATGCGTCTTTGCGCAGATTTGTGTTGGCAGGATCCTGGTCATTCTCGAGGGGCGAGCTTGGCTGGGAGCGTTGAGCTGATGAACAATCCAGTTAGTACTCAGGACACGTTCTCTGGTAAAATTCCAAGTCACCTACCTCTCAAGAAATTAACGCTCTCACGCGCCGCCTCTTTCGGGTCCTTCACGTCCTCAATCGATTCGTTGTTGGAGAGCTTCTTCACCTTCTCTCTTTCCCTCTTAAGCGCCGTCTCCATCAGCCGAACATGCTTGCCAAGAGACTCGTGTAGGCGCTTGCTCGTTCGTAGGTCTCCCTCCAGTCTGCCAATGCGAGACTTCATCTCCGCACGTTCGATCTCCCAGGCGTTGCGGTCGCGCTCGTGTCGGTGCCATTCCGTCTGCAGGAAGCGCATAACACCTAGGTACAGACATGGGTCAATGGCAATCCAGAAAGTATATCAATCCTAACTAACCTTGTAATGTGTATTCCGTCCCCTGTGGACCCCCATTCGAGTCACCCATCGCACCGGGCATTCCTCCGACCCCAGCCATAGCTGATGAGGATTGCCAAGACATGAACGGTTTCAGGACAAGTCCAGGCCCGGGGAGTTAAATGAGATATAGGAGATGCCGAAGGCGAAGTAGGCCACCTAACAGTTGGTGAATCGGTCGGCCGTCAAGGTGAGGTGTGAGCTTCGGTTCTCCTGATCCCCGTAAATCGTATCCGCGGTAAGCGAGTCAAGTCCCCGAGTGGGCGACAACAGCAAGGAACCGCGTTCCACGCCGAGTCAGCCTATGGGTAGTGGGGTCCTAAGGAAGAAGATCCAAAGGAGACGAGGGAGGTGAAGCAATCGAGTTGAAGATGAACGTGCCTTCTTTTGTTATGGTCAAGGTGGTTTGGCTGGTTTGTCGGGGTGAGCTGACCGCCTGCTGAATGGGGAAAGATGAGAGAGTCGAGAAGGCGAGCTGACGACGTTTTGAGGTTCTCACGATAAGAAGCTCAAGAAAGAGTAAGTGGAATTTGTTGTGCAAAGTCACTGAAGGAGGTCAAGTAGAAAAAAATAAAATAAAATAAAAGGTGAGCTTGACATCACTATTGGTGCCTGATATCTCAGGCACCTATTTTCAATCCTGTCTGTATGCAGGCTACCTATGTAAGGACTGTTTGCTCTACTGTATGGGATTTTAATATGGCTTTCAGGTCTTAATATCAATGTCAATGTTCTCCAATTGCCTCGTTGAGTCAATATCGTGGTTCAATAGTAACTTGCGCCATCTATATATCTGGACGGGATGTACATTCAACAAAGTCCTTTGTTTGCACAACAACCCTTTTTGCCCCAAACATTAAAAGTATTATATCTGCATGGTCAAGTAAATAATGCCGGATACACCTGCCCGAAGGATGTAACTTATACTAGGAGACGAGACTCGACTAGATAACAGATCCGCAGATCATGATAAATTCGAAATTTAGATTGCTCGTGGCCTCATGAATAATGCTATGGTACACCTCGCTTTTTAGAACTCGAGTTCTTCCACCTCCATCCCACAGTCTACGCACGTTTTAACACCGATCCCAGTCTCTGGATTGTCAACCGACCGACCCCATTGATGAACATGTTTCCTCCCGGAGCCGAGATCGTCGCCGAATTCTCCTCCAGCAGCCCCTTGCCGATTGCGTCGGTACGCCTCCACGCGCGTGCGCTTCTTGAGGTCCTGCAGTTTGGTTTTGAATTTGGCCTCCCGCCGCCGCTTCTTGTCATTTTCCCGCCGTTCGAACTCGGCGTCTAGTGCCTCTGTCGAGCCCCATTTCTTCTCTGAAAATGCATACTCCTCCACTTGGTATCGTAGATATAGCATCATGCTGTTCCATGTAGACTTGTGTGGGTTAGGACGCTCCAAACGGGGAAGTAGCTCTTCATCTCGGAGTTCAGCTATAGAAGCTGGTCAGTAATCGCTCATGTTAAGGACACTCGGTGTAAGAACTCACGATCTGTGAGGAGATAATCTTCTTTGGCTTCGGTCTTGGTCAACAAACTGTATTTTTCAGGGTGTTTCTCTTTGCAGGAATGGCAGATGCAACACTTTAGTTCTTCTTCCCATTTCCAGTCAATCTCAATACTACCACATTCGCGGCATTTCTTTTGCTTGCTTTTATCATCCAGCACGCTTAGACCGGGCTCGAAAGGCCCTTCACGGTTCCGCCTTAGGGTTTGAAGTATTTGGTGGCGTTCCCATTCTTTTTGTGTCATATTTGCAGGTTTTTGTTCCTCCTTATCATCTTTGACATGAAGTTGCTTGTTGAATGGGTCATCTTCCTGGGTCAAGAATCCACCCTTCGTATCGGTCATTTTGCTAAAGTCATAGTCGACATAGCTTGTGAAATTGCGGGCCGGCCTGATCGAATCCGGGCGATCTGACGAAGTGTTTGCGCGAGCATCGCGCACGTTCGCAGGTTGATTGGATGCCGTCATAGTAGCGAACGAGCGTTTGGCTCCTTGAGCGGATTGCGAGGCACGAGGAGCAGCTTGGGCCAGTTCGGCTTCGCGCTGTTCTCGGAGAGCTTTTGCCTTCATGCGGTTAATTTCCTACAGCAGCTGTTTAGTATGGGCTGACCGTGGGTCATATTCATCCTTTCGCAAAAGAACTCACCATCCTGCGCTTCTGTTCTGGAGTGATCGGACCGCGGGGAAGTACTCCTGCCCCAGAGCCCTCAGGCTGTGGAGGTGGAGTCGAACGTCGTTTTGACATTTCAAGGTTGATCTCGAGAAGTTCCCTGCTGGCCTTTGTCTGGAGTGATCAAGAAGATTAGAGATTCAAGTCGGAAGGCCAACCCCCGATCTGCCGCATCACGTGAATCCCCGATCAACACGACGTCATTGGTATAGAAGTAAAAGCATCAATACATGTAAACAGATCAAGTTGAACCGAGAGAATTTCATTATTCCAATCTATGAGTTTGCCACTGGGTAATCGAAGTCATCCTCACGATCCTGGCCATATAAAACCTCACATACGCCCCCTACCGGCACATCCATGACTGCGTCTGTTCCTTCACTCCAGATTTCGCGCCAATTGACTTTGCGATTTTGGGGGCCCATGATCTGATAAGAGGTCGCACCTGGTTTCATTTTGGATGCACCGCCAGGCCGCCGCCGCGCCTTTCCATCAATGACAGATACATTCGCAACCTCATCAACAATATTCTCGATGCTGTTCATAGGCAATGTGAGGTAGCCAGTGTTGTATGCGGCGAGCGCAACGTAGATATAAATCAAGAGCATCACCAGCCATGCTGGGATAGCCAGCGACCACCAACGGTTGGGGTAATAGTAGATGCCGAGTTGGTGAAGGAATGGGGAGGGAAGATAAGACCAGAGGAGATAGAATACTAGATTGTGCCGTTAGCATACGCACCACCGCGGAGCTGCGAGATATGATATCCATGAGACTTACGGAAAGCTAACGAAGAAGCCAAGTATAACACGAAGCCGTAGTACTCATAGGTGGGTACTTTGGGACTGGCGCGTGGCACGGTCGTTGCGCGACGAGCTGACTTGGCGACCGCCGCCTCGGTATCGTTTGGTGTCTCTACATCTGAGCTGTCTGGGGTGGTTGGGCGCGACGTAGTAGTCGAGAAGGGTGGGCGGAGAAGAGATGTGAGTGACGGAGAAGGTGGTAGAGGGGTTGGCGGACGGTTGTAGAATGGCGGCGCAAATGCATTCGGGCCATGAAGAGAGCTGGAGGATTGGCGGAATGGATGATGTCGACCAATATTTTCAGAAGATTCATCTGAATCAGAATCCGAGAACGATTGGTGTTCTAATGAATAATGAGACTGGAAGTCTGCATCGTCTTCCACCTCGATCTCCTCATAGCCGGGGGAGATTACGCTCTCGTCATAGCTTTCTTGGGGGTCATCGGGGGATCCAGGACCATCGGACAGCAATGGAAAGGGCTGCTTATCCTCAAAGGATGAAGTGAACGTGTCCATCAGTGAAGTGAAGAGTTGTTGGCGTCTCCCCTTTTCTGCTATCGCCAGTCGTTCACCGCTCCCCACTGAGCTCCACCTCCCCACTCTTCCAGAGGCTCAACAGCCCTTTACTGTACAGTTCTTCCATTATCCTCTACAGTTGCCTAATTCAATTCAAAAAGGGTTAGATACCACAGAATATGTTTCATGATCGAGCGAACCTTGAGGTTGGACATTACGACCCCCTTGGGGAGAGGATTCCCACCAGTACCAACATCCAAGCTTCTATAGTTGACGATTACTGACCGTTGTGCTTGCTCAAAGTGTTGAATATGGCTGGTCTACCTAGAAGCACTTTCAGAAAGTATTTTCCTTGTGAAAAGATACTTCTCCTCTGATCCTATTCGCAACGGAACAGTTTGGTCGCCACTAGACAAAGAAGTTTTGGAGCAAAGCTTGACAATGGCAAATACATCAGGCCCATTCTCCCTGGCACACCGCATGAGGATCTTTCCATATATCTATAATAAGCAGATTAGCTAGGCAATTGAATAATATATCTCTTTCAAAATCTTAATGATGTGTGATGTCGGACGATCCGACAGTGCTATGCGATAGTCTGCCAAACACGGTCATTTTCATGTTTAAAAACCAGGTATGACCCGTCCAATTTCTATCTCAGGACTTTGATCACCAAGAGACATTAAGTTTCATATATCAATTCAATTTCCATCAAAACACTGCTGTCATATTGTACACCTTCAGGTTGTCCGAAACCGTCTGGACCATATTTTGGATCTTCTTTGCGGACGGGAATTTCTTACCAAAAGCCTCTAGCAACTCCAGTGCTAACTCCAAATCATCTGCTGCCTTGGAATTATCCCAAATCAAAGAGAGCTGCTCGCGCTGTGCAGTGGCCGTATACATAAGGGACAGCACGGAGTTGAACACAGTGACCAAGTTAAGCCAATTATAGGCAATCCGGTGCTGTCTATGCAAATTGATTGCTTGGCGAATGGCCATACCAGATGCCTCGGCTAAGATCTTCAGATTTTGAACGTCCAGTGTTGGACACAAGGGAGATGGTCGGTACAACATGATGACATGTGTGTAGTAGTTCAAATCGAACCAGCTGGTGCAGAGATGAGGCACTTTGGATTGTAGGTCTGGCAGAGGGAATGGCATATTGCGACGCCATTCTATAAGTCTTTTGTGGAGTCTTTGAACAGTTTCGGTTCTTTCCTCTGGACTTTGTCGCTCGCTATATCTTGCTGAATGTACTTGACTTCCGATATCACTTGCAATTTTGCGAAGAGCGAGGATATGGAGAGGGACTGCCATGGTCGATGGCTCCAATGTTGACGATGAAGTGATGCCATCTGACTGGATGTACTCATCGTTTGCGCTTGCAAATGGCTAGAGAATAATTAGACCAAGAACCAGAGAAAGCATATCGTGAGATTGAAGATACCTCAACAGTAATGTCATCATCTTGTATAGCAAAGGGTCGACCCAAAGCCAAAGAAACCACACTTGGAATAAAGATTAGTTTATGTTTCGAGACGCCACCGAATTAAACATACCGATCCATCATGTAAAGAGAGAAGAAGAGTCGCTTTTGCTGTTCAGAGACATCCACAGCCAGAGAATGGTAGATCTCTGCGGTATGAAGCCCCATGCCGGTTGCCATACGAGCTGCAACCCCTACCAGGAACCATGTATCTAGCCGATGTTAGATGAATATTCCGCTGAGGTAGGTTTAGACATCACATACTGGGTCCAATCTTATTGAAAAACGAGTAAGAAACTTGAAGCATCAAAACTTCCAAACCGCCCTGATTGCAAGAGACAATTAGAATCATTATCCGGAAAGTGATGGTAGTGAACTCACCAGATCCCCACATCCCATTGCGGCTTCAAAGTATGTCATCGCTTTGTTGAAGAAATGGACCGATTCGGATTCATCCATCAAGGATACGGAACAATATGTCGTTGATCCGATCGCTAAGACCATCCAGATCCTGAATTGCCATAACGGCGATTGAGCCAAAGGGTCCAAGGGGTCGCCATACACCCTCCACAACACAGATGTAAATTCATTTTGGCGGATAATTGGGTAAAGAGTGTGTGAGTGAGCGAAATAGAACTCCAATATGTACCTGATATGGGATGGTTCCAGTAATGCCAGATCCATCGAGTCGTGATGATCCTCGGCGAGATTCCCAAATATTGAGTTCAAAGGCAATGGTGATAGCATAGAGGTATCAAATTCAAAGGCTGTGGGATTGAAAGTCGGTGATTCGGCTGATATAGAGGCGTTATGATGATTGCCGTTAATATCTCCGTCAAAGACGAATGCATCTTGGTCTGGGGATAGACGGCGGAGAACGGCTTGAGTAAGTTTAGCAAAAGAGAGACCAGATGACGAGCCCAGATATCTCTCTGCTGCAGCCTCCAAAGAAAGAAGCCTTAGTTCTTCGGCCAAATCTTCGGTTTTGGGCCTCGAACGAGTCAGGTTATGGGGGGATATCGGCACGGCATCGGGACCGGCGACACCATTTCCATCAGGGCATTGTCGGGACGGAGAGGCTATTGGATTCTCCGGGATCAAAAATTCATCATCCAGATGGATGTCAGCCTCTTGGTCCCAGGGACATGACAGCGGATCATTTTGGGAATTCTGGGGAGTCAAGGAAGAGGTGAGCTGCTGCTCTAATTCTTTGACCCGGAGCTCTAGGCTCCGTACGTAGCTAAAGAACGTTAGTTCTCTTCAGATCACAGTACTAGTCAACATTAATGCTTACGCGACAGGGTATGAGGCGACTTGGGTCTCATCCTCTAGAAAACTACACTCCACCTTGGCGTGCTGACATGCCTTACACGCCGGTAGTACTTTGTCGCAACGTTTCTTTCGGCGATGGCATCTCTTGCAGGAGCTCTCAGCCCTCGCACAATCAGTCATGACTGTGAGGAGGATCAAAGCCCCCAAGTCAACTCATGGCGGATTATGCGTGTAGTGGGGGGAGATAGGAGAGACGCTTTGCCCAATCCGAAAAGTTCAAGATAAGGCTACGCTTCTACCATTTGCCTTCTTACGGGCTAGTTGTTCTATTACCAGTAAAATTGAGTCTAGAGAAGTGAGGAATGTGTTGGAATTAACCATAAACACCAGATGTGTACAACTGCCTACGATGTGATGTTGGTCTTCAGGCCTGAATGCAACCGTTGAAGTACATATAAGGTATGACCGGACTCCGATCATCTTCTCCATCTTAACCATCTACTATTTGGGGTAAAGAAGAGATTTTCCCCGGTCATTTCGGCGCCACCGCGATCTATATCTCGCATCGGAGGTTCCGCTTGACCTGTGAAGGAGCCATTACAAAATATAAAGATAGGGATCCTCACTAAATTGATCTGGATGAGCAAGCGGATCGTGATTTATCACTTTATTTCCATATCTATACTGAAAATTATGTCTCCCAACGGCCGATCATTCCTCCTTGACCCCCAAAAGGTCGCCGGACCTATGCGATATTCCCATGCGCGCGTGGTTCAACCTTCTACCCACCACACAATTTACGTCTCTGGGATCGCAGCCGTAACTCCCGAGGGAGTTCTCGAGGGAGTCACCGAGAATCCAGATGGCAGCTTTACTGTCAATGTCCGCGAGCAAACCGCGGCCGTCCTTCGAAGAATCGAGAGCATCATCCAAGGCGCCTCACACGGGAAGGCAAATCTCTACAACATCGTGGATGCTACAGTCTACATTCTTGATATGAAGACTCAATATGCGGATATGAACGAGGAATGGAATAAGATCTGGTCCGACCGTGCCAGCGCTCCCTCGCGTGCCACCATTGGGGTTCGAGAACTTCCAGACCCTCGTTTCGCGGTGGAAATCAAGGCAACGGCTGTCTTTGAGTTATAATGTATAGCAAGCCGTTGGTGTATATATTGAAAGGATAATTCCAAGGGAGTTGTAACATGGTTCATCTGTCGGAGTCTCCGACACTTGATCGATCCCCTCGAACATTACCAAAATCTCATCTATTCACCAAAATAATAATAGAAAACATCTATGCAAAGCCACGTCTTTTCATGCTCTTAAAAATCTACCAATTATGTCTCTTTATGATAACACGGGGATTCAGTACTTCAAACTGAACAATTTCACCTTCATAGATCAAACAACACTTCCGATTGCTCAAGTAGCATATCGAGAGTTCAACCCGACGTGCAAGAAGACTGCCTTGATTCCAACATGCTTTCGTGGACGAATCAATAACACCTGGAACTTTTCCAAGGGCGCTTTAAAAGAATACCGGGTTATTGTGGTCGCATTATTCGGCAATGGCGAATCCTCTAGCCCATCCAACACGCCCAACTTTCCCTCATCGCTCGATTATAGAGACTGCGTTGAAGCCCAACACAAGCTCATCACCAATCATCTGAAAATATCTCATTTGGATGTTATGGTTGGCTTTTCCATGGGAGGCCAGTGTACCTACCACTGGGCAGCCATGTACCCGGAGATGGTTAGTCACGCAGTCGTAATCTGTTCATCAGCAAAGACGAGCTTGCACAACTATCAATTCCTCGAGGGGCCCAAGGCCGCTCTTTTAAACTCCATTGACTATGCGGATAAGTCTGTACGGTCTCTGAAACAACCACCTATCCGGGGTCTTCATGCATTTGGACGTGCATACTCTGCATGGCTGACGAGCGCCGCATGGTTTGAACAACGTCTTTTTGAATCTCAAGGCTTCAAAGATCTCCAAGACTGGGGAGCACACATTGGCGGAAAGAACTATGAGGATTGGGACCCCGATAATCTCTTGGTATTGGTCGGGATGTGGCAACGATCGGACCTTAGTCTCATTGGGGGTCAACAAGTTTCGCTTGCACAAGCTCTCGGTGACTTGAAAACGAGGATACTTGTGATGCCATGTCAGACGGATCAATATTTTAAATGGGAAGCAAGCGAGAAGGAGGTCTCGTTTCTGGGAAAGGCAGTCTTGGCTGTCATCCCATCAATCTGGGGTCATCTTGCAGGCAGTGGATGCAACCCGGAAGACACTCGATGGATGGACGACAAAATCGCGGACTTTTTGAACTAGCCAACATCTTAAATGGCATTGGATAAAAGCCGTCAATGTACATAGGACGATCTCAACTAACTTACATATCCTCACACAAATTGCTCTATCCATTACAAAACGTATTGACTGAGCCCACATCACTTGACTACCTAAATTTACCATCAGAGAATTCAAGTCCTTCCAATCCAAGTAAGACACATTGGTCTACAATTATTCTCTTATCGTAGATTTGTAGTGATGTCATGGGTACGAACTGGGGGTGTCGGACTGTCCGATGTCCCATTCAACGTGAGGGGTTACTATCATCCACACATGGGCTTATCAAACTGGTCTTGTCAAGGAAGAGATTGCTGGAGACCGGCAACTGCGTTGAACTTCATCGTGTCGGTATGAACGATACTTAAAGCTGCGCTCCAGCCGTGGCCCTGAGCTCGCACTTTGTTTAGGCACAACCGGACTAGGACACAGCAATATGTCCACATTCCAACTTGAAGATAACTTGGCTCTTCTGGGTGTTATCCCTCGAACCTATGCTCTAGTGCTCGTTCCATTGGCGCTGTACCTTGTCTATAAAGTGAGAACGTCCATACTCAAATCGTTTCCATTTACTTCCGACCTAACCTTGATGACAGTGGACACTGGCAACAGACATTCCCCATATCAAAGGATTACCCGAGATTCCAGGAGCAATTCCCGTCTTTGGCCATCTCTTGAAGCTAGGTGAAGATCATGCAAGCGTTTGTGAAGGCTGGTGGCGGCAATATGGCCACTCTGTATTTCAGATCAAACTCGGCAACACCCGGGCGGTTGTGGTGAATTCGTTTGAGGATTGCAAGAAAATGATGCTTGGACATCAAAATGCGATCATCGACAGACCAAAGCTCTACACCTTTCACGGTGTTGTGAGCAGCACCCAAGGATTTACGATTGGTTCTTCGCCGTGGGACGAGTCATGCAGAAAGAAAAGAAAGGCGGCTGGAACAGCGCTGGGAAGGCCGGCCCTTCGAAATTACCACCCGATGTTTGATCTGGAGAGCTATTGTATCGTCCGTGACATTTATCGTGACAGTTCAAACGGTACCACCGAACTCAACATCCGACCTTATATCCAACGCTATGCTCTCAACACTACTTTGACATTATGCTACGGTATTCGCATGGATGCCGTTTACGACGATCTCCTACGTGAAATTCTGCACGTCGGCTCTGCAATCTCACTGCTTCGAAGTGCGTCAGAGAATCTGCAAGACTATATCCCAATCCTCCGGTATCTTCCCAACAACGAAAAAACAGCGAGATCAAAGGATCTCCGAGAGCGCCGCGATGCATACCTGAATCTTCTTCTCGACAAAGTGCGTGAAATGATCAAGAAAGGCACCGACAAGCCTTGCATTTCTGCTGCAATTCTGAAGGACGAAGAGACAAAGCTTTCCGGGGTCGAAGTCTCCTCGATCTGTCTCTCGCTTGTCTCTGGTGGCTTTGAGACGATTCCTGGAACTATGACTTCAGCGATCGGGTCTCTTTCTACGCCCGAGGGACAAATCTGGCAGGATCGGGCGTATGAAGACATCAAGAAGTACTATCCTGATATCCGGGAAGCTTGGACTGGTGCGATTCACGAGGAAAAGGTTCCCTATCTAAATGCAATCATCAAAGAGGCTGGTCGTTACTATACTGTCAGCTCAATGAGTCTTCCCCGAAAGACAGTGACCGAAGTGAACTGGAATGGGGCCATTATTCCTCCGAAAACTATGATCTTGATCAATGCACAGGCTGGTAATCACGGTAAGTTGATTCCTTTGCTTATAGATCCCTTGTAGATCTTCTAATCATCCAATCCCACAGATGTTGATCACTTCGGTCCTGACGGAGGGAAGTTTGACCCAGAGAGGTGGCTCCAGTCCATCAATCCCCCCGTGGAAAAAGATGCCGCTGGCCTTCCTCACCTAAGTTTTGGTGCTGGGTCGCGCGCATGCTCTGGCCAATTCATTGCCTCACGATTGCTCTATACCGCATTGCTTCGGCTCATCTCCTCCTACAAGATTGTGGCAAGTGTGACCAATCCCCCCAATACCGATTACGTGGAGTACAACCAGTTCAAGACAGCCCTGGTTGCTATTCCCAAGGATTTCAAGGTCAAGTTGATTCCTAGGGATGACGCGATGACTAGTGAATGTCTGCATGCTGCTGAGCTTCGGACTAAGGAGCATTACAAGGAGTAATATTGGATAGCAATTTGTCAAAGTGAGATTCAGTTTTTCCAAGTATTTGAACAACTATTTAAGAAAGTTTTTTAAACAAGTATTTGAACAAGCGTCTCAGTGGAAACTTGAATTTGTACCCAATGCACGAATATTAAACTGGCATCTTTCATTTCGTGCCTCAAATTTTACCCCAAATGAGAGCTATTTCTTCTATGCCAAGCTTAACGTTTTGAAGGCGTAGCCTTTCACCGCGATATGAGCTTTTCGGATGGGCCGACAGTCACGTTGATACCTCCCCGCTTGAACAGCTTCAACAGTGCTATATTTTGATTGCATCGATTCGCAATAGTTGAATAGAATTGATCATATCATTTTATGTATTAAGTATGGCCTCTCTGGGAGTCCTTGATTTGTTCAACGTGAAAGGTAGGGTGGCTGTGGTCACAGGGGGAAGCAGTGGGTTAGGGCTTATGATTTGCAAGGTCGGTTCTCATCATGATCTTTTCTGATCCTCAGGTTAACATACTATAGGGACTGGTGACGAATGGTGCCAGAGTTTACGTGGTCGCTCTTCCAACCGACCCAATAACGGAGACGGTCGACGCACTGAATGAGTTGGGAAAAGAATCCGGAGGTCGTGCAGAAGGGTTTGTCTTCACTCAGCCTCTAAGACTGCCACTAACATAAAAAACTAAGCTATCCCTGTGACCTTTCCTCGAAGCACTCAATTTCTGAGCTTGCCGAGGCGATATCACAGAAAGAAAAGACTGTCGATATGCTCATCTCGAACGCAGGCATTCGCCGCGATCCCCCGGCAGCTTGCAATGTGCTGACAGCACCTCTCACTGAGCTCCAAGCTTCAATGTGGTCTATTGAGGAATCTGATTGGGTGAATACGTTCAAAGTGAACACCACTGCCCACTACTATCTAAGCATCGCTTTCCTGCCTCTGCTCGCAGCAGCAGCCGACCAACAGATGGGCAACGGCACCAAAGGTCGCGATGAAGGAAGAGGTGTGATAGTCATCACAAGCTCTTGTGCAAGCATGCACAATGCCACGAATGTGGATTTGACCAGCTATGCAACGAGCAAGGCTGCGACTGATCATCTCGTCAAGTTGCTAGCCGCGAAATATAATCGATTTTATGTGCGGGTGATAGGAATCAATCCTGGATGTGAGTACAAAGACATACAAATAAAGTAACTCTACTAACCGGGCATATCCACAGTCGTCCCTAGTAGCATGAATCCTGTGGGCGCCGAGGGAAACATCTTCAGCTCGTTGTTCGACAAGGTCCCTGCAAAGCGCGCTGGAAATTCTGAGGACATTGCCGGTACAATCTTGTATCTTGTTAGCAAGGCAGGGGTAAGATTATTCTACGAACGATACGAGACTGAGATCTGACAAATATTTTATAGTCCTATGTAGATGGGGTGTCGCTCTGTGTGGATGGTGGTCGGATTCTTCTGGCAAATGGCCAGGAATGAAGACCAATTAGATTGGCGTATAGCTTTAGTACTATACAAAAACAGTTTTTCACATAGGACTTCTAACATGAAACGATTTATTCTTGGGTTGAAGGAAATCGGGCTCCCCGCCAGGAAATGACAAGCGTCAATCGGCAGCGCCGATACTCTTTATAGCTTTCTTTGGTTCGTTGCTAACTATTGATTCTCATAATCATTCTCAACCAAGCAAATCCCTTCGAATTAACACCATGTCTGTGGCATTTTTGGCTGACAAAAAACAGTTTGTTCTTCAATCTCCGTTCACTTGATCCAAGGCTAAATACCATCAGATCTACTATCCGAGTGGAGGATCTGCGAGAGGCAGCAGCTGAGCTGAATATTAAAATACCACATGGCTCAGATGAGGAAGATTATCTTCACCTGCTACAATCTGCGGATGCAGTGATGCGGCAAATTGAGGCTAGCGAGGACTATATCCATCCGGCTCTCTCCCCGGTGGAAACAACACATCCTCGGACATATTGGCAGCCGGAAATCAAGGACAACCCTGTGAATGCCTGGAGGCATCGCTGTGAGCTGATGGCTACATCTCCAACAAGTGATACCCTCAAAGGAAGAATGGTCGCGATAAAAGATAACATCTCAATCGGTGGCTTGCCAACTACCGTCGGCACGTTCACCGAGCTCCTATGTAAAGACGGAAATCTTGCTCCGTCCCCCATTGATGCCTCTGTCGTGTCAAGGGTACTGGAATCCGGTGCTACTATCAAAGGATCTTCGACATGCGAAAATTATTGCGCATCGCCACTTTCATTCAGCGCTGCCACTGGTCCGGTACACAATGCCTGGATGTATAGTTATACATCTGGGGGAAGCAGTAGCGGCTCGGCGACACTGGTTGCGGCCACTGCCATCCACCGTGCATCAGGCAAGGATTTTGGCGAAACGGTGGATCTCGCCATTGGTGGAGATCAAGCAGGCTCTGTTAGGATACCAGCTTCATATAGTGGCATTTATGGTATGAAGCCCACCTATGGGTTAGTGCCATATACTGGAGCGGTTCCTCTGGCTCCAATGATTGATCACTTAGGACCACTTGCTACAAGCCTGGAGGATATTGCGCTCCTGCTTCAGGTGATTACAGGATATGATGGCATTGATCCTCGCATGACACCAGAATCTCCACTCCGAAGCGAAGTCCAAGACTATCCAAAACTCCTTTCGGATTTTCGAAGCTCCACGCAGGAAAAAGAGAAGCTAGGCTCTGGTCTGAAGATTGGGCTGCTCAGGGAATCTTTCGAAATTGCTGGGCTATCCAGTCAGGTCCGAGATACTGTGTTGGAGACTTCAAGGTCATTCTTTACAGCAGCGGGTGCGGAGGTGATAGATATATCTGTGCCCATGCACTGTGATGGGAGTCTCATCTGGACCGCAGCAACGAGAATGTCGATGTCTGAATGGTTATGCCAAGGCAAAACATCGGGATATCCCTCATTTCTACCACCACACATACAAGCCCAATGGCCTCCTGATCAAAAGATGTATGAATTTCTCACTGCGACTAACCCGGCTGTCGTGAACATCATGCTCAGCGGGCCCTTTCTCAAGAAACAATTTGGGTCAAGGATTGAAGCCAAAGCACACAGAAAAGCATTTGAGCTTCGAGCTGCATACGACAAAGCCTTCGAAAGAATCGACATTCTCGTCACGCCCTGTGCTCCTACGATTGCTATGCCGCATCCAAAGATGCAAAGTGACGCCGAGGGACCAGCTGCGACGGTCATGGAGAAACTATCTCAGGCAGTAGGCGTAACAACCAATACTGCTCCATTTAATGTGACTGGGCATCCAGCTCTGAATGTGCCGTGCGGATTTGGTAGTGCAACCGATCGACCAGACGTGAAACTGCCCATAGGCATGCAGATTATTGGGCGACGGTGGGAGGATGCATTGGTGCTTAAGGCGGCAGCTGTATTTGAAGCAGGGAGAGAATTAGTAAAACAGACCTGATATATTCAAAAATCGATTGATATGGGTGTATAGTCGGGGGGAAGTGTGTGTTCCGGATCGGCTCCGCGACGCGGCTCTCTCCGCGCGGAAGAACCCGTCGGACTTCAACAAAACTTCTCCCCCAACAAACTCGCATTTTCTCTTTGGCTCAATTGTTCACTCTGCATCGTCATCTGCATCTCGCATTTACTTCTTCAAATTGAATACCCCGCATCCCCACATTCCACATTTCCAAGAAATCCACCATGAGCATCTCCGAATTAGAACATGTGCGTGGTGTTTGGGGACGAACCAAGAACGACAGTGCCATCTATCGACTTCTTCTCTCGGATGTCCAGATTGTCAGTGCCGCTCGCGGCCAGATGCAGGCTCGTCTCGATCTCACTCCCGATCATGTAAACTCCCGGGGTACCATCCACGGAGCAGTGTCTGCATCGATCATGGATTGGGCCGGTGGAATGGCCATTGCAACTCATGGATATGAGAAGACCGGCGCCAGCGTCGATATCCACGTCTCATATCTTTCCACTGCCCACGCTGGGGATACAGTGAACATCCACGCGGTAGCAGATCGCGTCGGAAAGTCGATGGCCTTCACTACCATCAAGATCTCTCGAGTTGTCGATGGTGAACCTGGCCCTCTGGTTGCGACTGGCTCACACACGAAGTTCTTGCCAGTCTCCAAGGAGAATCGCGAGTCCAAGAATTGAATTCACCACAGTCTCAAAATAAAAATAATGGTCAAAGGGTCAATTAGATAGAATTACCACGTTCACATGGACGATATTTATGATTTTGTATATAATTCCAACCAATCGTTAGAATTCGTGACTTGTATATTTACACAAATCTACTCCGTCCCTTTATACTCTTCCCGTCGAAGATGTGATGCCACCATCCACAACAAGCTCCTGACCAGTAATGTACTTTGCTTCATCGCTGACGAGAAACAACGTGGCATTAGCCACATCCCATGCATCCCCCATCTTCCCCATTGGGACCTGTGCATTTCGCATTTGCATATAAGCGTCCACTCCACCTTCAGAGTATCTGGAAACCAAGCCTTTCGAATACGGTGTGTCCATGAGCCCAGGAACAACAGTATTCAGACGAACACCCTTATTCGCATAGATGACAGCAGTGGCTTTCATCAACTGAATAATGGCAGCCTTTGTGGCAGAGTACCCAACTTGAGGCTTTCCAATATACCTCAAGCCAGCGATACTGGCAACGCTCACAACAGCGCCACTGCTCTGCTTCTCCATGATTGGCAAAACATGGTGACACATCAAATAAACGCTCTTCAAATTGATATCAACCTGAGAATCCCAGACCTCCTCTGCCATCGTCGCAGGACATCCTGGCTCAGATCTTCCGACGTTATTGATGAGAATGTCGATGCGTCCATGCTTGGCGAGACATGCATCCACAAGAGCTTTTGTCGAGGTAGTCGATGTCACATCTGTCTCCACTACAGTACATGTTCCACCCTCGGCCTCGATGGTGTTTTTGGTGGTAACGGTAGAAGACAAAGTACGGTTACCACCGAATATTTGTGCGCCTTGTCGCGCAAGTAGCACTGCAGTTGCGGTTCCAATTCCCCATCCTTCTGGCTGGCTCTGGCCGAGGCCGGTGATCAGGGCCACTTTCCCTTTGAGAGACAACATGAGATTGAAGGTATATGGGAGATGTCGTTGATGGGGATAGCTCAAGTTGAATAACGAACAAATTCTGCTTCATGTTCGGTTGATCAACTTGGTTCCATATTTTATATTCACCTTACTCTAACCTCTCGGGGCTCTTCCGGCTTGCCATAACTCAAGCGGCTCACTTCCGAGTAGAAGTCATTATAGTTTGCAAATAAATTATGTATGGAATTGAATCAGGTATGTTAAGGCTCTAACCAACATATCTGTGATCGAATATGGTTCCCATATTCCACGGAGATGGTCTTCATGTTAGACCTTGGAAGGTAGGAAGTTGGAGTGTATACAAAGACGACCACATGGCTTTCATTTCTCACCGCCGCCAGATACTGACGTGACTTGGATATGTATCAGACCTCTTGATTCCCTTCAGTGATGAAATGGTCATGGATATGCCAACCTCGAGCTCAGTTCACATCCAGTTTCCAGTGCTCGGACACACCCTTTAGTCGATCAGTACGCGTCTCCATGCTTTGTGTAACAGGGCTGAGATCGAGATATGAGACAATGCGACAGATCAAAGGGAAGTCGACATCATTGGAAGCACGTTCAGAGTCCCAATCAGTGTGACTGCATGGCCCACCCCACGCCTTACAGTATGGCACATTCCACCCCGTGGTCACCGCCAGTCACCGGCCCCCTTGCGTCCGACACCACTCACAGCTACAGTCAAGAGTTGAGGCAACAAGAGGGCGACAAACGCCACAGCCAACTGGCGCTACTGCTACTGTTAATCATCGCTCTCACACTTTTGACCTCGAGGAAGAATGTTTGTGCGACATGGCTGCTTTTTCACGCAGATTCCGGGGATGCAAAATCCTGCAGAGCGACCCATACAACATGAACCTCGGCTTCATTGGTCCAACGTGCATGAACCTCTGTAGTTCTCAAGTTCAGGGGGGAAGGTCGGCGATCGGCGCTCCACCCGACAGTCTGAATCAGACTCACCCATTCAATATGAATTCTTTCGGTGTCAAATCTTTGCGAGATCAGCGATGTGGACATGCCATCCCGTCTCCTTTTCCACAATGTCGAGGAGTGTGCCCTTGAGACCCGCAAACTATCAGATCGACGAGCGACTAACGCGTCCCGAGATTTTGGGTTCGATTCGACCCACCTATCAGCTTTGCAGCGCACGAAGCTGAATGTGGCTATCTCATCAACAATGACAGGTCCAAAGGGTGGGCCAAGGGGGGCTTAATTTCTTTTTCTCGCTTTTACGGAGAAATTACGAGTACAGAACATTCTCTGTCAGTTCCTTGGCTGGGTTGATATACTCTTGTTTCCTCTGGGAGTTCGACAAGCCACAATTACCATGTCGAGTCCATTGGTACGCTTTAAATTTCCGACTTACAACCGTACAGTCTCACTAATGCTATCTGCAGGATCAAAATAGCGACCCAAATATCGGGTCGTCTCGAGGCGACGCGTCGTCCACCTCGGGCGATGTCGCCAGCAGCCTCACTGGCGGAGGTGGCTCCTCTGGCTCGGCGCTGATGATGACTTTGTTGCCGGCTCTTGTATACGCTCTTTTCTGGGTTAGCCTGTTCCTGATCTTTCGACGCACTCAGCGCCGGTGGTACGCTCCGAGGTCGCATTTACCTGATCTCCACGACCATGAACGAAGTCCAGAACTGCCCTCTGGTTGGGTCAACTGGGTCGGGACGTTCTTGAAAATCGAGGACAACCATGTCCTGCACCACTCATCTCTAGATGGGTACCTCTTTCTGCGATTTCTGCGAGTATTAGCGGCGACTTGCCTGACAGGCTGCGTAATTACATGGCCCATCCTACTGCCAATTCATGCTACCGGCGGTGGTGGTAACAACCAGCTTGATATTCTGAGCTTCAGCAACGTCACCGATTCTAGGAGATATTATGCAAACGTTATAGTGGGTTGCGTGTACTTCAGTAAGTTAATTGTGTTTCATTCTTGAGCAGCCACTGATCCTAGTAGCTTTTGTATTTTACGTCGTGACCAGAGAGAGCTTGTATTATGCGAATCTACGCCAGGCATACCTCAACTCACCAGCCTACGCATCTCGAATGTCGTCCAGAACACTTCTCTTCATGTCCGTACCTGAAGCGTACAAGAACGAGAAGAAGTTACGCCAAGTGTTCGGTGAATCAATCCGCCAAGTTTGGATCACCTCAGACTGCTCGAAGCTGAAGTCATTGGTTGGGGACCGAGATAGCCTTGCCGAAAAGTTAGAGACCGCAGAGACCAAGCTCATCCGGCGAGCAAATAAGGCTCGCATGAAGGCGATCAAGAAAGGCGAGCTGGGCATCGACACATGTCTGGACTGCGAGTCAAGCAATCCTGCTTGGTCTCACAAAGTCCAGCGACCTACGCATCGTCTTAAGTTCTTTGGCAAGAAAGTTGACTCCATTCACTGGTATCGGACCGAGCTAGCGAAGAAAATCGAGGAGGTGTCTATTCTCCAGGCTAAGCATCAGGCTGGTGATGCGAAACAGCTTTCTGCAATCTTCGTGGAATTCAACAGCCAGGCAGATGCGCAGATTGCCCTTCAGACTCTTTCTCACCACCAGCCGTTCCATATGACTCCACGCTTCGTTGGAGTCTCACCCAGAGAGGTTGTCTGGTCGGCGCTGAATCTGAGCTGGTGGCAAAGAATTGTCCGAAGATTCGCAATCCAAGGATTTCTTGCAGCATTGGTCATCTTCTGGTCATTTCCCTCGGCGATTGTGGGTGCAATCTCTAACATTAGTTACATTTGCACCCTTATTCCCTTCCTCAAATTCATTCTCAAATTGCCCGACTTTGTCACAGGCGCAATCGAGGGTCTCCTTCCATCTGCAGCATTGGCCGCTTTGATGGCACTGGTTCCGATCATTTGTCGTGGTGTGCTTCACAGACTCCATCTCCTTGCTTGGCCCTGCTAACCTTTGTACAGTATGCGCCAGAAGAGCAGGAGTTCCATCAACGGCCCGGGTTGAACTTTTCACACAGAGCGCTCATTTCGTCTTCCAGGTAGTGCAAGTTTTCCTAGTTACCACATTGACGTCTGCCGCATCAGCTGCTACAGCACAAATTGTCAAAGATCCTCTCTCGGTCAAAGACCTCCTGGCACAAAATCTACCCAAGGCTACCAATTTTTACATTTCCTACTTCATGCTGCAGGGATTGAGCATGAGTTCGTTGGCTCTTGTTCAGATTGTCAGTGCCTTGGTGTTCAAATTTGTTACGACTTTCTTTGCATATTCCCCGCGTCGTCTGTTCCAGCGATGGGCAGAGCTGGGAAGTCTCAGTTGGGGCAATGTCTTCCCCGTTTTTACCAATATGGCTGTGATTGGTAAGAGATCCATGTTCTTTTTATTCTGGACGCTCACTGATGATCTGCATAGCGTTGACATACTCGTGCATCGCACCTTTGATTCTCGGCTTTGCATTCCTCGGTCTATACCTCGTATACCAAGCTTATCGGTACAACTTCCTCTTCGTGTATGACATTCAGGTCGACACCAAGGGTCTAGTCTACCCACGCGCTCTGCAACATCTGTTGACAGGGCTCTACCTGGCCGAGATTTGCCTTATCGGTCTCTGTGCTATCAAGGGTGCGATCGGCCCGGTGATCATCATGGTCATCTTCCTCATCGGCAACATCCTAGCACACATGTCCCTCAACGAAGCGCTAGCCCCGTTAAACACTTTCCTCCCACGATCCCTCGATGCCGAGGAAGAGATGCTACAAGAGAAGGAAGACGTCTTGGCAGAAATCAACGAGCAACGCCGAAACTCCCGCGCATTGGCCTTCTGGAGATGGTTCCACCCAAACGTGTACAAAGACTATGCAGCATTGCGCCGAAAAGTCCGTCGCAATGTGGCAGAGATCTCATATACGCCAGAGGAACTGCGAACAGCCTACTTTGAGCCGTGTATTGCTTCGCCGCCGCCAACATTATGGATTCCACGCGATAAATGGGGTTTCAGTCGCCATGAGATCATGGAAACTGATTCGGTTATCAAGATCACGGATGAGGGTGCCCACTTGGATGGGAAGAATAAGATCGTGTGGGATAAATACGATCCCCATCTTCCACTGCGAGAACGGAAGACCCTGTATTGATATGGGTTATATGCCAAGGACACCTAATGATCTAATGAAAGCGATGAGCTATGCTTGTACATAATAATGCTTTGACTGCTAGAATAAAATAATTAATGAAATGTAAGAGTTGTACTAGAGAGTAAGATGGATAAAGTACTTAACGACTATTAGTGTATTATCCCTAAAATTGGAGCTTCATGTTGCACGTACAGAACGCTTTTCCTTCCTCCTAGGAAGCGCTACTTGTTCCTACAAACCCGCCAGAACAGTATACCAAATCAGATGGTAGACAACTATTGTCGTTTGGGCACCTTTGTAGCCAATGGTTCTCAATTTCTATGAACTTGCGGCCCGGTTAGGGCAAACATCCAACCATGTCAACCTGCAAATAAACTATCTTGCCCGGAGTCACAATATGAGGCTCCCAATCGAGACATCGATTGAGTCTCTCAGGTACCTAATCCTTGAAAACACATTATGTGAGACCGACTATGAAGCGCTCGTAATAGTATTCTGTGCGCGCTGTCGGAAACACAGATAAATTAGTAGCACAATCGCCTCCACTTCCAATATGTAGGTTACAACCGTCCTAAATACGATGAGAATACGAATAAGCGAGCTTCGTCATACAGTGCTGAGTGGTCATAAATAGGTTATATCCTTGAGTAGATTGTACCACCCCGTTGAAGCCTTTGATCTAAATTGGGTGATGCGGAAGTCTACTGAGTACCCTGAGTGAATGGATAAGCTGATCCCTGAGCACTCAGTGAGCATATAGTATAACTGGGCTGAATTGAATCACGTTATGTTTTAATGAATAAGATCCTAGTAAATAGGCCGCATAAAACGGCGTCAATTAACCGTCACTTAGCGTTGTGGTGTAATGTCTGAAATATTCCTTCTGCTATCAAAAAATCATTAAACAGTCAAAGTGAAGTTGACAGCATTCACAACGCCATTGTCCCGGGGGTAGAACTCAAACGTGAAAACTGTCGATTGGCCCGCTGAGATGACGGAGCTAATCACAGACGAAGTGAGAATCACGTTGGATGAATCCCAATTATACTGTCCACTATAGGTCTAGATGAAATAGTTAGCACACGTCATACAAGACGGAACCAGGGGCTCAACATACCGTTCTGGCCTGCTGGATAGGACCGAGGTATACAGTCCAGTCATCAACCAAGTATGTTCCACTCTTTGTGAGAGCCTTGACAGCAGCGATAGTTGGAAGTCCCCCCAAGTGATCGGAATGGAAAGATCAGAGCCAGAGACCGAAGATGCCACAGCCGATGTACTGGACAAGCTCGGAGTCTTCCACTGAACAATCTGTATCACAGGGGATGAAGCGCCACCAGAGAACTTCAAAGTCAAGGTGGCAACTACTCCTGGCGCCGTTGTAGCCGAGAGATGCTTAGACAGGTACGAAGCCGTAAAGATGATATTCGCACCCGAGATCGAATAATCAGTTCCAGACACCAAAGTCGAGCCGGCAGAGTCGCTGATCGATGAGAGCGTGTTGCCGTTGAAGATGAAGGGCAAGGTATACGCAGCAACGGCAGTTCCGTATTGATGGAAGATATATGCCGATGATGACTGGGTAGTGGCAGAAGAGTCTTCAGTGCTGTCTGGCAAGCTGTTGGCAGTAGACGCAGTAGATTTCGTGATCATAGAGATCGAGTTAGTGTCTCTCCAGGTGCTGGCAGTGCGGTCGAGATGATCCAATCCATTATCCCACAGTACGCAGGAGATATCGAGTTTGAGGGCTGTTTTGATCAGGAAGTCAACGTATTTCCACCGGGCAGCGGGCTCCGTGTTGGTGGGTGATGCGTCGTATTCTCCTAAGAGTATAGGTACGTTGGTGAAGTTGTTGCGAAGTAGTTGGAAGTCGGTCTGCACTGTGGCTTTGTCGCTCTCGGAGCCCCAGATGGTCTTTCCCCTGCTTAGGGTTAGCAACGAGTCAGTCTGTTAATGATACACACTTACCAAGCGCTGAAAATGAAGTCATCTAAAAGAGGATTCCGCTGGTCAGCTTTGCACGTTGTATCCAATATGTCAGGGGTACTCACAGGGACTGTAGTAATGGAATTGGATTGCATAGGGGTTTAAGAACCCAGTAGGTGCAACAAACCACTGAGAAGTCTTGACGCTATCCTGGCCACCACCACTGAGAGTAACGACTCTCTGTGAGTTGAAACCACCGGCATCATTGATAGCCTGGAGGAAGATCTTGTTCAGCTTGTTGATCTCCGCTCCATCAGTTGCAGTATTACACGGGGGCTCATTGATAGGTTCAAATGCAACAAGACTAGACTTGCATGCCAATTTGGTCCCAATTTGATACCAGAGCCGATAAAACTTCTCTTCAATCATGGTGAGATTGGCTCCGGACTGAGTGACATCTGCCCAGATCCACGAGTCTATTCCCAGTCAGTATATATTCATGTCAAGTAGTCTCATAGTCCCATACCATGATGCACATTAACAATGGCGTACAACCCACGAGACACAACCATATCCACAACATCAGAAACTCGCTGCAGCCACGTTGGATCAACCGTCCAATCTGGCGAGCTTCCTGTAAAATGATAAGCCCATGTAACCGGGATGCGGACACTTCTGAAGCCAGCAGTCTTCACAGTATCAAATGTCGATGCCACGACAGCAGCATTGTTCCAAGACCCCTCGTCAGGAACAGCATCGAGTGTGTTTCCGAGATTCCATCCGGGATGAAGACTGGAAATGAAGTTTGAGGCCGATATAGAGCTGAATGTTCCAGTGCATGTAGCCGCTCCCGAGGAAGCAGTAGCAGTGGCAGTGGCAGTCTGGGCAGTGGTTTTGGTCGTTGTGGTCAGCGTAGTAGTAATGGCCTTGGTAGTGGATGTGGTGGTCACTGAACCTGCTGTGGTCGTGCTGCTACTTGTTGTGCCTGGTATGCATTGATAGTACCCTGGAAATATGTGAGTTTAGGAAATAGAGAATTCAACCCGACGTACAAGCATTCTGTGAAGCACAGACATAGCCAGCGGTGCAACTTGTGCTTCCGGAGTAACCATTTCCTCCGCCTAGGGTAGATATTTATTAGTATCTTGTGTTGTGGTAAATCTTCAGTGAAGACGATTGCATACACTGGCCGTAGCCTCCTACTTGGGCTTGGGTTAACCCAACGAGTGCCACAAGGGCACCGGGAATGAGAATCTGCATCATAAACTATGATGTGAGAACGATTGATTTTTAAACAGCCGAGCTCGCTTCCTCATTTCCACGGCTGTAGGCTACGAGGTTATATATGTCCCAAATCACCGCTATAAACAAGCCCTTAAGACATATTCATTTGGAGGCGCGGAGTGGCGCAAGCTATTGGTCTCTTCATCACCACATACTAGTCCTCGTTCCACATCCAAACGGGTAATTTGAGAGAAAGACGGAGTGGATCCCGACTATACAGGACTTACATGGATGAGAGCAGGGGTAAACTCTGCAGGTATATTCCCCGCACTGACAGGGATGCCCTGCCAGTGTCGAATCGGTCCGGCGGACCGATCTGTATTGTTGAACTAGGAGGAATACTTCTGTGGAAAAACTCCGAGATTATGCCTATGCTCGGCATATGTTGCATGCTGAAGGCTTGGCAACGAATACTAGCTGTCTTGGAAAAGGCGCAATATATCCTCCAATGAGAATTCATTTATTGTGGATCTAGTTACTCCCTATTTTCCACAATTGAAAGGAGAAAAGCGTCCGCGGATGAGTCCGAACATTGGTATGCAGTTTGACGGTCACCCGATACAGGGGTTCGAATATCCTGCAGAGGGCGCGGAGAAGGTCCGTGTTGGTTTGTATTAAGCCGTGGAGAATGAGGAACATACGCTGTGCAAAAGTAAGTATCATTTTAAATCTAGCAAATCCTACAGGCCAAGCGAAGGCACGTTCCTCATTTATGCGTAATAGATCATCATATTCATTCCATCATAGAACATTAGCCGCATTTGAAAACAAGCAAAAGCAAAAACACAAACAACTTAATATGCAGGCTGTGACTGTTGATTTTGCATCGCTCACATCATTATGCAATCTTTGTTCCGATCTCTGTTTATTCGATCAGCCCCTGAAGACACCGAGGGGCGTGAACGATGGGGAAGTTGTGGGTATTGGTTGCGCGAGTTGCGATTTCCTGGGTACTGATTCGCCGCACCACCGTAAGATCTTCTATCGGGGGGTGAGTACCGCGGACCACCGGCAGCTTGTTCATAAGGAGGAGGGGGCGCGTTGGGATCGTCAGGGTCAGGTTCCCGGTGTGGAGGACTAGGCTGAGGCCCAGCCCCGTTGAGAACGCTCGAAGATCGGTTAGGCACGTTGCTCATGCGGGGCGAAGGTGTTGGTCGAGCAGAAGAACTGTTTCTAGCCGATGCGCGACGATCAGGCACCGGTTGGTTTCTGTCGTTTTCACGTTGCTCCTCTTCCTGGAACTGAAGCGAGAGCGCATATGCATAATCCGCATCGCTTTGCTCTTGGGAAGGTTCCGGAGAGCCTGAGGTATCGCCTGCAGCTGGAGCAGGGCTGGCTGCTGCACTGGATGCGCGGGGACCTGCGGGGGCGGATGAGGCGGAGGGACCTGCACCGACGGGACGGAAGTCGCCAGAAAAGTATTCTGTGTTGAATCCTGTCACGTCCACTAACGATTCCCAGACTACTTCCGCGTGACCTGCATAGCCAGCATCGGTGACCAAAGTGTAAAGTTGGTGAGATTGCGGGTGTTTGTAAAGTGTTGAGAAATGATCATTGCGGAAGAGAATTGAGACAGAGCCGGGTGCAAGTTTGGTAGACAGCTGCGTCAATCCGAATGGGCTCAACTGTGTCGCATTATCAATTTCCACAAAGCGTTGGATACTTTGAATATCCTCCATGGCGTTCTCTTCCTCGGGCGTCAGGGTTTCGCCTCGAGTGACCCGCTCCTCAAGGTCATGTCTGCGAAAGGGTAAAAGCTGGATGTCTTCGTGGTATTGGGCAGTCCGTGTCATTGCGGCATGAGTAGGGCTAGACCAGGAGGCTAGCCAGCCGTGGATTAAGGGTACACCAAATGTACTGTAAAGCTGAAGATCACTCGTTGCAAGGAAAGAGCCAAATCCATCAGTTGAATCTAGGGTTAAACGTGGGTTGACATTCATGCCGGTATGAAGCATCGTCAAGAATTGCGTGAGGGCTTCAATATCTGGGAATTCCTCATCAGGACCCAAACAAGTCGTCAGCTCCTCAAACATTGCCTCTATCAGGAGTCCTAGCGAAATTTGCTCGCGGATTGACAAGGCCCTCACAATTGGTGGCTGGGCCTTGGGGTCCGCCCGCAGCACCAATGCATTGATGAGAGCCAGCAATGGGCATGGACCGTTTTGATTTTGGACAAGGATCGGAGACTCCACCAGTTCACCTGTGCTATCTGTCCAACGGACGTGGCGGATGGTATAGGTTTCGGATCTCTGCTCCTTTTGCCGTGCAGCCTCTGCGTCAGATAAGACCGGGCTCGGTTGAGGTTGCAGTTGCTTTTCCGCTATAAGCCCTGGCTGTGCTGTTATGGATGTAAGATTGTGTGATCCATTATCCAATGGTTTTTCTCCTTTGGCGAGAGCTTCTATTGAGTAGACCGAAGACGCTGCATGAGACCCGGTTTCAAATCCCAATTTTTTGGGGGCCTCGGTATCCTCAAGGTCAATAAGTTCGTGCGATGTAGCTGAGGTGGCGGTAGAGAGGGTGACAGAGGGAGTGTTGATTCCGGCATCTGATCCAAGCCTGCCAGGATGCGTGGATTGAGTGTGATGCGTGTGATCATATTCATCTCCCCAAGATGGGTCAGATGGCTGTACAACCACTGCTGGGGCATGTGGATTGGAGTGTTCCCCTTGTGCATAGATATCTTGTGGAGCTGAAACTTTGATGGATTGTTGGGATCCCCACGGTGAATTATTATCCAGATGATGGCCGTCAAGCACAGGGCGTTGATCTGTATGAGGTGTTTCAGCCCACGGGGAATGCTGTTCTGGCTCATCTAAGAGAGATAACCGGGCAGTCATTGGGATATACCCCTCGGCTGCAAGTAGTTAGTTCAATAGCCCCGGGAAGCCTGTCAATGGATGGAGGGATCTGGCATACTTTGACTCAATGGCTCACTGTTCGAAGTCGCCTGTGAATCGCGTCCCCACTCATTTCGGTCCAATAGATCCTGGGTATGCTCTGCTGGCCGGGGCTTCAAGAAGGGGTTGTTGGATTGTAATTGCACCGGTAGCTCTCCAGTTGAGGCATCCCCGGTGTCATTTGAGCGCCATACATTCTCCGAAGCCCCTGTGTGTTGACCTGCGATCAATGCAGGTGGAACCCAGTGGCCAGCGTTGGTATCGTACGAAGCCCCCTCATACTGATTGTATTGGTTGTAGTGACCGGGGTAGCTGGGGTCAGACCGGGGGTGATCAGGCCATGAATTCGGCGGGTGGCTGGCCGGAGAGCCCACCGGCGACCTCTGTGCCTCCTCGAGCGGCATCAGATCGAACGCGGGCGAAGTATTGAGGTCGGGAGAGTAGATGGAGTCCTCTGAGGGGAAGCGGTTAAGACGGCCCGGACGGTGGGACGAGGGGGAGTTGGTTGAAGGGGAAGTGGGCGATCGTGCATTCGATCGTGAATTCGACTTGCTAAGGTTCTCAAGACGCGGTGGAGGCTGTTTGCGCAGGCCCATGAAGACGTCCTTTCTTTGATCTCGGAGGTGAGGGGTGAAACTTGGAGTACGCGTGTAGTTCCACGGAAAGGCTAATAGCTTTCAAAAGCGAGTATACACTCAAAAGTGACCCGTGAATGCAATGAAGAAAACAGGAGATGAAGTTGGAAATGTATGAGAATAAGCCATCAGGAATAGGGAAAACGCCTTGCGCTCGGCTGCAGGGGAGGCGAAATGCCTTGATACGTAAGTGGTAGGCGGCCCAGCCTTAGCTCAAGCTCGAAACAGCCATGCGCGGAGTAAATACGAAACGAAGGAGATTGGAGGAAAAGATATCAGAGCAGGCACCCGAATTCCACCGGTGGAGGATCGCTGGTTGACCTGGGGGAGCTCCACGTATTGGGATTACGCAGTATTGGAGAATTTGATCATAAATAGAGTGGGCGGGATTAGTATGTATGGTACGGTATGGTATGGAAGACTATGACGTAGTGGCAGCATTATTCAGGCAACAAGGCACTCAGGCAAGAAGACGTCAAGGCAATAAGGCCAAACAGGACTATCTAATAATCCGAAGGGCCCAATTATCACCCTCTGATTGGTCCTCACCCACTCGCCGATAAAAGTCGCGAATATTTTTGCGAGCTCGAGGGTTTGCTACATCATTGCCATGCATTCCTTTATTCGCCCAAACCAGTTCGTGGCTGTCCGGCTACCGTCCGACCAGACCAGAATTGTCAAGATTGTCCCCGATACGTGAGTATTGCTACTCTATGTGGGGAAGATTTCAGCAAGCTAACTGAGCATCCAGAATCGTGAGCTTGGGCAAATATGGTAATTTTGCTGCCAATCAGATTATCGGACGGCCACTCTACTTCACCTTCGAAATCCTTGACTCGCGCGACGAGACTGGCTACCAACTGCGTGTCGTGACGGCCACCGAGTTGCATGCGGAGACTCTACTCACAGAAGGCGAGGGCGAAGGAGACGACATCGAGACTGGCGAAGATGGAATACCGATGCGGACCAATCGCGAGACTATCGACGAGCGAACTACACAGAAATTGACCGTGGAGGAGATTGAAGAACTGAAGAAAGAGGCTGGTGGCGCAGGTAGAGAGATTGTCGCAAAGCTCCTAGAGTCGCATACTGCTCTGGACCAGAAGACCGCATTCTCGCTGGCGAAGTACACTTTGCGCAAGCGCAAGAAGTACATGAAGCGATTCACCGTCTATCCGCTGGATGTTAGCCTCCTTGCAAACTTCTTGCTGCAAGAGCGCGATGCGTCAAAGACCATGGAGCTTCGAGACGAGCACATTGGCTTGATTGGATGCTGGGGCAATGTACACCACAGCGGAAACGTTGAAGTTGAACCAGGCATGAAACCCCATGGTCGTTACTTCCTCGTCGATGAGACAGGTGGGCTTGTAGTAGCTGCAATGGCGGAGCGAATGGGAATTCTATATCCTCACGATGCCGAGGAAGATCTGGAATATGAACAAGAGCCTGTTCCTTCCTCAATTGAGAACACTGGAGAATCACACGATGACACTGCCCCTAAACAGCGGCGCATTCGACCGCAACCAATGTCTGCCACAACCAACACAATCACCGTGGTCCACGCCTACTCACAACCGAACCTGTCACTCTTGAAATATTTCGGCTACGACACCAACAATCCCGATGAATCCCACCCACTCCACACACATCTTAAAACTATCTCCTGGATGCAGTTGGTTGACCCTAACTCCGATCCACTCTACTCCAACGAACCACCCACATTGCCCGCCGAAGAACTGGCCGAGTTGAAACAAAGCAAACGTACATCATACTACCACAAGCGCAACCGATGGGAGAGAGTGAAAAGTGTGGTAGACGAGTCCCGCGCAGGAGACTTTGACGGTCTCGTCGTATCAAGTTTGCTAGAACCAGCCAGTATCCTGAAGACACTGGTGCCCCTTCTTGCAGGATCAGCCCCAATCGCCATCTATTCACCAACAGTCGAGTCGTTAGTGCAATTGACGGACATGTACTCCACTGCCCGAAGGACCGCCTTCATCCACCGCAAGCGCGAAATGGAAGAGAACACTCCCGAAGGAGAGACCCCTGATCTCTCTTCACTCTACGAAGAATTCGTAGTTGACCCGACCCTCATTCTCCCGCCTACATTGCAGTCATCGCGTGTACGCCCTTGGCAAGTCCTGCCAGGCCGAACCCACCCCCTCATGATGGGACGTGGTGGTGCAGAGGGATATCTCTTCCACGGCATTCGAGTGTTCCCAACTGCGCAAAATATCCAGGCTGCTGGCAATATTCGCAAACGCCGAAAGCTGGACTCGGGCCCGGCATCCACCCCGATTAGTGATCGGGATGTGGAGATGACGTCCTTGTCTTCATGAATGAATGCCCATGCCCTTAAAATAGACAGAATAGCATTGACAATGTACAAGTATTACCCTAATAGGTCATGAACCAAACTCGTAGTCATCGCGCTGTCTTTATGTAGAGCAAAAGAGACTATAGGTGAAACAAGCATCCAACTTTTGCGAGGTTGACCGACCACTACTCCACAGTTAATTATCGGAACGGGTTGAATCAAATATCAGGTTTATTCATGCGCTGAATTTCATCAAACAATATACAGCAACGCTCGTGTTTACAGGCTCTTGCCCATGAACTTTCTCTTCGTGAAACTAAGCCAGAACTATACTGTGTCAGCGAATCAAATATGGATCCAACTCTTCAATCTTTCCGCTTACCTTGGAGGGTCCAACGCCACCGGGGTATAATCTAGCATGTAGGCGCATGGCGATCTCCTGTCGCACCTGCGAGATGTATCTATAATTGGAAATATAGGTTAGGTCCGACCATATCAGATTGAATAGGGGTGAATATCATACTGGCGAAGACTCTCGGCATCCTGGCGATCGCGTGGGGGCTCAAAGGCCTGGTTAAGCGGGAACGACACATCACCGGGGATAGCAAAGTTATCGAGGGAGGCATTGATCAGTGCCTAGAAGTGAGATGGTGTCAAATTCGGTTCTGCTAGTGCCCTCTCGCAGCATATGCAGCTTACCTTTTCAGCTTCACGGGCATTCATTGTCGGCTTGACCTTCCCGAGGCACTCGCTAATAAACAGGGTTCCGTAAATGAGCATGCGGTCGGCGGGGCCGTTGATCTCGAAGTTGCGGAAAAGGACATTGGCACGGAACAGCGACAAGATCTCGTCGACACAGTCATATGATTCACTTTCGGGGGAGACATCGAGGTCGTCGGTGTTGGGGAGCGGGGGCAATGTGTATGCGGGGCCGCGAGTGCGAGTCCGGAGAGGGAGGATAGGGAAGTTTCCTGTATATAAGACATGCGATGGTCAGTCCGCTGTTCTGCATGTCGCTATTTCGCATAGGAACTGCTGAGCTGCACTCGGGTATCTCGTACCAATCACGGGGACATCGCGGTCCTCCAGGAAGATGGAGTGGTATGCCTGCATTGAGGTTAATAGGGGTTCTTGCGACAGTCGGGAGTACCAATACATACAGGCATATTGAAATAGTTAGCGACAATAAAGTAACTGTAGAGAGATGGTGGTGGAGGGACAAGTTGACGTTAGGCAGGATGTCATCTGTGGAGTCTCCCCAAGCTCCATGATTTTCCGCCCCGAGCCTCTTTACGCGCCCCAGCAACGCGTCGACTTCCATTCTGTTCTCGCTGGTTTACGTGCACTTTTGCATTATTTTCCAATTTTATTCAAGAACTTTACTCTAACGCTTCATAATGTCCGACTACGAAGATGAAATGGACGTGGATGCGCCTAAGGACGTGCAGTTCAGCTCCGACAATGCCAGTGGAAAAAAGAGAACCGCCGCAGATCTGCCAATTGAAGCTCAAGATAACCTTCCCTGGTATGCTTGCTGTCTCTTTGGGCTGCACCGTTTGCTAATCACTGGACAGGGTCGAGAAATATCGACCGAACAGCCTCGACGATGTCTCCGGCCACCAAGACATCCTTGCTACCATCAACCGATTCGTGGATACAAATGTTTGTCTACCTGCGCAGACGGAGAGCAATAAGCTAACACGGCCATATAGCGACTGCCCCATCTCCTGCTCTATGGTCCCCCGGGAACCGGAAAGACCTCGACTATCCTCGCCCTCGCAAGACGAATCTATGGCACTAAGAATATGCGACAGATGGTGTTGGAGCTGAACGCCAGTGACGACCGTGGTATCGATGTGGTTCGGGAACAGATTAAGACCTTTGCAAGTTCGTGGCCTAGGAGTCTCTCGCTGGGGTACATGCTCACCAAAACCTATAGGCACAAAACAAATCTTCTCCATGGCACCCCAGGCTTCCAGCAGCCAAAATCTAGCAGGATACAAGCTTATTATCCTAGATGAGGCTGACGCCATGACTGCCACCGCCCAGATGGCTCTCCGTCGCATTATGGAACGCTACACAGCCAACACTCGATTCTGCATCATTGCCAACTACACACATAAGCTGTCTCCGGCGCTTCTTTCTCGGTGTACTCGATTCCGTTTCAGTCCTCTGAAGGAAGCCGACATTCGGGTTTTGGTGGATCAAGTGATTGAGAAGGAAGGTGTCAGGATACAGCCCGATGCGGTCGATAGTCTAGTGACTCTGAGCAAGGGTGACATGCGACGGGCATTGAATGTGCTTCAAGCCTGCTTTGCCAGCAGTGAGTTCCCTTTTCTCTCTGATTCTGGACAGTCCAATTCACTAATATCCTTTTCAGGCATTCCCCTCCCTATGAGAGACGCCCCGAAGGCACCTCGCGCCGAACCCGAGATTATCACCAACGCAACGATTTACGACTGCATTGCCGCTCCCCACCCGGCAGATATCCAAGAAATCATGGCTACCATCCTCTCCACCAGCGACGTTACCTCCTGCCTCAATACCGTGCAAACCCTCAAGGTCACCAAGGGTCTCGCTCTAGCCGATATCCTGTCCGCTCTCGCCGACCAACTCCAGCAGCTCGAAGTCCCTGCGCAGACCCGTATCACCTGGCTCGAGGGTCTGGGTGAGATCGAATGGCGCCTTGCCGGAGGTGGCTCTGAAGCGGTCCAAACCGGAGGGCTGGTCGGAGTGGTGCGAAATGGATGTGAATTAATGGGAGACAAGGGCGTTGTAATGGCATAGAAAGCGATTTATTTTAATGTTTTAAAGTTCCAGACCAGACAGTCAAGATCCTAAAAACCCTAAGCGGCAGAACTTGCCTAGACTGTAGACGCTAAAAGCCCTAACTAGCGGGGAAAAGGGTCCAATCCAACTGCGACGATTTATCGCACCGCGGGATGCCGCGGAGTTGGTTTTAATTAGCTAATTGCATTTCCTCGGGCTTGGTTAACGTTACTTTATTCTACTAACCTAATTACGGCTAACTGTAACTGTGAATTTATCGGTTTCCTCCGACCATATGGACCTAATGGGTGAGGAGACCCAACTGGACCGCCGGTGGACCATCTCCGCATATGACAAGTAGATAAGTAGACCACCCCCACTCGGAGATTTTTCGTTGTTTTGTTAGCTTCTTTGCCTATCACACCATGCGATACTCGATTCAGGGACTTTTGCTGGCCGCCTCTCTGTCCTCTGTCGAGGCAGAGCGTGTGGTTGGTGCTTATATCTTTGCGCGTCATGGAGATAGAACGCCCAAGGTCTTTGGCAGCACCCAGTTGACTGACCTGGGTTACCGTGAAGTTTTTGATGCCGGTTCTTTCTACAACCAGCGATATATCTCCGACAATTCCTCCAAGCAGATTGAGGGAATCAGCTCAGAAATTGTCAACCCGAAGCAGATCAGTGCCACTGCTCCTTCGGATGCCGTGTTGCAGAACTCGGCCACTGGCTTTTTGCAGGGCGTGTACCCCCCAGTCGGTACGGTAGCTTCCCAGACCCTAGCCAATGGCTCCTCGGTCGAGGCACCCTTGGGCGGCTACCAGCTTATCCAGCTGTCGGCTTCGACTTCGAGCAAGAACAGTGAGGATGCTACATGGTTGCAGGGCGCCAGTGGCTGCCAAAAGGCAAGCCTGAGCAGCAACAACTACTTCACCTCGGACTCCTACACTGCTCTCCTGTCCTCCACCAAGGACTTCTACCAGTCTCTCTCCCCCATGCTGGAAGGGGCCTTCTCTTCCCCCGAGATGTCCTTCAAAAATGCCTACACCATCTTCGATTACCTGAACGTCGGCAGAATCCACAACACTACCAGTACTTTCCCTCACAAGTCAGATCTGACCGACGAGATCTACCACCAGCTGATCTCCCTCGCCGGCAGCCACGAGTTCAATCTGGCGTACAACGCCTCTGAAAAGGTGCGCGCCATCGATGGCGCTGTCCTGGCCGGTGAGATCCTGGCTGGTCTCAACGATACTATCGCCACCGAGGGCAAGTCGAAGCTGAATGTCGGATTCGGTTCATACGGCACCATCTTCTCGCTCTTCGGTCTGCTGCAGATGCCTGCTGCCTCTGTCAATTTCACGGGTATCCCAGACTACGCCTCGTCAATGGTCTTCGAGTTGGTGACCAATGCCTCGGGCACCGACTTCCCTTCGACATCCGACCTCAGCGTACGCTTCATGTTCCACAACGGTACCATCACTGGTGGCTCCGAGCCCACCGTTTACCCACTGTACGGCCAGTCCAGCGAGCTCCTCTCCTGGGAAGACTTCTCCTCCAAGACCAAGGAGATCGCCGTGACCTCTGACGAGGAGTGGTGCACCATGTGCGGCAACACAGATGGCAAGTGTGCCAGCTCCGACAACCCCACCACCTCCAGCGCCGCCAGCACCTCTAGCACTGGCGGCTCAGGCATGTCTCGGGCCGTGGCCGGTGTAATTGGCGCTATGGTCACCCTCGCTGTGATTCTTGGTTTGCAGGCTCTGTTCTTCCTGGTTGGTGGATTCCGCATTGCTAAGAGGAACAAGGCTGGTCCTGAGGTGAGCTCGCATGCTGTTGTGGAGGTGGATAAGAAGGCCTAGGCTGGTATAACAAGGAGATAATGTAATGTGTTGGTCAGACCAGGGGGTAATTCTCGAGTCTGTGACTTGCTTGGGGAATTCAATATGTGTTATGAGTCTATGAAAACACAAGTAGTAATGTGATCTGAATTGAACTATTAAACTAGTCACTTACCAAGGGAGTAACTAACTCACATTCTTAAATTAGCTTTCAATTTCAACCAATTATCATAAATTAGTCCTATATAATCCCCCCGGACATCCCGCAGATTCACCGCCTTTCACTGAACAACACTGGACCTCCCTCTCAATCCTCCTTACCACAAAATGCCTCGTCAGCAGATCAACCTAGAGCCCTATCGAGAGGAAATCATATCCCTCTTCCACCACGGAGTCAGTAGTGATGCAATCAGCCACACCCTGGAGAGTCGCCATAACATCCAAGTGAAAGAGCGAACAATCCAGTCCCGCCTCCGCAAGTGGGGCATCCGCAAACGACATCGAACAACGACAAGCGATGAAGCTCTACATTCACGGATCCAAATACTCTTCGTGGAAGAACGACTGACTGACAAGGCCATGCTGAGAGTCTTGCAGCAGGAGGGGTATGGAATCTCTGAACGGACCTTACGACGGCTGCGGTTCAAGTTAGGGCTTCATGCCAGAGCTTCTTCTGAGCAGGAGCAGAGTCAAAATCAGCAGGATCAAGATCATCTAGCAATAAGCCTTCCTCCGGCTGTGGTTCAGGCTCAACCGGTGTGATTTTGGCTTTTGGGGTTGCAGCAGGCTTCACTGGTTACTTCGAGTTCTTTCACGGGCCCTAAGCAACAGTCTTCTCGATCGCGACAGCATGATTATGAGCAAGTACATTGCCCTATGCGACAATCACGATCTCAAAATCGTTCCATGCAAGCCAACTGCAACGACTGCTGTTCCCCCTCATCAGCACGTCGACAATGATGATCCAGGGCGCACTCAAGCACTTGGATGACTTGGTCCACCTTCAATGGCCGACTTACAATGCGGTGTTTTGCAAACGACTCACTGAAGGAACAACAACAGTCTTCATTCTTTACATCCAAGCCCAAACCTGGACTTTCCTTCTGGCCATGGAGATCAACCCCTTCGAAGATTCACCACATCACATCCATTGCGCCGAAATACCCGGATCCGATGAAAAATGTTCATATGATACCCATCAGCGACCTTTCAGCTCTACACTTTACCCGACATTACAGTTTATCTTTCCAAATGCGACCAAATCCCCAGCCTCTGTGTCAACTAGTAGTGTTCTGGCCGAGATGACACTGCAGAATATGTCCAATTTAGTGTTAAACATGATAGCAGTTGTATTGAATCACGTATTTTTGTCAGTTGTTGTCTGTTGACGAAAGTAATTGAGGACCAGATTGGTATCACGTGCCATGACGTTTTCTGTAACTTTTGATCGAAGACATTCGACACGCAACGTTCGCGAGGTGCCACCTCACCTAATACCCTCTAAGTCCCAATCCTCGTGGGCGCGTCATACTCTGGCTATCTGTCATTATGTCCTCACAATACGCCAGCGAGCCCAATCCCACCGCGTCGGCCACACTCAACACGACGGTTGGTCCGATCCAGATCGCGCTCTTCGCAAACCAGACCCCTCTTACCTGCAAAAACTTTCTCCAACACTGCAAAGACAATTACTATGCGGGAACAATTTTCCACCGAGTAGCCCCGGATTTCGTGATCCAGGGTGGTGATCCCACTGGCACAGGTTCCGGCGGCACGTCAATCTACGAATATCCGGAATTCGAATACGACCCCGAAGCTCGGGACCCGAACGAGCGGGTTGTTTTGCGCGATGAGCTTCACAGTCGGCTGCGCTTCAATCGGCGTGGGCTGCTGGGCATGGCCAAGAGCGAGGATGGGACATACGGCAGTCAATTTTTCATTACGCTTGCGAACACAGAGCGTGAAATGAACGGGCAGTGTACAATTTTCGGCAGATTGGAAGGAGATAGTATCTACAATGTGTTGAAGATCGCGGATGCAGAGCGCATTGAGGGCACTGAGCGACCTGTTTATCCGATCAAGATTACCTCCTGCGAGGTCGGAGAGTTAGGGCCCTTGGAGGGCAAGTTGAAGGATCGCCAGGCTCTCTCGACTGCATCAAGACCAGAGAAGGCCGCACCCAAAAAGAAAAAGAAAGCACCTAAAGGCGGGAAAACACTGCTGAGTTTTGGAGATGATGAAGGTGATGAGGGAATGCCAATGCGCCCAGCAAAGCCTAAATTCAACACCAAATTGGTCGCGGATGCACCAGATGCGCAGACAGATGCACCAAAGCCTAAGTCTCAAACCGATGCCCCGTCACAGCCTCGCAAACGGCCAAGGTCACCATCCCCCAGACGGTCAGCGTCACTGGAACGCAAAAAGCGCATTAAGACACCAGAGCCAGAAACCCAACTCCCTGTCCAGGACCCTGAGTCGCCTATTCGGTCTCCAACCCCAGAAGCTCCACGCGCAAAGGAGTCCAAGTTATCCAAGACAAACTCCCAGATTGCCAATCTAATGGCATCAATGCGCCGAGACGTCAACACTGGTCCAAAGGACACAGGTCGCAAGAAGTCCGCACTCGAATCCATGATCCCCGAAACCTCAATTCGAGGACGAAGACGACCACCACCAGGGTCGGCCAACAGCTCAAGCCGCAACGGTACAGGACCCAGCAACGCGGCAGAGCGAGAAGCCCTTCAACTTTTCAACGCCTTCAAGGCCAAATTAGAAAGCGCCAAACCCGAAATTACGCCAGCATCACAAACCAAAACTAACGGCAAAGAAAGCACACAAACCAAAGACGCAGACGAAGACGAAGAAGCCCAACTCTGTGACCTACACTTCATCGCCAACTGCCAATCCTGTCAATCATGGGACGATCCAGGCGCAGACGCAGCCGATGATCCCGCACAAGAAGAAGATTGGCTCTCGCACGAACTACGTTTTGGAAAGGATACGCTTGGCAAAGACTTAGAGTGGAAGAAGAAAAACCAGGAAGCCGATTCACTTATGGTTATTGATCCTCGTGAGAAGGAGAAGGAAGTTGTTGGCAGTGGTAGTGGGAAGAAGCGTGGATTCCAGCGGGATCGTGAGCGTGAGCGGAAGCGTGAACGGGCTGGAGATTTGGAGTGGGAGAGGGGACGATGATTTTGATGTCCTCATTCTCTACTTGTCTAGTGGACTATACAGAAACACAGAAATGCATAGGGCTATTTGTAGTATCATCTGCTTGGGTCGTAGATAACGTTGGTGAGGACATACACCTGGGCATGTTTGTACCTCGTAAGTTGATAAACCTATAGGTCTACATGATACTTTCTGTTAAATGTTGGCCACTTTGAATACATGTCCCTCCAGATCTTAGTGGGATTTCTCGATCTCACTCTCATCATTTCACATTTCCCATTCAAAATGAGTTTGCAAGGTACGATCTACACTGCCATTCTAAGGGAATCTGCCCCGACTTTGAGGTAAGTGGCCTATGACTCCCACACAATCCATCGAATACCTAATATTTCTATGATACCCTCTAAATCAAGCCTGAGGAGATTCAAGCTGTGTCAGGTTACAACGATCCTAGTAACCCCGGGGGACGGGATCTGTATCAACGGCATAAAGTACACGACGATCCAAGCAGATCCTAGAAGTATCTAGGGCCGGAAGGTAAGATCCACCATGAAACCGTGCTACAATCGATATAAATGCATTGTTTCTAGGGCCATGAGGGTGTTTGCATTGTGAAGACTCGGGAGACGATAATTGTTGTGAAGTATTCTGAAGGTGTGCAGTTCGTAAACGCTGCCAGGGTTGTTGAGGGTATGGGTGACTATTTGCTTGACTCGAGACGGCAGGTTTTGACACTGATGGTAATCCACGAGTCTGGTGTATTTGAAGTATAAATTTGGTCGTTCTGGGGCTGAAGATGGGCCAGTAGGCCCTGACATGAGAGCCCGTTACAGGGGGTATCCGAGGAAGCTTCAGAATAGAACGATTTACATATACTTTGTAGTTTGTGGGCCAGTATCCTCTCTGATACGTAGTCTACAACACTGATGGTACACTCAGATAGGAAGACTGGCATTTTATTTCTGCTGTTCTAGTCTAGCGTCAAATGATACAAGTTGAATCCCTACTCTATCCTATACTAGGGTCACTGATAGGGCATCTGAGTAATTTAACGGGGTTCAAAAGAGCTACGCGCTTGGGTTACATGATTTTACTAATAAACATGGCCAAAGTATGAGAATATATATGATTATTTCATCTCTGTCTAGTCTCACTGCACAGCCACAGCTGATTTGAGTCAACAAGTTAGGCGCCCAAGCCATTTCAGACACATCCTCTTTCGGTTTCCTTTCAACTTTCTTTCTTTGACCACAATTGTCGCAATGTTCACAATTTTTGCCAAAATAAAACACTTCTTTACTCGAGAGTCTGATTCCGAGCCTAGGGGCAAAGCAAAACCAACAAGACGGGAAAAAAGGGCCCAAAAGCGATTCGCCAGAGAGCACATTCAGAGAGTTCGTGCGCGCGAGCAAGAACTGCTTCGTGCACGGAAAGCAAAGCCTACATGGCAATGGATCGAGCCATATCAGAAGGAGACAAGACGAAGATAATATCCCAGTATCTCATCAGTTCGACTCCAGCCGTCTTGCAAACTCCCCGGCTTGGCTATCGTCGCACAGACACCTTTTTTTCCATCGTTTGGCCGCCGTCCAAGACAGCGACCCTATCACAATCAAGCAGTGTGTGGAACAAGTCAGTGATCACTTTGTGAACGTTCGCATCCGTCTCTTCAGGGAGCGTTTTTCACGAAAGGGAGTCGAGATGCGTGATAACGGTAGAATGCTGCTAAGCCTGTCTTCACTCGGACTCGGTGTCGTCCCCTTCCGAGCTTTCTTTCTCAAGATCAGGATATCCTAATCCTGCATGTACCATGCCAGTTCTCGCAGGCTCGCAACTGCTCCAGGCTTGCTGGATGCCTGTCTTCAGCAAAGGATCTGAGTCCCCTGACGCCCAACACGCCCCCTCGACGAGCTTATCGTACTCGTGCCTCGGTTCCTCAACGAGCAGTGTGGTTGAAACCAATATCGTCATAAACAGATTCATTTGATATTCCGAGTTGATACTCCGCAGACAATACTTGCGGCCCTAGCCCAGTTGTTCCTGTAGTTCACGGTCGAAGGTCCCACAGAACGGGATGCGAGCTCTGAAGCTGCCGTTCTTGCCAGATCACGAGCTTTCGATAGACTAAGTTTCTTATGACCTCCATGATAGTGTTGAATCTCGACATGCACGCCACTGTCATGAAGGATCTTGGAAAGGCGAACAATCGACAAAAGCTGTTCAAGGCTCGGTCATGTCATTCCATTCTACCTCGAGTCTCTCAAAGCAGGTCGTAGAGAATCATGTGCACGAGCTGTGCGAAGAGTGTGATGGCCGCAGTATTTGGTACGATCTCGTCCTCCGTGTCAGGTAGCAATAGCAAACGACTTTCGTATCCATGGGGTCCAGTCTTGACGGCCTTCTGTGGCAGTTGCACTAGACGGACATGATCTGGCACACCATCGACAGTAACAGTCTGTTGCAGTAGCAGCCGCGGCACAGCAAATTATCCTGTCCATAGAGCATTGGCCTCTTTCAGGCTATCCATAGAACGATTCGTTTGAATCACCTTGATACAGTCTTTAGATGTCGTAAGGATAGACCGTGCTCCTGATACAATGGTGATTCCATAGTCGGTATAGTGTTTAAGGAAGAATTCGGGTGGTTTTAGACACGGGGAGATTGTACGAAGCATGATGTACTGCTGGTGTAAGGCCTTGGAGCCAGAGCCGAAGACTTATGAGGGAAGTGTGTTGATGGTTTTTGACTTGAGACGAGCAGTCTCGTATTGATTGACTTTGCGGACCATGATTCCTTTTCACAAAACAATGTCAGAAATCTCGAGCAGCTTGTCCCGGCATGCTGAATTGAAGAACTTGGCAACGACGAGCTCATTGAGCTGGCGTTCACGGTTCGATTCATTGGGACGGGGAGCGCAGCGCTTATTGATTAAGATAGACTTGATGTAACGATGTGAAGATGAAGTGAGTTGCAAGGGAAGAAGAAAACGTATTCCAAGTAGTAGGTGTGATCTCCGAGGCTAGCATGAATCAGGCAAACCACCATGAGGTTGATGGATGATCTGAACGAGCATTCGAATGAGCATTTGAACGAGCATCTGAGGGATTATTTGAACGAATATCAGTTGATTGAATTATTATTAAGATAGAACGATCTAGAAAGATATCACACAAAGACATCAACGAGGCAGGGTAGCAAAGACGATTAACCCTAACCATCGTGATATAGCAAAGTCAAGGACAAAGCGAAGTTATCTCATTTGTATTTCAAGGATCGTTCATAGTTCATTTTTACAGGGCATCCGCCCAGTATCACCTCCATATAAACAAAAGAACGCCTGCGTTACGCCTAATTTTGTTTCCATCCAAGCCCTAACCCGCTTGTCCACCCCACATCGTGTACGGTATGACTTAACGTTATCAGATCACGCCTTCCTGCGTCGCTTCGTGGCACTGCCACCATCATCGACAACTTCGGGATTCTCCGTTACTGTGGGGCTGGTGGCTTCACTATCCGTCAACTGCTCGATGACGCGCCCAGAATCATCGTAGCCAGTGCCATCGAAGCCGTAGTTGTAGGCTGGATCGCCCTGGCTGTTGGTGTTATCGAAGAGATCGCCATCGGCGGGGATGTGGTCAAAGTCGAATAGGTCATTTGTGTCGCCGTCGTCGGCTTGGATGGTCCCCATCTGATCAGTTGTGTTCTGGCCTGGTACTGATAGATGGCTCATCGGGTTCTCGGCCTGTTTCTTCAGATCGGAACCCGCATCACCGATGTCGGTGAAGTAGTCGTTGTTGAATATTTGGTCGAGGTCAAGCGGGGGAGGGGGTACATTTCCGTCACTGTCGAGACCAGGAATAGTTCCGTTCGGACTCAGGGGTTGAAGGAGGCTGGTCAAATTCTGGACGGAACGGTCCTGTTCGGCCTGCATTTTGACCAAGTTATCGATCTCTTGACGGGTGCTGGCTAGCCGACCTGAGTAGTTGTGCGGCATAGGCGGTGGGTCCGGCGAGATGAGAGCATTATTGGGAGATACGCCAGCATTGGGTTCTGTGGTATTTGTTTCGTTGGCCATAAGTCGCAGCATGTCCGCACGTTGATTCGCTGTAAGTGGGACGTTGCCGCCATGGTTTTCAAGGGAGGAAAGGACGTCCGGGAACTCGGAGAAGTTTGTTGGAACCCCGTTGCGTGCATTAGAGTTCTGGATGACAGACATGATATCCTGTCGAGGGAAGCCCTCGTCTGTTTGATCATTTGGCACGTTTGAGGCGCTCGGCCGAGGACTATGATCAAAGACCTCTTCCACATGGCCCGGCTGTGTAGCACTGGGTTGCCGGTTGTGGCCTCGAGACCGTGTGTCATAGGGAGCATTGGCAGCTGGTGAGATTGTGTTCGCGCGGCGACCTTCATCAGATGTCGGGGGTGCTTTCAAAAGAAGTGGTTGTTTCTTCATCCTTTGGTTATTAGGGCTTGTCATCGAGCCCAGCGCGTTGCTCAGGTAGTGATCATCAACGTCCACAATATTGCCTTGATCCTGCGAGATGGCTCCAGCAAAGGAATTGGCGAGGTTTTGAGGGCCATCTTGTCCCTGCAAACTGCGGTTGTATACTGTCGCGAGGAAAGTCAAAATGGCATTGATGGAGTTCTCATGGCGAGTGTGTTGCTCCTGGAAGTTGGCTGCCTGCGCATACAGCTGCTCGTGTTCTTTTCGCAGTCTGCTAATTGTGGTTGAGATAATTGACTGCTGCTGACGGATCGCTTGAAGTTCGCGATAGACGCCAGAAAGTTGTTCATTAGGCACAGAGCTGTCTGTGACTAAAGACAGCTGTTGTGGCCTAGAACGAGTATCGCGAGCAGTGGATGTGCCATCTTCAGCATACTCATCCATTTCATTATCATCAATATCCTCCGTCTTCACGCGGGTGCCGCCTTTGCTGGGTTTGCTGGCATGGCCTGTAGCGTTCTTCGGCTTCTGGATGAGCCACAGCAAATCTGGGTGGCCACGTTTGAAATATGGGTTTGCGTATTCGCTAGGACTCTTGTTCTTCCGCTCGCTGGCACGCATCGAATTATCGGAAAGTCCGACCTTTTTGTGAAAGCCGTACATATTCAGCTGTCGGACGAAAGATGCGTAGTTGTTGTGTTTGAAAAGTTCCGGGATTAACGTCCTCGCGAATTCATCCTCGTCCAAAACGATGAAAGAGTTGCCATCGTCGGACCAACGAATCAATTCCGTATTCTTGGACTCGTCAAGAAAGCTGTGTTCGACAATTAGCCCTAATCCTTGGCGCCAAAATAAAATATAGATCATACCTGCTCAATTTCTGCACAAACGGAGGGATCTGTTTCCGTTTTGCTTGTGCTTCTCTTTTCGCAGTCTGTGCGCGCCGGTAGAGCTCTTCCAGCGACTCTCCCCATGCGCCGCTCTCGCCATTGCCTGTGTTGCCCCCATTTTCAACATATGATGCGGGCGCCTGCTCGTACCCGCGGTTCCGGCTGATCAGCTGGTTCTGGTTTTGATTCTGGTTGTGGTTTGCCTGTCGGCGAGCGAGTTGGTTAGATGCTGTCGCAGCCGGTGCAGACACATCTTCAGGAGGCGCAAATCCCACAGGATTGTATGAGTTATCGGAGAAAGCGGAGGTATTGATAGCGTTAGAGGGATTCTGGCCCCATTGTAAGAATTGATCGTTCGAAAGCTGGGATCCGGGGTTTGCGGCGGTAGGAAAGTTGGGGACAGTATTCATCTGAGGATGAACGACTGGGGCTGTTCCTGGGGCAGGTCTCTTGCGAGTCGCACCCTGGGAACTCATGGTGATGGACGGGCGCAGTGGTGTTGAATGTTATCGCGGGGAACCTGAATGTGGTTCTGACTTGACTTTCGCCGATCTCGCACAAATTGTAAGTGGCAAGAACTGTCTAGTAGACAGAACGGCCAGATGCAAACGCAAGATGCGAAAAGTCGTTCATTCAAGTCGTTGGAATGAGTGACTCAAAAAGTCTTTGAAAGTCTTTGAAAATCTTCGTCGACGGAGCCGAAAGAAATAGAGGCCCAGCGAGGGAGTAAATCTATCGACGCAAAGGAAAACGCAACGCGAGGATTGAGGATTGAAGCAGCAGTGATAACGAGGCGACTGATCAGCGCGTGAAGTCAAGGCGGGATCACCTGGCAGAAATTATATGGGCGGTGAGGCGATGCACGAAGTGTGAAAGGCGGTCTGAGGTGTTCTGCCCAAGATGTCGGATTGCGAAGGTTTCGTGAGTGATTGCTTTGGCAAGGGATATTGAGGCAGATATTTCCCTTTCAATGAATTAGAACTAACATCCTTGGCTAATCTCTCTTATAGTCAGTAAGTATTTTTATTCTCGAGCCATCCCTGCTAGGTTCCTATACATATAGAAATTGCCGGAAATGTGTAAAAGTTTCAGGCATGGGTGTCTCTTCGACTCTGCCTAGATTCTTTTAATGGCTCGCTGGGTACACTATTGAATCTATTCTCTCACTCGCTGTAATGGCGACAGTAAAGAGCGAGAAGTCACGACCTCATAGACCTAACGAGTCTCCAGTCAATCCCTGGAAGTCTGCAAGGATCTGCTTCCATTCATCAGGCTGCTTTTGAGTAAATTCCTCCACCTTTTTCGGAGCAGCCAGATCCTCCTTCATCCGCAACTCATCCTTAGTTCCATTCAAAACCGTCAAATTTCCCAGGCCGATAATCAGTGCATAGAACGCAGCGGCCGGGGTGATGTCGACATGACGAGCAAGTTGCTGCACAGGCAGGGAACGCACGAGGTCCGGATTTGCCGTCAAAGTCCAGAAGCCTTGGTAAATGACCTGGTTATCGCGACAGAAAGCACGCATAGGAACATCAAACAGAGTATCTTCGTAGAATCTGTTCTGTACAACTGATGGCTTCACCGTTGTCATGGATGAGTTGCACAGTTCTCGCAGCATGGGCATCGTGCAATTGGAAATACCCAAGTTTCGAATGCGGTGGGGTACATAAGTCTCAAGAGCCTGCCAGGCCTCGAGCGTCTGGGCTAAAGTGGGAAGCGGCGAATGAATGACCACCGTGTCGATGTAGGCCTCATCCGCTGAGCTCGGGTCATCTGCTGAGCGTAGATTATGTAGGGATGACTTGATAGATGCATGGACTTGCTCCGTCACTGTCGCTGACGGGTCGTAGGGCATGTTTCCCACGTCCTGTGCCGAGACAGGGCTATATTTGGTTTGCACCTGGCCATTGTCAGCTGCATAATCTAAGATAATAATAGAAGGTCCACTCACATATAGGTCTTTCCGGTCGACGATCCCATCGGCGATAGCTCTGCGAATGCCATCACCGACGAGATGTTCTTGGTAATGACGGGGTTGGGCTGCAGTGTCCACAGCCCGGAATCCAGCCTTGATCGCAGTGTAGACCAGATCTGCGCTGCTATCTTTTTTCCAGGCTGTGCCGTAGATGAAGACTGGGATGGTGGTGGATACGGTGCCCTGAGTTGGACGCAGGCAGTACTTTTCCCACATCTTGCTAACCGACCGGGCCATTGCAAAAATTGGGCAGTTTCGGGGATCAGGTTATGTACAACGTTCACAGCCTCCAAAGACGTGCAGTTGTACCAATGGAGAAATGATGTTATGATTGCGGGGTTTGAAACGCGATCTTACTAAGTCGCTTGCCCCGAGCAACCATTACGGTAGATGTTTATATGTTTATATGTGCGATATACTGCTAAATATTGACAATACTCCATGCTATGGGGATGAAAATAGCTTCCGTTGCTATTCCAATATTGCGGCAAACAATTTCGCTAATCGCGCTAGTTATTGCAGTCCAAGCCACCGAGGGTTGCTTCCACTCTATAGTTCTAGAAGGTGAGAGGCCAACGATCTTGACGAACTGATGACATGCATATCCAAAAACATCTCAATAATTGTGAAGCCTGGAGGTTAATCCACTTGGCTTTATATAAGTATCGCGCATCTATATATAGTTGGTGGAGTTAGCTCGGCAACCGGCAACCCACACGGGAGCGTTCGACACTGGGGATAGCTACGGAGTAAGATATGTAAATCACGAGAATAATTAAAGAATGTTAAACTATCAAGGCTGCAGAATTGCCGGATCAAAGGATATGCACTGATTTGTCCCCACAGAGTGTGTGTGGCTTAGACGTCCAACTTTGCATAGGATCTCCGCGCGGAACACCTTGGCAAGTAACGAGTTTCGCATTCATGACCGAGAAACAGTACAGGGGCCCTAGGGATATTGAATGCTAAGACATATCTAAAGCCCCTGCATACTGAAGTCATCACTACCAAACTATAGAACTATGCACGATATTAATAGCTCTCTTCAATCAAGTAGTGCTGCACCCAACTAGATCTTGGCTAAGTCTTGGCTGATGCGATATAAAACAGGCAGCTGCTTTTGTTCGATCAGCATTGGCGGTAGTCCCTGTAGATCTGCAGCGCTATCAGTCAATGCATTGATTTTGGCTATGCAATGGACAACTAGGGTCGGCATGCATTTGGGGCTCAGCAGCTCAAATTGATTCATTGGCGGAGTATGCCGACAAAGAGAATGGCCTCCAAAATGGGAACGGAAATACCCGGCAAAGCTTGGATCGGCAGGGTTCAGCAAGTAGAGGTCATTTATAGAACAGACACCAACCTCAAATATAAATACGCAGTGAATCTGGCCGGGAAATGATTTGAATCATCAACGAAAATACAACCAATCTTCTCTGCCACTCTCAAATCAACCCTCAGTAAACCCTCAGTATCAATCATCATGCGTGCTACACAGCTTCTTGCTCTTGCTGGCCTCATGCTTGCCGGCAACGTCGCCATCGCCTCCAAGCTGGACCACGACGATGTCCCCAACCGCTGCTGGAATGTCTGTGGCTCCGTTGTGGGAACCTCCAAGAGCTGTGATGCTAGGCATGACAATGATTCCGCCGAGCTCAAGTGCATCTGTGACTGGGAGTCTGCCAAAACACAGATTCCACTCTGTGCCGCTTGCATCACCCAGTACCAAACTGACCGCAACATCACCAACAATGATCACGATCACGACCATGACCGCGACAATGACAATGACCGTGACAATGACCGTGACAATGACCGTGACAATGACCGTGACAATGATAATGACAATGACAACGACCGTGACCGTGATGACGAGAACACCAAGCGCAACTACAATGACGATGATAACGACAACGGTATGCATAATCTACTATAGACGACCATAAAGAAGAAAGCTAATACATACTACAGAGGCCCTCGACCTCGTCCACTCCTGCTCATTCAGCACAACCACTTACAACTCCGCAGCAGCCACTACTGTGAGCGGCACCACCACTGGCACGGGAACTGGAACTGCTGTCTCTACCGCAGCCACCGCCACAGACGGTACAAGCTCCAGCAGTTCCAACAGCCAGGACTCGACTAGTTCCGGATCCGGGTCTGGCTCCAGCTCCTCAGGCACTGATAGCTCGAGTGCCTCGTCGTCCACCCCGACCCCCGATGCTGCCCCTGGTTTGGTAGCTCCTGGTGCTGTGTCCATGGCCGGTCTTGTTGGATTGATCGCCTTTGCTTGGGTGTAAACACATGGACTGAGAATTTTGGAGATTCTATGGGATGAATGAGTCAATACGTGCACGATGGGATTATGAATATATTCAATGTCTTTCCTTAAATTTGCAGATGATATCATCCGAGTTTTGCTTTTGGCTTAGATAGTTTAGTGTGAAATTGATGACTTTCGTGTTTTGAGTTGGGCCTGTGCCATTATTCAATGGCTACTTAGCTGGCCAATTACCTCGAGAACAATGTAGGCACAATGGACATGTGAAAAAGATGTCGATTGTAAAAAAACGCAAGTCTTGAGGGTATTGGTACATATAAACACTATCCGTAAACACAATCATATCTCATCCAAGAATTATTGATCCATGGGGAAGTCATCTTCCCAGTTCCCCCAAAGGTCATCAAAAGGATCCGCAAGCAGGTTCGGCTCCTCATACGTCATATTATAGACATCTTGGTAGCACTGTGCCTTTGCAGGACAACTTGACAGCATGTTAGCATTTCACTTCCAGTAAACCCAAGGACAAAACTTACAACACGGGATCCTGCCCGAAGATAATGTGCCACAAGTACTCAAAGACACGACCACTAGTCTCATCATCCAACTCAGTTGTCATGAGCCAGTGGTGATAATGCTCATAGTCGCTGCGGGGCCGTTGGAGAACCTGTTGTCTCGTGACAGCAAACTGAGCACAGCAAGGCGTTGCGACAATCTCAGGGACATCAGTATTATTAAAAATGCGAATCCAAGCACCCGCGAACGCCAACTCGGTAGTGCGGCCAGCCATCTGTCGGAACGGTTGGACTTCATCGGGACATCCTGGACCCCAGTCACAGCGGAGGTTGAGATATCCGGCTTGTTTGAGGTAGTCGAGTTGCAGCCTTTGGACGGTCAAGGTGTTATCTTGTTCCCAGAATTCGGTGTGGGTGCTATATTGATGGGCATGCAGGAAGACCATGTACTCGGGCATATTGTCGTAATTGTCGAGGATATATTGGAGATAGACGTTGCTTTCTTTGCCTTTGTTCTGTTCGACTGTGTGGGTTGCTTCCGGGTCATCGACGATGTAGACCGCATGCTGCCATCTATAGTTGCAGGTTGAGTTAGCATTGAGGTTTGAGGGCGTTCCAATCCACGAGGACTTACTCTGGCAACTGGTCCTCCAACCAATCGGTATCCTCGTACGACATCTTCCCCAGAACAATTATCCGATCCGGTTTCGGGGTAACCTTGGGCCGAGGCGGCGCAGTGGACGAAGGCGCGAGCTTCTGTACATTCCCATGCTGAATCGGACCGAGTTGTTGACCATGGGACTTTTGCGAATCGGTCAATTTCTTCGGATTCGTTTTCGAATTCCAATTCCTCAAAAAAGGATCCTGGCCAGCCCATTCCGCGCCAGGAACTCGCACAGGGATCTGTTTCGGCACGACCTTGTCCGGCACCACCGGAGGCGTTGGTCGGCCGGTTGGTGTCCATTTATGCCGAGTCGGGTTCTGCGAAGCCGAGGTCGTGGTATCAGCCGAGACCATCTCAATATAAGCGTCGGATTCGTCGAGCACATAGTAATCCCTAGTCGAAGCTTGTTTCCGACCTGGAGCCTGCCATTGCGGAATCGAATCGAGATGGCTCTTCACCAGTAACACGGTGAACACCACCGCAATGGCAATCGCCGCTCGTAGGGTAGTCCTCATTGTCCAGCACGAGGCATAAAGAAAGAAAAAGACGCAGCGAACGTAGATCTCAAGCCGCGCAGGCCCGGACTTTTAAGGGCGACGCCAGCCCCCACTCTGAGCCTTGGCCGTCAGCCACGATTAGCTTGGCCGCGTGGTTCCTGATGCAAGCTGCAGCTTTACCGAGACCGTTGGATACAGAGAAAACTCAACATATCACTATTGGCTCTGGCTTGCATATTCGCTGCGATTTACCCGTCAATTGCGCCCTTTTGAGGCGACGTAGCGGACTAATCTCGTGTCGTCACTCCAGTCAGTCCGATTGCAACCTTTTAGCCTGGTGGGCCCCCGACACTCGTCACTTATTCGCGTCGCTTAGACTCATCGTTTCAGCAGGGATATACGTATCCCGTTGACTGTCGATCCCTCATTTCATTCATTTCATTCGGACCTGAGAATCTTATTGTTAACTGTGAACAAGAAAGAAGAATTTGGATTACGTTGCCCGCGCCAAGCAATCCGCATGAGCCTAAATGTTGCATAGATGGACAGGAATGAAACATTATACGGAGTACGTGGATATACACACATGTACAGTACGTTAGTTTCAGGTCCTTGATTTAGTCTAGACAAATATAGTCTCCTGTTGGGCTTACGGGGCCAGGATGTTGGTGGCCTAACTTTTCAGGCCAGATATCTTTTTTTGTCTTTTCTTTTGCTTCTGACTTGGATCTGACGTACTAGTAGGAGATAACTGAGACTTCCAATGTTGTTACTGTATTTGGATCCCCATCTCGTCGGCAATAGCATATGGATCCCTGATGCATATAAGACCATGACATCGAATCTACAGGTACCTACAAACACCACGTGGAGATCGAACCAGTAGTGTACATGTGCATATAGCTTCTGAGACAAAATCGGGCCCTTCGCTCTCATTTGGAAGAACCAAAGACCCTTTTTAGGACTTTGCGGACTATGCTCAATCGTTCGCATTGAGGCCTCAAACGGCGACTTCACAGCCTTTGGACCTCTTAAGGGGTCATATGTTTTTATCCACCTGTGACATACGGTTACTGTCCGGTCAACCTCTGCACCTACACAAAGACAGGATCTCTCACGCAGCCCCCGGTCTAGACCAATGAGGGTGATGTGGCGGGCTTCGGCAAATCTGATATCCTGAACAACCTCTGTGACTTTGCCTGCAGTCGAGGATATTGCCCTGAAGGAACATGTACCCCTAAGGACGAGATAGAAATCTTCGCAAACCTCAATCCGGTCTTGAGATGGGCTGGCACGGGCGCAGTTGCCTGCGACTCGACCCAAAGGCAGATCATTCTCCAGGGGTACAGGTGCAATCATGATGGTGGAAGCAGCAGAAGAACATCCACATGTACTTCTATGTATAACTTAACTTAAACTAGGGCTCTCGTATCGCGTTGGGCTCACACCTTCGGAAGACCGCGGAGCTGTCGCAATGTGAAAATATATATATTGGTTTTCATGTTGGTCTTGTGACTTGACCTCTTCAAGTATTGTCGCGATCAACAAGTGATCCACCAGGGACTGCAGTCTTGATTTTCTCCTGACTTGGGGAGTCTACAGCATGGGGATACCATTGGGCAATGGTATGCCTTTTCCTTGTTGTCTTCAAACTGGCTCGGTTTCCAGAATACACGTAGATTCCGACTTGATTCTACGCCAATCGTTTTGCCTCACATTGTGATCGGCACGCTGTCTGGTACCTGAGAGATCGTAGATCGTCCTATGACGCATGACCATTCCACAGCCATCATCTCAGCTCCTTATCGTAGACTCGCCAACTTACTTTCAGATGATGAAAGTAAGATAAGGCAAATGACGGCCAAAGCAACCCACGGTGAACATCCGGCAGACCACTCGGCAACCCGTTTCACAAAGTCCCCGGAGATCAACACGAGGCAATCTCAGGAGAAGAAAAACTTCCGTAGTCTTTTCTAGCGTCACCCTGGAATGGAGCAGCTATACCACATCCGTTCGCCATGTTGTCGTAGTGAGCTCCTGGCGCTGGAGCACTCCACACAAGCAACACGATTGGGGAGGGACACTGCCCACTAAAGGTTCTAACCAGCGTCTAGCGGGTTCTAGGGCAGCCGGAGCCTCTTGGAGGCTTCGGCTTTGGCGCTAGAAACGGGGGATGTGCGGATCGTGGAGACGAGACGAAAGTCCAATTTCATGGAGTGGGACCTAGTGCCCTCACTTCATGTACTGTCAATCAAGCCAATGCCGATGGGGAACAGGGTGGCCCGTCCCGGACCAAATTATTGCGTGAGCACCGGCTGCCTAGATTGCTGAAGTGAATTTTAATAACTTGGGTGGCGAGAGTCGACAACCCAGGTCCAGAAGTTGGAAGGGCGGGAACGGAATAGGGGGAGGGTCATACTGTACATATAATTATAGAAGCCCCTAATGAGGAGTACAGTCTTGTATTCCCCATATGTCCAGTCATAAATGAACAATCCCGGTGTCAAATATAGGGTCTTTGCACAGAGCACGAGGCAGGACGCGAACCCGATCTGTCAACTGCAGTATGGAGAAGTGACAAATCCAGTCAACAGAGTCAAATTGGCTCAGGGATGAGCGTGTGTACTAGTGTCCACTGCGGCGGAGTCTGTGTCTCTAGTGACGAGCCTAACAGAGGGCACATCAAGGGGAGGATGACGGACATTAGAGACTGTGATTCCTGTCTCTGATTCGGCCGGATCTGTTCGTCTGTTCCGGGTCAAACAGGGGATTAGGGGGAATGAAAATGGGGAATAGGGGACATCAGTCCGGAGTACGAGTATGAATGTACAGTAGAGTAAGTAAAGAGTAAGGCTAAGAATGAAGATTGGAACCAGGGAACGTTGCTCCCGTTCCCTGTTCGAGGACAACGTTAACTCTACTCTTACAATGCAGTTAATAGTTAATGTTAATACGGTAGTTAATGATATAGTTAATTATAGAGTATATATTTAATGAACTGATTATATCTATAACTTGTCAGGGGCTATGGAGATGGGGCTGGACTATTGGTTCTTAGTTAATTTGTTCCCTTATAATAGACCATCCCCTCGTGCATACTGCTCCGATCACCTGTTTTTCGACTCTAATCTCTTCACCTCCTTGCTTCATTCTTCCCTCGAGATCTGTCACCTCAGGAAAAAGTAAAAAAAGAAAGAAAACCACCTTGGCAGACAGAAAAGAAGAAAAACAAAGGCGGCGATAGTTCTGCCCCTGCTCCGCCGGTCTCAAGTTTTCCCCCCTCAAACTTGTCCCATCCGCACAATCCCGTCTGCCTCGACGGTTTTCTCTCCCTCGATCTTCATGGTGGAGTAGTCCCGTGTTAGGGGTTTTTTTCTTTGCATTTTTCCCACATTCCCTCCCTTCATGAGTTATCAAGACATGTATCACGACGCCGCACGATCCCCTGGCTCTCAGCGGCATCAGCAACCCCTACACCGTCAGCCTTCTCGTCAGTTTGACGCCTACGGTCCCATGCCTGTCAACCCTTACGACGAGCAGATGGCCCGTTACGAGTCCGCTCGCCTCGAGCGTCTCAACCCGTCCCTGCAGAACAACTACGGCTACGATATTTCCGGCTCCCAGACCTGGAACCCCAACGGTTTTGCCAACGCACAATCCCTGGGAGGCATTCGGTCGGCTTCGGCCAGCCTGAAACCAAATGCCCGTGGACGTTCCGGCCTGCCCACTGTATGTCTCGTGTTTTTCGACGCCGAAGAATTCCCCCATTACCCTCAGGAAACAACTAACCCTCCCAAGACGTGGCTCGACCAGCAGCCGAACATGCCCCAAGCATTTTCGAACCTCGGACCCGGTCCCATTCAGAGCAGCGCGATGCGACCGGAAGCCTCAGCTTCGTCCGCTGACGACGACGAATTGATCCCAACCGCGATCGTCATCAAGAACATCCCCTTTGCCGTGAAAAAAGAGCAACTGGTGCAACTGATGACCGAACTTAACCTCCCCCTCCCCTACGCGTTCAACTACCACTTTGATAACGGCGTTTTCCGTGGACTGGCATTCGCCAACTTCACATCGGCAGAGGAGACAGCCACTGTGATTGAGGTGCTTAACCACTTTGAATTGCAGGGTCGGAAATTGCGAGTCGAGTATAAGAAGATGCTCCCTCTTCAGGAACGGGAGCGGATTGAGCGTGAGAAGCGTGAACGACGTGGCCAACTGGAAGAACAGCACCGGCCTATGGGTGGTCCTCAGCTTCACACTCAGAGCTCCATGTCCTCGCTCGCCTCGCACATCCCGGCCACTTCTCCCTCGCCCGTGTCGCAACGCGGCCAGAAACTCGGTGGGTTACACACTCGTTTAAGGTTATTGAAAGTGCGACCTGTCGCTAACGAAAATTTTCTGTGTTCAGATGTGGACTTGAATGACACCCAGACCCTTCAGTATTATTCCCAACTACTCCTTTTCAAGGAAGATACCGTCCGCGATTCCGTGATTTTCCCTCACAACTTGACCCCTTCCCAGCGTCGCACGGTGCACACTCTGGCTCACAACATGGGCTTGGGCCACGCTTCTCGTGGCAGCGGTGAACAGCGCCAAGTTCAGGTCTTCAAGGTTGCCGCGGGCGCCAATGTGAGCCCGCCGCTGTCTTCCATCCCGCCTTCCGGCCAATCGAGCGATAGTGCTCGTCGTGGTCTGAACCGCGCGGCCACCATTGACTTCAGCGAGGCTCGCAACGAGGCCCGCAATGAAGGTGGACCTGGTGCTTTCAATACCCTGCGTGGACAGAACTCTGGATTCTTGGGTGTGCTAGACTCCCCTGGTAACTTTGCCAACGGCCAGAACTTGCGCGCTGCCAAGTCGTTCGCTGACCTGCGATCCTACACTCCTTCGCCCGTGCCTTCCTCTGCCAGCTTCCCCGCCGCTTTGCAGTCGAACGGTGCCCGTCTTCAATACGAGGGCACACCCACCGGTACCTCCAACACTCCCACTCTCACTCCCGCACAGTCTGGTTCTTCTCTTGGCATGCAGCGTGATGACAATCTGCTGGTCAACAGCCTGGGTGGCCTTTCTCTTGGCACCGGTATCGGTGGGCCCAACTCGAGTCCCCGTCGCCTGCGCGGCATGTTCTCCTGGGAGCAGGATAGCCAACACTCCAACGCGGGTGCTATTGGCAGCAACCGCGGCATGGGCGTCGGCTACGATGGCCAGCAGGAGCGCATGCCTATCCGTCAGCCCCGTGGGCCTACCCCCGACAAGGGCACTGGCTTTCGCCGCCAAAACGGACACCAGTCTCGCGGGAGTGATGAGCTCCGCACCAACTCCGGCGTAGAGATCATCGTGGAGTAAACATTGGACGACTTATTGAAGATGGCGACTCCCCAACTTTTTTGCCAGCATCCGACTGATTTGCCGCGACACGAATACGACTTGTATTACGAGGCCCTGTTCTGCGAATTACCGGCTTACGATTCGATGAGGGATGACGAGATGACACCAAAAAAAAGACCAGAAAATCCTTTGTTTCGCTGATCTAGCCAAGTTTTAGACGTTTCTTTTTTGGGGCAGCCCAACCGACGCAGTTTGGACGCGCTTTTTTTGAACTTACCGACTCGCAGTGTTCCTAGGGAACTCTGGACTTTGTTCTTTATTCACTTTCTTCATTTTTTATTTCAAATCTTTCTGATATTGCGGGCGCCTTGCATGCAAATCCATGGCTTTCTATTATGCTGTCTCTGGCGGAACGAACTCCTGACGACCCCGAACGCCCCCTGGTGTTACCGGGACGCATACGAAGAATGACAACTCAAAAGACCCTCTGCCGACAGGCCAGAGAAACGACAAATACCAGCATTTTGCATATTCTTGTCTGTTCAGTTTGTACATGGGGTGACTCGCATCCATTTTAATGTTTCTGGCCCGCCTTTCCCCGACAGCCGTTTCCTCCAGGAAACTCATGTTCGGCTTGTTCCGGGAGGGTGATTGTGACATGTCTTTTCATTCTGTTTTACTCTACTTTCTGCCTCTTTGCTCTTTCCGCGTGCTTTTGACTGCTTGCCTCTTTTGATCTGATGTCGTCTTGCGGAAAGGTGCCCAGGGCGAACTCTGACGACTCTCTCATGAGTACATGTATATGGTACTCGGCAGGTGCAGAGTGTAATGCATCCTATCCTGTCCTCGTCTCGACCCTGATATACTCCCATGCTGGAGGATTCTCTTTCTCATGTTTGGTATCTTGCAGTGTAGGGATTCTGTTTCTTTTCACTTTCCTCAGATCTTAACAATCCATGTACCTTTTACTATTAAACTGTCTAGCGTAGGAAGTTGACTTGGCTCTATATATAATCCGTGCAGTAGTATCGTACAAAAGTCCCAATCCACAATGCGTCCGACTACCTTTAGCTCCCCTCTAAACACAAGCGTTGCCCCTAAGCTGCCACTAACACGGAGCCCCTAAACCGTTAAATGCAGCCCGAATGATCTCGATCGTATATACTTACCGTGTTCCATACTAAGTGAAATGGATAAACCGGAAATGCCAAGAAATGACGCGGTTGCTTTGTTTATGGAGTTATGCATGCCCTGCCGATCCCCCGTGCCAGTCCCGCCTTTGACATCAGGACACTCGTATACTCTTATATAGTGGGAAGTGTAGATCCCAAAGTAGATGTACTCGTATGAATTGTGTCATCTTCCAAGCTTGCTCGGGTGGAGACTTGACATTGTTATGTTGCTTCTGGAATGCAACACAATCTGGTAGCCTGATCGCGCAATATCCATACCTATTCTATGTTGACCGACAGCGAGGGCATAATCACACATCAACGTACATATGGCTACTTAAAAACAACTACAGCACATGTACACAAGTAAAGACTAACGTCGAAGCAGTAAAATTCCCACTACCAGGATATCCCCATTTTCCCATTAAAGCGCCCTATGAACTTGGAAAGACAGAAAAGATAGAAAGCAAAGACCGGGGAATATCAGAAAATACATCAAGGTGAAGCGCCGTGAAGAACAAAGACGAGAGAGCGGAAAGATGGGCTACCGGGATGGACCGGAGATTCAGGAGTCGAGAGTTGGAGTTGCTGGGTTGAAGGGAACCACCCGCGCCCACCTTGCTTCTCTTTCAGGTATTGATTTATTCGAGGAGGCCACCCTTCTTCTTCTGCTCGACCTTCAGGAGCAGCGCACGGTTGATGCGGGGCAGGACACCACCGAAGGCGATGGTTGCGCGGATGAGAGTGTCCAGTTCCTCATCACCACGAATGGCGAGTTGCAGGTGGCGGGGCGTGATACGCTTGACCTTCAGATCCTTTGCGGCGTTGCCGGCCAATTCCAGGACTTCAGCAGTGAGGTACTCGAGCACCGCGGTCACGTAGACGGCAGCTAGGAAAGAATGGGGTTAGCAACGCGTGCACATTGAACAGAAAAAGGTCGCAACATACCCTTAGCACCGACACGCATCTTGTTCTGAGTGTTGTTCTTCAAGAAACGCTTCACACGACCGCAGGGGAACTAAAAATCGATTCATGTCAGCAGTCGCGTCACGCGAGACACCGGTGATAGGATACGGTCGGAAGAGAGGCTATGCGACAACAAGGCGACATGTTCCATGGTGATCCGTGAAACTGCCCCTATTGAGCAACGACGAGGGACCGAGTCGACGCGTCTCGGGCCAGTTTCATCGGGCAAGTCATCGCAAACATCGCATAACCGCTCTCTGCGACACCCCTCCCACTCTACCAGCGATTAACCACATCCAGGAATAACCCACCTGCAGACCAGCCTTTGCGCTGTGAGACTTCTGGGCCTTCCCCGCAGCATCACCCTTTCCGCCCTTTCCACCGATAGACTTTCCCTTTCCACCAGGCATTGCGAAGGATGATTATCGCGAGGATACAGAGAACAGATAGAGTCTGAAATCACGGAAAGAAGTTGATGTTGAGGTGACTGTGAGGTAGGCACGCGCGTTGTTGATGGATGGAGAAGTCAGAAATGTCGGCTGAGCCAAAAACACCTGCGCCGTTCGACGCTAGTCCCAATGCGGAAGCTAGGTATACCGCTGGGGATGTAACCTGCCAACGCCCTGAGAAGATCATGTATAGATCAAATATCCATGATACATGATCTATTTGCTGCTGAGCCAGTGTACGCTGTTGCTATATAGTTGCTGGCGTGTTAGTTGAGGAAACACCGTCATGGTGGGGATGCCAGAATGTGTCTGAGCATGGCGGTAATAGATGCCACACTTGGCTGAGGATTACCTGCATCATCCCTCAGTCCCCCTGATTGCTCTGATCCAGACCATTGTGCAACTGCTAACCAAGTTGGGAGACTAGTTGTGTCGTGGTTGTTGGATTTTGCAATATAAGCTGGTCTGGTTTGAAGCTGGACTATCCATCAGAATCACGATTGCAGACACGTGATTTATTTATGCCTCAGGCTTCACGGCACGACAGTTCATCCGGCTCCGCCTTCCAGAAATGCCAGGTGGCCCGGGTCTCAAGTTTTACGTGAACTCCGAACTCCCCCATACTCAAATTTCCCCAGAACATCCGGCAAAATGGTGTCTCCTCAAATGTATGCTTTGATCAATTGTACGACCTCTCTTTGGTAACTAACCATGATTTAGCACCAACCTCGCCATCATCTTGGTGATGATGCAGCTGGCCAAGAAGGTTCCCTTTGAGGATCCTCAGGTCCTGATGCTGGTGCGCGGATGCTACATCCTGTCCAACGTCCTGATCCTGGCTCTGCACTTGTGGACACAGTTGAAGATCAACCAGAAGAAGGGTATGTCGCGTGCCCCGACCATCCCGACCAACACTAATTTCATAATCCAGACATGACCACCCTTAAATACGTGGAGCCCGCCCCGATGGGCAGCACCGAGGAGCCCAAGCCCGTGACTACCACCAACATGGACTACGACAAGGGCCAGCTCCGCCAGTCGATCCGCAGCCAGTTGATGGGAGTCGGCATGATGGGTGTGATGCACCTGTACATGAAGTACACCAACCCTCTCCTGATCCAGTCCATCATCCCCCTGAAGGGAGCCCTCGAGTCCAACCTGGTCAAGATCCACGTCTTCGGCAAGCCTGCCACCGGTGACCTCGCCCGTCCCTTCAAGGCGGGTGGTGGCTTCATGTCCGCCGGTCAGCCCAAGAGCGACAAGGCATCCATTGAGAGTGCTGAGAAGAACTGGCGGGGTGGTGTCAAGGAGGAGTAAATGGGTTCTTCTATGATACCCCTTCTGGATTTCCGATCATAGAGCGTTATCTTCTCTTTGTACCATAATCCAACTCGGGTCGTTTATTCGGCCGGATATTGTTGATCATTGTTAATTGCCACGAAACTATTTAAAGTATACCCGAGATGTCCTTGTATCGTATGGTCCCTGTGGTTGCTCTGTGCGCCACTATCAGATTCCATGGCCTTCCGTAGATAAGGTAAGAATGGACACTGTGTGCCTTGGTGCCTTAATGCCTGGATACCTCGACACCTCGACACCTCGACACCTCACTTTGTCTCGCCATAATGACATAATTTTGCAGATGTGGCGGAGGTAGAGATGAGCTATCAGCTCCGAGACTCCAAGGCTCCTCCAGGGTAACTGAATGTATAGGATTTATAATCTCCCTCTCACCATCAGCCATATAAAACAATCGAATCGTAAAAATCTGTTTGACCCCGTGCTGTTCCCCGGTGACTGTTTTCAGGACGGGGGAGCCACATTCTTATATCGCCCATACTCAATCGGTCCACCGCAGCTCAACTGCGGCTGCTCCGCTTGCGTTGAGGACCAAACAGCTTGAAGTATATAATTCGAGCAATTAAAAGAATTATAATTGATCTGCTTGTGTAGTGTTTCGAGCATAACTGGGCTTAACAATACATTGTACATTGTAGTACACCCCTCCAGTGCCCCTCCAGTCATAGCATCATCACTGCCCCTCCAAACCTCGGAATCTTTCCACGCACCTTACGTAGTAGATTATCGTGATATTCACCTCTTCCGAATAATTAGGCAAAACATTCTCGAGAGAAGCTCCGAGGCAATAGTAATAACCCGATGAATCTCGGCTGGGGAAGCTCTTATTGGCAGAACGGGAGCTACCGAGGGGCGGATGGGCAGACAAATATCGTGACTCTTCCTGCTTTGCCCGGTGTATGAAACCGGAAAGGTTGACTGGGCACAGGTCGAGCGGCAACAGTCGGGAAAAGGAGAGAGCTGCATCTGGGGGACCTGGCAACCTGGCAATCCCCCGTCTAGTCTGCTCGGTGAGGGGTGATCGGTCTGTTGCGTCAGTCATCCATTCATTACTTCTTCCCCTCCCCCGCCAGCTTTTTTCTTCTTCTCTTCTCCATCTTCCTTCATCTATCCCTCCCCCATTATTCATCTTACTTCAGTAATGTTGCTTCCTTTCTTCTCTTCGTCCATCTACTAACGGTTTCTTCAGTAAACCACCATCATGGTTGTCAACGTCGGTATCAACGGTTTCGGTCGCATTGGCCGCATTGTAAGTCCCCCCTTATCGGCTTCAAATGGTCCAGACTAACATTACCCCAGGTCTTCCGCAATGCGTAAGTGACGCTCCATCAACCGTGGCGTAACCCCTCCTCTAACTAATGTCTATAGCATCAACGACCCCAATGTCGAGGTTGTCGCCGTCAACGACCCCTTCATTGAGACCCACTACGCTGTAGGTACACCAGCTACAAACAACATCAGCCCATGCTAATCAATGCGGGAATATAGGCCTACATGCTCAAGTATGACAGCACCCACGGTCAGTTCAAGGGTGAGATCAAGGCTGAGGCCGACGGTCTCGTCGTCAACGGCAAGAAGGTTACCTTCTTCGCTGAGCGTGACCCCTCTGCCATCCCCTGGGGCAAGGCCCAGGCCGAGTACATCGTCGAGTCCACCGGTGTCTTCACCACCCAGGAGAAGGCCTCCGCTCACTTGAAGGGTGGCGCCAAGAAGGTCATCATCTCCGCCCCCTCCGCCGACGCCCCCATGTACGTCATGGGTGTCAACAACACCTCCTACACCAAGGACGTCAACGTCCTCTCCAACGCCTCTTGCACCACCAACTGCCTGGCTCCCCTCGCCAAGGTCATCAACGACAACTTCGGTATCGTTGAGGGTCTCATGACCACCGTCCACTCTTACACCGCTACCCAGAAGACCGTTGACGCTCCCTCCTCCAAGGACTGGCGTGGTGGCCGTACTGCGGCCCAGAACATCATTCCCTCCTCCACCGGTGCCGCCAAGGCTGTCGGCAAGGTCATCCCCGCCCTGAACGGCAAGCTGACCGGTATGGCCAT